GAGGGCAGAGAAAAATTCAATTGAATGCGATTTCTGCAAACAAGTTGATCAAAAATCGGAAAATCAGAACTAAACTCAGACATATCTTTATTGATTCACATCAGTTTCTCGTAAATTTTAATCTCCGAGAAATCTATCAGAAAGAAAATCACAAAAAAACACCATTCAAATCGCATCCACACAAAAAAAAAAAAAAGATAAGCTGGATAAATCTACCTGGCTTTTGAGGCAATGTTGGTGAGAAGGCGATACATAGTGATAGATTCTCACTCGACCCGAGAAGATTAAAATTGCTTCAGAACAGATCGAACTAACGAAGCAGAAAACTTGACAATTTGTAGAGAAGTAGAGAAATGAAGCAGAGCGAAGATTCCAGAACTAGCTAAGGGTTTAGGGTTTTACGTTTTCTCCAAGGTCATTGCTTAATTGAGTTTTAGCATTCGATTTGGATCTGGCTCGAGTTTTATGGGCCCTATAAGGCCCAGTTCATATTACAGTGAACAAAGAAAAAAAATTCCTTCCAGTACACATGTTTCTGATTGTCTTGCAAGTATAAACAAGGTATGAGAAACATGTGTTTTAGGCTTTTACATTCATTTCACTTTAAGTTCATTCATATTTTGCTCATTTTTTGTAACATAATCATGCATAAGTATCTCATTTAGCTTTATGATTGCATTCTAGTGTTTTAGGGTTCAAGACTCTGATCAGAATCCTCTTCACCACGCGATTTTAAAACCAAAATAAGTAGTTCACAACAGTAATTTATTTAATGATATTTGCATTCACTTATCTGCTATCATCTTTTATATCGTTCCTTTTTTTTTGGTAGTGTCTTTTATATCGTTCCTTCACAAATGTGCTATTTTTCTTGTTTGAAAGTAGTCTGCATCTGAACAGCTAAATACCGTGTTAACAAGAGATTAGAGATTGGGGATAGTTGGCAAGAACTAGAATCTCCATGCGAAACCTGCCTTTAACATTCCTTGAATTCTAAACTGAACAAGCTATGTTTATAAGGAAACACAAACGACTTGTATGGAAAAAATTCCCCGAGTTTTGTTTCCTAAATTTTTATTTATTAAATCAATTGAGGATTGAAAATCCCGAGATCATGGAAAAATCTGAGTCTCTCTTCTTCCAATAATGATATAGAAAAAAGAAAAAAAAAAGCATCAATTAGTGCCTTGTGGATGAATTAACCATAACATAGCACAACAGTTTCCAAAGTAACCTAGCTAGGGTTTATGATTCTCATTAGAAACCCATTCCTCCCATACCGCCCATGCCGCCGTCCATGCCACCGCCCATAGCCGGAGATGCTTCCTCTTTCGCTGGAATCTCAGTCACAACTGCTTCCGTCGTTGTCAACAAAGACGAGACACTAACCAATAGAATAAACCAAGAACAAATATTAGGAAACCAAACATTGCAATAGACTACAAAATTGACGACAAATTTTAAAATCTTAGTGTACCTTGCAGCATCAACCAATGCGGTTCTGATCACTTTCAGAGGGTCGATGATACCAGCCTTTACCATATCGACGTATTCTCCTGAAAGTAAATGCCGACAGAAGTTAGTTAAGTACAAAGTGAAATAACAAGGTGGACCAAGAGCGATATGAAAGCAAATTTCTCTATTGCATAATAAAAGTGTAACCTTTAGCAGCATCATAACCGAGGTCAGGATTATCTTGCTCCAAAAGCTTGCCTACGATAACTGCACCCTCGACTCCAGCGTTGGAAGCAATCGTGTGAACAGGTGTCTGCATGAAAGAAAGATTTGTGTATAAAATTTTACACGCGGTTTTTTGTTTATACGATGAAAAATCTGATGAGAGAAAAACCTTGAGGGCGTTTTGGATGATTTGGACACCAATTTTCTGATCAAAGTTAGCAGTGGAAAGCTTCTCAAGTTCTTTTGACGCATACAAAAGAGCAACACCACCACCTGTGTGAATTTCACACAAAGTAATGTAATTTATTCGTCGCAGGAACTTATACCAAAGTCTGTCTTAGGGAATTCAGATAGTTTTTTACCTGGAACAATACCCTCTTCTACAGCTGCTTTGGTAGCATTTAGAGCATCGGTTACTCTGTCTTTCTTTTCGCCAACTTCAGCCTCACTTGATCCTCCAATCTAAAAGTCCATATGAATATCCCATCATTGGCTATGCATCAATAAATTTTCTGTCCATCAAAGTGCTCCAACAGAGATGTTCATTACCTTTAGTACAGCAACACCACCAGAAAGTTTCGCCAATCTTTCTTGTAACTTCTCCTTGTCATAGTCAGACTCGCTTGCTTCAACCATGGATCGTATCTGTGTGATTTATTTAGATTTCATAAATATTAAACAATTAACATCCTTAACGATTGGCAAAAAGAGTCAAGAAACATAATGATTGAGAGGTACAAAACCAACCTGTTCACATCGTTCCCCAATTGATTTCTTGTCACCAGCCCCATCAAGAAAAACAGTGTCGTCTTTGGATACAGTTATCTGTTCACAAAAGAAAACATGTGATATAGAATGTAACTACAGGTAAATGGGAAAATGAGAATATGCCAATAGGAATTGGTCCAGCCAAACGAACCTTTTTGCAGTTTCCAAACATACTGAGGTCGACTTTCTCAAGATTCAAACCCAACTCTTCTGTTATTACCTATAAATTGAATTCAACAAAAGAACATTATAGCTCATGCAATTAGTGTGAGTGTGATTGTCTTGGCAGCTAGTAAAATAGGAATTTGGGCTTGCCTGGGCTCCGGTGAGGATAGCTAGATCATGTAAATTGGCTTTTCGGTTTTCTCCAAAGCCAGGGGCCTTCACAGCACAGACCTATAATATGATAGCATTTACATCAATCCAAGCAAATTCCAGATCTAATAGGAATTAGTAAAAAAAAAGCATATAACAAGATGATGAAAAAAAAAACCTTGATTCCAGCACGAAGTTTGTTCAGAATTAGCACGGCAAGAGCATCGCTCTCCAAATCCTCCGCAACGATCAGCAGCGGCCTTTGCTTCTGAAAAAGGGCAGATAGAAGTCTCGATCTTCAGATACAAAGTAACTTATTAAATATCAGCAGACATTTCAAGAAATCACCAAATTGTTTGTACCTTGAGGGCCAGTTCTAAGACTTTCACCATAGCATTTAAATTGGAAATTTTCTTCTCGTGGATTAGAATGAGAGGATCATCTAGTTCCTGAAAACCATATCAATGCAGAAGATATCAAATGCGAAGTTCCTCTAAACTGATAAAGCAACAATTTGGGAATCCGTACACATTTTTGGTTTTTCTGGTTAGTTATGAAGTATGGGGAGATGTATCCCCTATCGATCTTCATACCCTCAACAACTTCTAGCTCATTATACAAGGTCTTGCCATCCTGTTTCAAGAGATGATAGCATAATTCGTCATAAGAAATAAGCAAAATAGTCTAAACATTTAGGGATCAAATTAAACTCACTTGAATTGTGATTACTCCCTCTTTGCCGACGCTTTCCATGGCCTTTGCAATCAATTCACCAATTTCTCTGTCTCCATTAGCTGATATTGTTCCAACTTGGGCAATTTCTTCAGAAGTGCTAATCATGCGTGCTCGGCTCTTCAAGTTCGTCACAACAGTATCAACTGCCAACTTGATACCACGTCTTAGGTCCATTGCATTCATTCCGGCAGCAACTGATTTACAACCTTCCGTGAAGATAGCTCGCGTGAGGACTGTAGCACACGTTGTTCCTGTAAAGCATACCAAGACAAAAACAGTTATTAATCTGAGTATATAGGATACTAATAACACATAAAAAAAAAACGTTCAAATACGATGAAAGGGAACCCTTACCATCACCAGCTACATCATTTGTGGCGTTAGCAACCTGTTTGACAAGACTGGCACCAACGTTCTTGACTCTGTCCTTGAACTCAATGCTCTTGGCAACAGTAACACCATCCTTTGTCACCTTTGGTGCACCCCAGCTTTGTTCGATGATAACATTACGACCCTTAACGGACAAGGAAATGTAGATAATGGTTTTAGACTGTTGTATCGGATAATAAAACAGACAACTGATGATAGCTATCACTAGGGCTGTTAACTAAGATTAACTTGCAATACTAATATCTTGAACAGAAACTATCTGAAACATAAGTTTATACCTTGGGTCCCATAGTGACTTTAACTGCATCAGCAAGCTCCTCGACACCTCTAAGCATTGAAGCCCTAGCCTCAACACCGAACCTTATGTCTTTTGCTGCATAATTCCTAGTAGAATTGAGCCTGCTTCCAACCTAACAATACAAAGAATACACATCAATACATACCCAAAACCAGCAAAACTAAAATAACCATATAAAGAACGAAGGAAAAATGAACCTGGCTTGTACAATTTCTGGCAATCCTGTTGAAACATAAAAAAAGGAATAAGCTTTAGTCATCGATGTAATTAAAGCAATGAAGAAGACTTTCCGAGGGCACATAAAAAAAATTCAACTTAATGCGATTTTTGTTAACAAGTTGAACAAAAATCGGAAAATAAGAACTAAACTCAGACATAACTTTACTGATTCCCATCATTTTCTCGTATATTTTTATCTCCGAGAAATCAATCAGAAAGAAAACAAAAAATCAGCAGCATTCAAATCGCATCCACACAAAAAAAAAAGCCGATAAGCCGGATAGATCTACCTGGCTTTTGAAGCAATGTTGGAGACAAGGCGATACATGGTGATAGATTCTCACTCAACAAGAGAAGATTACAATTGCTTCAGAACAGATCGAACTAAATAAGCGAACTTGACAATTCGCAGAGAAGAAGAGAAATGAAGCAGAGCGATGATTCTAGAAGCACCTAGGGTTTAGGGTTTTACGTTTTCTCCAAGCTCATTGATTTATTTAAGTTTTAGCATCGGAATTGGATCCGGCTCGAGTTTTATGGGCCTGATATCAGGCCCAGTTCATTATTACTGAGAAAGAAAAAAAAAATTCCCTTTCAGTACACATTTCTCTGATCGTCTTCCTCAGAAATCCCTAGAACACTCGATTAACGAATCAAAAACCGATTTTGGGGGATCAAACAGTAATCATCAAACAGTAATCGATCGAGGTTGAAGATGACGGAGGCGATGATAAGGAAGAAGCCAGGAATGGCGAGTGTGAAGGATATGCCATTGCTTCAGGATGGTCCACCACCGGGTGGGTTTGCACCGGTCCGATATGCTCGTCGAATCTCTAACACGGGTCCAAGCGCCATGGCCATCTTCCTTACCGTTTCGGGTGCCTTTGCTTGGGGAATGTACCAAGTTGGTCAGGGCAACAAAATCCGCAGGTAAGATATGTAAATGGCTTTTCGGTCTCATCATTTCACAATTTTCTCTATCGGAAAATGAAATTCTAGGTTGACTTGGATGTGTTCTCTGTTGTGAAATTATGCGAGTGGCTAAGGACTTGTGAGTAATCTGGGATTGAACTTTGCAATTTTTTTGATACAATTTGTGTTATTACTTATTAGTCTTGAATTGGTTATAGATAAAGCTTTTGTTTTTGTTTAACCCTATTTGATAGCTAAGTAACGATCCTTTGAGCTGTGACGAAGAAAGCAATCTGATTTCAACTTGATGATACTAGTTACTTGGATTTTGCTTTTTAGGTAGTCACTTCGTGAGTTATTAGCTTGATTAGTGTATTTTGTGTGGCTTACAACTAGTAAGACAGACCAACACAGTGTTGTCTTTCTTGGTGTATGTATACATCCTCTGCCTCTCCATTGGTTAGAAATTCCATTTTTCAATGATGACTAAAATGTCAAAATGAGCACAATGTATATACACCAAAGTTCTAATTAAGATTGCTGTGATGATAGAGCGTTGAAGGAAGAGAAATACGCTGCCCGCAGAGCAATTCTTCCCATTCTTCAAGCAGAAGAAGATGAAAGGTATAATAAAAAAATTTCTCTCTGTTCCACAAACTCATTAATATTCTCAACTACGAAATCAAAACAAAGCCTTGCGGTACAAAGTTCAGTTCATTGAATCCCATGTGTGCATTACAAATAGGTTTGTGTCAGAGTGGAAGAAGTATCTAGACTACGAGGCTGATGTTATGAAGGATGTTCCCGGATGGAAAGTTGGTGAAAACGTGTATAACTCTGGTCGTTGGATGCCTCCAGCTACAGGAGAGCTTCGTCCTGATGTCTGGTAATATCAAATGGCTCCTTCTGATGATGATGAATCTTGATGTGTCTCTTCTTTTCTCTCTCTTTCTTCTCATCGTATAATAAGATAAATGATATACATACACAGTTCATGTATCAGTCTTGAGGAACATATTTTTGTTGTTATTTTTATTCACACCTTTCTGCCTCTTTGTCAATGGCAAAAATGAATCTTGTTCATTTCTTTTATCTTAATCAAGTTATTAACTTTCTAGACCAGTTCTTTCAAACAGTAGATGCTTTTCACATAACAACTAATCAAAGACATTATCAACGAAAAGATAAGCTAAAATGTGAAAGATTACATTAAATATATTGAAAAGCCACATCTTCCTTACAACAAAAGGAACTCCAAATTGTTTTTTTTTTCAAGGGGAGTTTTCTTCCATGGAGTGGGCTTATATCTTCGATTTTCACATCAGAAAACTTTAATCAATCCTCTCTATTTTTTTCAGTTTTTACCTCAACTCGTATACGTTTATATATATTATAATAATAGCGAAAGTCAAAAGTGTGAGATACAACGACGGTGACGAGCAGCAATGGTTTTAATCTGTTGCTTAGTTTCTTCTTTCCAGCGATTAGCAATATCATGAGCCACACTCATGGCATCAAGCGACGCACCTGAGAGTCCTCTTCTCGTGAATCCCACCGCATACAATCCAGCCTCCCCTTTGCACCCTTTTGGAAACGGGCTTTTCTCTATCCCAATCTCCGCCAAGTCGTTCTCCTGCATATACGATACACCAACCGCCAAACAACATTTTAGTGTTGAACATCTTCCTATCAAATTTCCCTTATCTATCGTTCTAAAGATTTAATCTTTTGTGACAAAACCAGAAAAAGATGATGTTTTTTTTCTTGTCTACCTTAAGCCACGAAGGGACATTGCTTCGGTAACCAGTGGCAAGAACGACGGAATCGATCTCTAGAACTCGGCCATCCACGAGTTCCACCTTTCCCGGGCCAAACTTGACGATTCCCGGGAAGATTTTGATCTTTCCCGATTTGATTTTAGAAAAGGCTCCTATGTCTAAGACGGGAGTTTTACCGGCGGTATTCTTCAGCTCTAACGGTCCCATTTCCGGCCTCTTAAGCCCAAGCTTATCGGTATTCCCCAGGATCAACCTCGTGAGAAGGAGCAGAGTCTTATCCACTAGCCAAACTGGCATCCATTTCATCATTGTTACACCTATTTCGAATGTCGACTTCCCAAGAATCTCTCTCGGCAACACATGAACCTGATAGATTAAAAACAAAGCACGACTATCAGATGCTCTGTTTTTAGAATACAGGAAGTGAGTGCTCTGTTTTTTTTCTTGACCAAAAACAAGGATTCGAATGCCATGTTTCTAAAACAGAGAAACTACTGAGAATCAGATCCTAACTGTTTTTTACTTACAGAGCTACGAACGACCATTGATGGACTTGCATTGTGGTTGCAGAGATCGAGAGAGACTTCCATGCCGGAGTTTCCACATCCAACTACAAGAACTCGTTTTCCACGGTACCTCTCGCCGGATTTATAATCGCCAGCGTGAAGAACATCGCCACCAAACTCTTCTAAACCCTCAAACTCCGGCACCACTTTCTCAGCATTCTCTCCCGTCGCCACCACGAGCCACCTGCAAATATACTCGAACTCACAAGAGCCAAGCATGCCGCTTCTCGAAACAGTTTTGACACGCCACAGCCCAAACCTCTCGTCATATTTAGCTGACTGAACAGTCTCGTTGAACTTGGGATTGATACCAAAGTGGCTTGCGTAGGACTCAAGGTACTCGATGAACTGATACTTGGTTGGATACTCCGGGAAATCTTCTGGGAAGGGTAGATTGGGCAATTGGCAGAATTGTTTAGGGAGATGAAGCTTGAGACGATCATATGTTCTGTTTTGCCACAGAGAAGCTATGCAGTTAGCTCGCTCTAGGATTATAAATGGAACTTCTTGGCGTTTCAGGCAGGTGGCAACAGCTAGGCCCGATGGTCCGGCCCCGACGATGACCGGGCCGTTAACCCATATGCAACGCCGGATGAAAATGTCGTCCTCCTTGGGAATGGAGTTCTGAAGCATACTTGAGATGTTGACACAGTTTGTCTTATTCATTTGCTTTGGGAGCTTTTTAGTGTTTATATATACTTTTGTCTGGTTTGGAAGAACTTTTAGGGCAAGAAAAGATGTAATGATGAGTGATGGGGATTTGGTTTGTGTCTTGTTAGGTTGAGGAGAAAGAGCTTAAATAGAGAATAGTTTCAACCAATTTGGAATTTTGTATTTGTAAAATCATTGATCTCTAAATATTATAAATGTTCAAATGATAAGCTTTGCAGCGGCATTTATTAACTAATTTAACCTATATATATATATATATTTATATAATCACTTGATCATCGCGTATATACATGTATTAACATATACCGGAATATAAGAATGAAATTTGCATTTAAATTTGTGGTCTTCCATGTCTTGTTTCATCCTTTGAATGCCTTTCGACGTAGACTTCAACTTGTTTGATTTTCTTTTCTTTGCACTGAAATCCAATTATCGTAGTTAATTACGACATCTTGCCTTGTTCAGTTGTTCCGGGGGAGATTTCTCTAGTGTAGATATGCAACTAAAACTTTTAGAGATTAAAAATATATTTAGTTGAATGGAGATGAAAAATTTTGGTGGTTCTTGGAAATATATAATTAACAGTTTTTTTTAACAGTTAAAATATTAAAAACATTACAATAGTAAAAGATGAAATCATTTTCTTTTGTTATGAAAAAAATATTGATGCGTGAATTTATGATGTGCTTAAGAGAGAGAGAGAACACTCACAAAAAATGAGCCATTTTATTATCTTTTATATGATTTGTGACGGTTGCACAAAAAATAAGCCATGTTTTTTTTTCAACATACGTCAATAATTCGACATCAATTAAAAAACATCTTTATAACCGGTTGAGCTACCACTAAAATTTAACAAATACTTTCACTTGACAATATTTGCATCTAAGAAACTCTCTATTCAAGTCTCTGATACAAAAAAGACAACAGACACATTCTAAAGATAAAATCATCTAAAGAACAAAAAAAAAAAAAAAAAAAAGATCTTAACTAAAAGGGTCCATTTGGGTTATATGCCTGGCAACAAACCTATACCGAGCGTTTTAATCCGGTCATTAGACGCAAAGTTTTTGGTCGGAAGACGTCATAGTAACGTTATTACAATTTTTGTGTGATTAAATTATAACAATCTTACAAATTTGGAATGTCTTAAGAAATCTACATCGATCAATGCATAAATCATATCTAGGGTTAGATACGCATGAGGCTGAAAGGGAAAGATGAGAGTAATACATGTGATGGGGCGTTAAGCTTGGGTCTTCGTGTTTATTTTATATGGTCAATTCCTCTTTTAATGCTGCGATGAAATGTCAGTGCATATTGATACAATAAGTAAGTCTACATAATGATTTGAAGAAGCTTGCTTTCTATTTTTGTTTCCATCGTGGATCAATGTTTAGCACTTTCGATATCTATTTTAGATCATCCAAACAATATCCATCTTTGTTTGTAGATCAAATTTGCATTAGAATCCACCATAGAAAGCGACATTCTCCTCAAGATCAGTGAAGCTCAATAAAACTGGTTATAATGTATCTATATATGAAATTTTGCAGTAGATAACTCTATCTCACTTCACTATTCGATATTATTGTCTCGTGTTAATTAATGTGGGCTTGATCTTAGATTTAAGTGAGTGGGTTTGAAGATATTACATTGTTATCAACACCTTAGATCATGAATTGATCTTAGATTTAAGTGAGTTTGAAGATGTCATAACCAAGGTCCAAATCCTATGATATGTACGATGAAACAAATACAGTTTAAGTCATTTCTAATAATACTACATAGCTTTTGATGAAGAAAAAATGATTTCCTTCTCGATATTGGTTACTGTTAACTTTATGGTGGAAACAACCAGATTCTGATAGAATTGTTGATTTCACATATTACGATTTAGATTCAGTTCGGCTATTGTAAACTTTCTCCAATCCACATTAATATAAATGAGTTTTTGAAATCTATTATAACTGATTCACATCGATATTATGGAATCGTGTAGCGTAAGAAACTAATCATCATGATTTCGGAAAATAGATTTATTCAGGAAACCTCGATCAAGTGATAATGCATTAATGTGATATATATAGTGGAGTTGAATCGGGCAAAGATTATTCTCACGAAAATCTAGAATTCCTTTATAAATTTATGAAAAAGATGTATAGATGCATGCATATGACGTTGATAAATTATGAATTGTGCACACACACACAAAAAGTTAATGAATTATGAAATTTACATGGCTCCTGGGATAACGAGATATTTATTCTCTCGATGAGTTGTTCGACTTTTATTTTTTGAAGTAATAAAATGAAAAGAGTTTCACACATGCTGTTTATTGCACCTAGAAACCCCACTATAACATCGACTTGAAAATGCCACCAACAATCGCATACTTCTTTCTCAAAAAACAAAAATCAATCGCATACTTCATCATTATGAGATTTTCCTTATTAGAGATTTGTCATATAGGTACTATTTGACCATTCATACATAAGACGTTTTAAGGAGAAGTTAATCTCAAGTTTTGATTATTGCAATTTGCTTTGAATGTGACCAAGATAAAAGAAAATAGTAAAACTAATATAGTAGGTGCCAAAAGGACCAATTATTGCCAATAAGGAATTTCCAAAATATTTTTGTACATACCATTATTTTTAATGTTCTGACTCCGACATAATCAGATTCTGCCATAGTCAGCTTTTTCTTGATTAATCTAGCTAATTGAAAGACCCAAACCCATGTTACTAATCTTCAATTTAGCTCATTAGTAGCAACCTGATTTTATGCACCATCGGAATAAAGTTTTTCTTTCTCTACTGATTTTATGCTTTGAATATCAAATGGGTAACATGAAAATATTCTAAAACTAGCATTTCTCCTTATTTCTCTATATGTGGATGACGGCTTGTTTGACCAACATATTATTGAATGGTTTAAAATTAGTTAGCATTCGAAATCATATTCTATGGTATCCATATGTATAATTAAAAAGGCTCAGATACTCAAGATCTACCCTAATTGATCAGACAAATCCACGGAACTGGTGACCTTGCAATCAAACTAAATGGTAGTATAATTGTTACAGTTAACAGTTTCCTTAATATTGGAGCGCATTCTTATTTTTCCGTTTAGACGTTGTGGAATGATCATTAAAATAGGTGAAAGTCTATATATGGCTGCATATAAATGTAAATTGTTGAAGAGAGGAACTCAGAAGGAGCATATGATAAGATAATATAGTTTCTTTACCTGCTGTTTCATTTGTGACGTTGCCTTAATTCTTGAAAAAAAAAACAAAATTAAAAGAAAAGCACTTGGTTCACAATATTTGTTAGGAAAACAATCATTCACATAAGCTATGCATATACATTAGAGAATGGAGAGAAGGGACAGAAGAAAGAGAGGATGATAAATGCAAATTAACTCCATAACTGTAATAACTGAAAAGGTATGGCAACTCCATGTGATCAGATTCTCATGTTTGTCCGATTTTATTGAGACGCTCTCGTTCTCAGTCGTCTCAGGTGGTTTCACCGGTGGCTGGTTAATTAACCCTTTCCTATTTATTAAGGCAATGATTGATTGTGAGTTTTTTTTTTTGGGCTTTTGGTTTTTGGTTTGTGGATAGGGAAATTGCACTCAATAACAATCAAACAAACTATAATTCATAAACTAACCAAAAAAATATCTGAAAATAATATTCTTTATATATTTTATATTAATACTCTTTTACCCTTTTTTTCTTATTTTTTCTTTTTCCCTTCTTTCTCTCTCTTTTACCACATTCTCTCTTTCCCTTGTTATCTCACACAGGGCTCCACATATTCTTATGCACCTACATTATCGTCATTATCAACAAGCCAAAAAATCACAAAATAAATTTCAGTTTCCACGAAATTATATATTTCTCTCCCTTGATTCTCCTTCTCTCCTCCCAAGATATTCTCCACATGTCTCCTCTGATAATCCCTAACTCGTTCACGCCTCGTTCGTTCTCTCCTGATTCCTTCCATGACGAAGACGTTAACCCTCTTATGGAATCTTTGTTATGCAATTGGTTATACTTAAACTACAAAGTTTCAGTGAAAATTAATTGGATGTGGGTTACAATATTCAGGTTTCCGATGATGAGATTGAGATTGGATTGCCACCATTTCCACCGGTTTTTCCTGACATGTTATTTATCCCTCTCTTCTAACAGATTCTCTATCCCTCTCTTCTGAAAGAGAAAAATTTATTTGTATGAAACATCTATTTATGTAGAACATTTTATCTATATAGAACGTCTAATAGTGTAGAACATTTCTTTGTATAGAACGATTATTTTTTCAGATGCTAATTTATAAATGTATATCATAATCCACTGTGGTTTTAATGTTTATTACTCTGTTACCAGACACGCAAAAACTTAGAATATTCAGTTATATTCTGTTTTTTTTTAATTCAAAACTTGGTAGATTGAAAAAAATAGACTTGTCATGTTATTGATAAAAATATACTTGTTATGTTGTTGTGACACTATTCATATCTAAAAAATTAAGGTCACGTTAGTTTTTAAAAATTCAAATCATGTTGGATGTGAAAATTTTTTTGTAGATATACAAAATTATATCAATTAATAAAACGTACATAAAAGAATAAACAAAATCTATGGAGTAACAATGTTTATAGTAAATAGACTATCTATATTTGTGTGCTGAAAAGGGCAAAAACGTCTGAAAAGCATATCAATTGTTACTTGCTTAATTTCTATAAAACAAAGGCTATATTTTTCATAGATTATTGAAATTTGGTTATTCACTTAATTATCCTTTGTGGATACCGTTGATTTTTTTTTTCCTTTTTTAAAACGACATTTATAGACAATTTTTAGCGAAAAATCCAAATAATAGGGTAGGTAAATTTGTAAGAAAACTAGTTATCCCAACATAAGTTATAACTAAAAATTTTCAGAAGTATCACATTTTTTTAATAAGTACCGCAAAATATTTAAAAACCTTCCTAAACCAAAGTGTGTGATGTCAATTCTCCAACAACAAAAGTTTACGAAACTGTGATTTCAAAGTTTGTTGTACATAGAGTAGTTTCTTGCCTTACAAGTAAAGTATGGGCTGTCTTTAACCTAACCACCCTGAAGAGAATCAAATCAAAAGAAGAGAGAGAGAGCCCTACACCTGAGCTTAATTAAGACGCCCTCTGAAAACCCTATGCGACGAAACCTATCGAGATTAATTCTACATACCGTAAAACTGTGCTAGTGACTCTACTATACAAATTTGTTTCGTTGCCATAAATTGTCGAATCGGTTAGATGAACGGACCAAACAGGTCTCAGTCCTTTAGAAAGTGGAAGTTAGGGTTATCAGCGAGTTCGATCGCTGGCTTTACATTGGCAAAGTCTTTTTCTTGCATACAGTTGGAGATTTCGTCGGCTGCAAAGGGGATGCTGAATTTCACAAAGACAGTTTTCATGAGGTTCTGCATTGGTGACTGATGTCTGAATAATCTGGAGAAATTTACGAAGTCGCTTTTAAAAATTTTGATACCTGGAATCATTGTCTAACAAGAACGAACGGCTATCTTCGTCTTCATCAGTCATTAGAAGTTTCAAGTTGGAAATTACCTACATCGATAGAAACATAGAGAAGATAATGAAATGATATGGAGATTTGGAAAATGTATTTTGGTTTATATGAGAGGTGTTAATTTAGAGGAAACATACGTCTGGAGATACATTCTGACCCTCGTGGTCATCAGATTTGCAGAGGGTACATATTCTATACAATTGCTGAGTACTAAGAGCCTGAGAGATTAAAGAAAGAGAGCGTGCTAAGAAAAGGGTGAATATAAGAATTTTTTCTTAAAAAAAAACCTTTAAAGGAGTGTTTTAGATCAGAGAAGCAGAGAGAGTAGGTACCGGGCAGATGTTAGTTGTAAGATCATCATACGTAATAGTGGACTTGTGTTTTGTAACCTAGAAGAGGAATCCACTGATATATTCAGGAAAAAGAAAGAAGAGAGAGTGTTGTAATGTTAATGTAAGTTGTTGTAATTTGGTTCATAAAAGACAGACCAGGAGCAGCACGGCTTGTCTTGTGTGTTTGAGTTCATCCCACGAAGATCCTACAAACTGCATCCAGCAGAATTTACTTGACAAGTGAAATCGAGAGACTGAAATGTTTTGGTTACTAAGATCATTTCAGAAAAATGAACTTACCTCTTCAGTTGCCTGGCTACACCATGACTCTAGTTCATTTAACCAAGCATCCACCTTTTTGCCCACGTAGAATGTGCAGAATTCTCGTTGCAGAAGGCTGCATCAGTTATATTACGGCTTTAAGTTTTGATGGCTGATGGTGGGATATTTGATTAAATATCATACCTGTTAAAGACTTGAACATTGATGCCTTGGAATGTTTGGATGAAAATCTTCTGAGCAAGAAACACAGGAACCTGAAAGAAGTTTTTCAGAGAGGATATTGAGGACTAGACAGAATCAAACACAACCTTTTTTCCATGAATACAGAAAATTTTCTTACGTAATTTTTCTTCAATGTGCCGAGAAGCCGATTCAAAAGATCAATGATGTCTTGCCAAGTTTTCGCTGGTGAATTCACTGCAGATGGTGTTCCCTGTGGATTCTCTTCAGATAGATTTAACTGCGGAATATCTTCAGCTGGTTTTGCTGGTGAATTATCTTCAGACATCTTCTCCGGTGGGATCTCTTCAGATGGCTTTTCTGGTGAATTCGGTTCGGATGACTCAGCTGGTAAACTCTCTGCAGAGGACTCAGCTGGTAAACTCTCTGCAGAGGACTCATGTGATGAATCATCTTTCAGCCCCTGAGCCATTAGTTGAGGACTAATAAGTGAGATGAAGCTATCTTGCAGAGATCATGATCTTCAAAAATTTTGATTTATTTTGAAGGAAACCATAGATAGGTCTTACCTTAATGCAAGACGAAAGCACAGGCTCTAGTTCTCTCCTTACATTCTCTTGAACTATTCCATATATCGTTTCAACGTAGGCTGTAAGCTGCTGCTTGAAAAGTAAAGCAGGATATCGAGCATCTACTTGTTGCACTACATCACCTGAAAGGCTGGCCGAAGAGGGTGACCGGAAACCCTGAAACATATATAGCCACTCATGTTAGACGAAGTCCCACAAGATACAGAAACTCTAAGTTAAGGCTAATCCTAGAGTCAATGAATAGGATCTTGTTACCTGTGTCATCCTCCCAAAAAATGAAGTCGGCTGAGGAGGTTTCCTTGGACTTGCACTGGTTGTGCTATGCGTTTTTAAGCTTCTTTGAAGCAAGAACAGTAGCGTAGATGTGTTCGTTAGCCAATAGGTCAACTGATCATCATCTTCCGGATTCTGGAAAAAGCAGAGCATGATGTTACGATGTCAACTATTTTTTTTTTTCCCTCAATGTTACGATGTCAACTTCAGTTAAAGATTTTCATGTTTCCCATTGTTAGAATTGTATGAGAAGTATTTGTCAAGAGACACATATTGTCCATTGATTCTTTCACCTTAAGGAGTGATATGTCAAACGTCAGGTTACCTCTATAGCGGAACCAAAAAGAGGAACAATACGATCAAAGATACTGGTTTTCTCTGCTTCGAAGAGCTTCCAGTGTATGAGACATTTGTATATTGTAAATGCTGCAACAGGTTTTCCATGGCTGAAACCGACATTTTTTGAAACAAATTTGAGAAGGACGTCAACATATTCCTGCATCATAAAAACATGACTTATCTTATCAACCAATTAAAAGAAGAATCACAATACTATATGCCTGATTTTTTTTGTTAGGTACATACATGGGGTTGTCGTTCAATTCGAGATCGTCTAAAAGACATTGTCCCGAACCTTCTTGATGGTATAGGAGCAAATGGTTCCTGTAAGAAAGAGATTTCTATTAGAAACCTCTGGGTAACAAAGACCTGCAAAGATGATTAAGTGTATACAAGAACAGTTCATCTACATCTCCACTAGGACCACTTACATGATGTCCGTTCTCCATTGGCTGCAAGAGTTACGTGAAAAGGAAGGAAGAGGTCAAGGCTTTTCTTGAAAAAAATTCTATACAAGAAAATGAGAGAAATTGCATAGAGGAATTTTACCGGGGGTCCTGTAAATGACATCTGAGGAGACATTTTCCGGGAAGCTGAATTCAACAGTGCTTGCTGCCGAAGAATTTTGTCTTCTGTTTCCATGTCAGAGACCTTTTCCTCGAGCCTAAAGGAAAGAGTAAATAAGTCATGCATATGTTGCGAATGGGAAAATATAGCAAAGTAAAGATAGAAGATTGAAACTTTGGACAACGTGAGAAAAAATGCTAATAGATAACCTTTGCATTGATGTTTTTAACTCTATCAGTTTTGTCTCTGTGTCTATAACCTGCTTAAGCCTCTCTTCACAAAGTCTACTTGCTTCCTCATACTTCTTCTCTGTGTCGTCTATTTTCTTTTCCAACAAATCTACCAGATTCTGCAATTTCAATACATTTAAGAGAACCATAACCCACAAACTTGTGTTGGAGAAGCATTCATTTTCTGAAAAAACTTACATATAAATCTTTGTTTTCAGCAGCAAGCTTGTTGGTCATTTCATTATCATCAGATGCATCCTCTGTTAATCTCTCTTCTTTCAGCATGCGTGTCCCTTCCTTTTGCTCGTTTGATGAATCATTCCCATCGTTTTCATTTTTTTCTTTCTCTAACGAACTCAGCAGTGCCTGAGAAATGTCATACATTAGATCAATGATAAACAAACCTGAAAGCACTAAAAGGAGAATGAGTCGAGCTACATCCCTACAGATTTACCTTGAGACGTTCATTCTCAGCTGCAAGATTACTCACAATCTCATAATCAGATGTATCCTTCAACTGCTCTGCAATGTTTGAGCTTGTTTCGTCGTGTTTTCGGTCTAATGCATTGATTTTCTTCTCCAGTGAGCTGACCAACGCCTAAGAGATGTTGTGCTTGATGAGATATAAATTATCGAGAGGAAACATTGAAATCTCAAAAGTCTGGATTTTATTTCCAAACCAATACCAATATCAAGGAATCCTACCTTCAATTGTTGATTTTCAGCTTCGAGTTTGATTATTACATCTTGTTCAATGACGGGAACCTCCTGTTTTATCCTCTCTTCACCTACCTTACCTGTTTCTTCATATTTGGTCTCGGATTCATCAATTTTCCTTTGTAATGAGCTCACCAACTCCTTAAGGAAACATAATCAAACAGAGGAACCACAATCATATTTTTAAAATGCCAAAATTCTGTAACCTTCAACCACAATCTAAAATCTTCATGACCTTACCTTGAGATGTTCATTTTCTGCAGCAAGATCATTCGTCATCTCCAGCTCCTTAGCAAGTTCTTCGAATTCCAATTGCATGTCTTGTAAAGCAGACTGCAACTTCGAGATCTCCTCACTTTTGGTTTCTTGAGTTTCGCCGAGCTGAAGTTGCATATCATTTAAAGCTGCTTGCAACTCTTCCACTTCTTGAGATTTGGCTTCCTCAAGCTCCATCTGCATAAGTAGAGAGATCAGATGCCTCACACAGACAGAGAAACAGCAACACGATCTACTATTATGGTTTAAGAAAATAACATATTCAGCGTGAAAAGTCATGTGTGATATGTACCCTCATCTGTTTCTCAAGCTCTAAGCATGAAGTGAGGTCTTCCAATTCCTTTTCTAACTTAGTCTTCGCATCTTGGAGAGCTCCTGTTTCCTTAGCAGCCTGTAAGACAAAGAAATCTTAGGAAACCTCTGCATACATAAGATCTAGTGTCATGTTAGTAAAGAAAGAATGTCACCATTTTAAGCTTCCGCAATTCTCGGCGCGCAACTTTCACTCTCCAGCCACATTGAGTGGTGATGGCTGCTTTCTTCATTCTTGAAAACCGCCGACTACACAAGCATCTTTTGATTTGACTCTGTGGAATCAGTAACTTACATGTTATTGATACTCAACACAAATTTTATCATTTGACAGATATAAGATATGAAAAAAGGAGATCATTGTCATCGATATGAGGTAATAAACTTGCTTGAATAATGATTGCTGCTTTTCTCTTCTTCCTGTATTGAAGTTCAACTCGTGCAGCCATTGTACGCAACCCAGTCTGAACATAAATAGCTGAAATACACAGCTTTTTATAGGTTGTCTGGCATATATATGTCCGCGCATGCTTCTGAATTATCTTAGAAGCAGCTTCTCTTCTCATGGCCTCAAAATGAAGGCGTGCAACATGTCCTGCAATTAGGAGAAGGAGAAGCCTAATGTGTTATGAAACTAAATTTTGAAGCCAATATGTCCTCCAATTGCATACAACATGTATTACCTCTACAAAAGGCTTGGATTTCAGTTGAAGCGGACTGCAACAACATATATTTTTTACGAGACTGATAAGTAAGGACTTTCCTCTGTATGATCCTTGCTGAATGGCCAAGAACTTCAGCTCGGTGAGCATCCAGTTCTGCCATCTGACCTGCCCTAAGAAACACCTTTGTCTTCCCTATCTGTGATTTTAAAAAATAAACGTAATAAAACAGAATTCATCAAATTTCTCATGGCACAAATTTCTCAAAGCAAATGAACAAGAAGAAAAGCTCAGATAGGGTCTTGTGCATTGTGACCATGAAAAATATCGGAAAGTGGAAATATCATTATCCTTTATTTGTGAGATAAGAATGAAAACACACCTGAAAACCTTTTAGGTCCACTTTCGCTAGTAGCTTTTTGCAAGCATCGACTTCGTCAAAGCTTTAAACATCAAAGCGAGAGGCAATAGAGGTTTTTATATGAGTCTAAAACCTTAAAAAAATTGAAAACTCAATTGCAAAAGCTACTAGTGGTGAATCTACCTTCTTTCTGTAGCCTCCGGGCCCAAAATTCGGAACCTAGTTAAAAATTCATTGAAAGGCTTTCTAGTTGGATATCCAGCACAACTAATCCTAATGGCTTCCATGACTCCCTGAGGCAAGAAAAAGATGTTTCAAAACATCAAGTAAAGGCTGAAAAACTGTTGCAGTTGCAGAAATGAAAGCATAAGGTTTTATGAAACATTAAGCTTACCCCACACCTAAGTTGATGCAGAACGTTAACGTTCTCAAAAATTTCTGGCTTAAGAACGTTATTTGGTTTAACACAGCGTATGTAGTGCGGCTCTGTGGTGTTCAACGTCTCAAGCAAAGATTGTAGTTGTTGCTGTATTTTATTACATGGTGAGAATCACGGTAGATGTATATAAGCAGAATTTGTTGAATTTAATATTATTTTCAGACCTTGAATTGAGAGCCTATTGATGAGAACTTTGATGTTTTGGAGGATTCTTCCCGCAATTTTGGAAACAAAGATGAGACGAAGGAGCAATCTGAAGAATTCATGAGAGATTGATGTTCTCCAACAACATAATCTTTGTTCTTGTCCAAAAATTGTTCAGTCTGATAAGTGACCTGAAATTGGAAATAGCTACAGTCATCACACCAAGTTAACTTCAAGACAAACATTTCAACCACACGCTTTAATTTAATTTACGATCACTAACATCACCAGCATAATGGCAGATGGTAAAGTCTGTACGAGCCAATTTTGGTTTGGTAAAACGCTTGTGGCTATTAAATGTCTGGTATAGCTTTTGCGCAAGTGTATCATGCGTCGATCTTGGAAACATACTGCAGAGGCAAATACAAACACATGCACTTGTTACAGAAAACAAAAAATAAATAAATGAAGAAAGAAAGTAGATGATGTTTTGATACATTACCAAGCCTCATCGATAAGGGCAATAATACCACCAGGTTTCTGACATGAAATAATTTAATATTAGGTACTGGAAAAACAATTTATATGTCTGAAAATTGGATCTATTAGGATATGGATCATGCATAGGTTCCAACAGTACTCATAGCGATACTACTGACCTTTTCTATAAGATCAAGGACATCCTGATTATCAATGAACTCTATGTAACTCCAGTCAATCTCTTCCTTAGTATACTCTTCTTGCTCCATTTTGAACACATGCTGTAGAAGAAAGGAACACATGCATGAATATGGATCAACATAAAATAAGATCAACCAAGAATCAATACTCTGAGAAGAAAATCAGTCTCCAACCTGGTTGAAATGTTGTTGCAGCTTCTCGTTTGTCAGGTTTATACAAAACTGTTCAAAACTACAAAATATTTGTGCCAGAGAAAGTCAACGTTGGAACATGTAACAAATGCATTGTTACTGCAATCAATTGAACCACAGAAACGCGAGGAACAATCTATAATGGAATATTAATATTGTTCGAAACCACAAATATAGCTCTAGCTAAGTAACTAAAAGCTATGGTATATAATGAGAAAGCATATATGCAGGAAACAACATAGCTATTTTGAAATCGAATCGCAAAAGGAAACTTAACATTTGGTGAATATAAGAGCGTACCGGTTAAGCACCTGTTTGTCTTGAAACTCTCGAATCCATAGATATCCAGGACTCCAATAATGTATTTTGAACTTGGGTCTTGACCAATGGAATTATTGATCTTAGTCACAAGCCTGAGAGCAATATATGTGTAACCTTTTAACAATCAAAGTCCAGAGAATGGTATTAAGCCCTTTGGAAAGTGGAAAGAGTTTATTATCATTAACCTACCAATCAAACAATTTAGAATAGACAATCTTGGCAAGAGCATCTCTGCTTAGAGCTGCACTACCAGGATCAAGCGACTTTGTAATGCTTTCACCACGAGTCACCATCACTCTTTTGCACAAGGAGTCCTCTAGAGCTTTTTCATCACACCTACCAAGAAAGAGCAATCAGGGTTCTAACTCCACTCGACAAGAAATCTGTTATTCAAGAACATCAGAATATTGAAGCATATACATGAAAAGTTCTGCAGCCACGTTTAGATGGAACCGGGACTTATCATCCTTAGGTTCTGCAGCATCTGATTCTTCCCCCTTTGCAAACTCGATGTTTCCTAGATGAAGGATAGCAGCAACTATCCGGAAGATTGCATCCTACAAAAGCAAAATGTAAGAAGATTTGTCCTCAAAACTGATAATGTAAATGACTAACCAGAAAGTACCTGCTCTTCGGAACTAATCCCAACAACGTCCATAGCTTTTCTCGTAGCTAGGTACTCCTTGGAATCATCAAGTGCACTCAATTCATAGCAATTAGATTGATTTAGGTAATGAAATGTGCTTGGTTTCCCTAACTTATACCGCTCAATTTCCTGAAATCTCATTACAGAAGCTAGTTTTTTCAGTACAGAACTTTCATAAGTTCGACCTGATGTACCCATAGAAGGGACCATTTTTACCTGTTCTGGCGCAGCGCAGAGCATGTAAAAGCAATGATAGTTTCTTTCAGGATCAGAGACTTGGCAAACTCGTGACCTTTCAAGCAAATATGTTCTAATAGCAGCTCCTGAGATTCTCCCCATATGATTGAACTGAATCTCCACAAATTTACCAAAACGACTGCAATATGAGATATACCCATATGTCAAGTTGTGGCTTCAACAAATTACATAAACAGGGAAATGTTAAAGACGTTTCACCTTGAATTATTGTTTCTGACGGTTTTTGCATTACCAAAAGCTTCCAAAACTGGATTTGACTGCAGATCAGAAGAAAGAGTAAGAAGACATCTCCAGATAATTCTATCTTTAGTAAGAATGTAGATAGCCTATCTACCTCCAAAACTTGCTGTTCTACAGATCGTCCTTCACTCTCAGCTTTGCCACCCATGTATGCAAGATATTGCATGAGCATCTTTGTGCTCTCTGTCTTCCCAGCACCGCTTTCTCCACTCACCAAGATCGCCTGGCTTACTCCCTCGTTGATCATTTTTCTAAATTTATATTCTTGAAGATTGTGAGTCCCAGAAAAAAAATTGGTAGTAAAGTTTCATCTACGGAAACAGAGGATTACCTGTATGCAGAATCAGCAACTGCAAAAGGATGTGGACTTAAGTCGCCAAAATCTGAGCCTTTATATTGTTCCATTATCTCATTTCCATATAGGTGGGGTAATCTCTTAAAGGGATTCACAGCTATCAGTATATTCCCTGTGTATGTCTGTAAACCATTCAAGAACAAATTAGCTTGCTACAGACACTTCAGAAAGAAAACATCTGATGATATAGCTATAAGCCTAAAACTGTGCAGTATAATCTGAAGAACAAAGGAATGGTGGTGAATAAGGGTAACATGCAAAAGCTTACATATATTTCGTTTGCATTGTAACGGGATTTGAGATTGAGAAGAACCCCTGGTTCATGCAAATAAGCAAGCTTTGTCATGTCGTCCACGCCATGCTCAGGAAACTCAGGATCCTTGGGGTAGACGGCATTTACCTTTGCCACAACCTAGAAACAAAAATGCTTCACAGTTATAACCCACCTTCATTTGTCTAATAGTATGATTGATTTTCAGAGAAAAATGGCTAACCGTTTTGGTTTGGCAGTTTACTTTGACTTCTTCATCGTTAGCTTCGACTACTTCTCCATCTATCCAGGCTTCATCTGTATCTTCTACCCAGACTTGCGACCCCAAAGCTATCTTTACTGAATTAGCCTGATCAAAGTAGAGCATAATATGGTAAACAAAAACAGAAAATAAGCTGTGTCAAGCTCCATTAGAATGTGTACAAACGCTCATTAAGTAAATACTATAAACATTTCAATTAAATTAAAGTTAATGGTGGTGAAACGCAACAATAATTTTAAAAAGGCTAAGAATGAACAACATGGAGAAATGGCAATGCAGATTAGAGAAGAGAGACTCATACCATTATCACGGCGAAATCTGATCAGATTTCCCTAGAAACAATCCCGACCGAAGATTTCCAACGGGAGAAACATTACCAAAAATCCCTGGGAACCAAATAAGAAGGTATTTTCTGGGAAATTTTCCCACCATGGATCCAAACGATGAATCAGACTCAAATATTTCACCAACGTTTTCTCTCTCCAAGCTTCAATCGACGTACAAGAAAAGCGGAAGATTAAGGCTACATTCACGTTTGCGGACGCAGATATGAGAGACCTTAAAACCCCTTCAGTTATTCCCTTTCCAGTACCTAAAAACAAAGATGCCCAGGCAAAACTGTAGATTTCCCGCAAAAACTAAGAAATTTTCTCGCGTTTTCCCTCGGATTTTCTCTCCTGCTTGTTTTTTTTTTTGTTTGATGCTTCGTCTCTCTCTCCCTACGATTGCTGGAAAGAGAGAGCAGAGAATCCACGTAGGCGTGTCAGGTGAGACATTTAGCTTTGTGATTCCGAAATTACCCTTATACTAAACCGGGATTTTAACTCGAACATTCTCCTTGACCAATCCCGGTTAGTGGTATTCGATTTCAATGGAGGAGATGATGACAACGTGGCGCAAGCTAAGTGTACATACATGGAGCAGAATATTTTTCTTCACTTTGCTCTCTCCCTTCGCCAGACATTAATGGCGGATAGAGGAGCTCTTCCGCTTCTTCATCCCTTGTTGCCGCGACCCTCTATTTTCCTCAGCTTCTCAAACCTCCATGTGTGGCGATTCCGATACCCCAATTCCTCCTCCTCTGGTTCTCATCTCCTCTATTTCTCTTCCTCGCGCTCAATAATAGTAATTCCGCTGAATCGCCGGAGATTAAGCTATAGAATCGGCGCCGTCGCGGAGGAAGGCGGCAGAAATGGAAGGACGGAAAGGGGGAAAAGAGGGAGGAAGCGACGGCAGCTCTGGGAAGAACTCATGGAGGATAATGTTGAAGAAGACGATGATGATAGTGGTGGTGATGCTAGTGGTAATCTTGATCTGTGGAAGATCTTAGACGAAATTGTAGATAATGTCTGGATTTTAAAGGTATTCCCTTTTAGTTTCCATAACTTTCAATGCCTCTTAAAAATCTTAACTTTGAAATTGGCCTGACTAAAGAAACCACCTCTGTTGCGTTTAGTTGGGAATCTACTACTGTTAACTTAAAATGTGAGATGTTGTGGTATCAAAATTGGTCACTGGGAGACCATAGAAGATTAGTTAAGTTAGTAAGTTTTGAACATTTATTGTTGTACAGTGAATTGGTTTCAAATGAGACGGATGCTTGAGAATGTTCATACTTTTGGGTGGTACTGGTTACATGTAAATAAACATTAGTTAGTATCTTTCTGCTCAAAGCTAAAGAAATTTGTCATGTTGATCTGTAGATGCATATTTGCAACACCAGATTCTGCTCTCTTTTTTTGTTGATGTGGGATCTTTATTGGGTTTTGTTCACTTTGTAGGCATTCAAGTCGTACGGATATCTCCTCCCGTTCATCATCTTCTCGCTTTTTCTCAGCACCGGACCCAAAGCTTTCCTCATATCACTAGCCGTAGCCATCGTGCCATCATTGCTGTTTCTAGCGTTCCAGAAGTTGATTGGTTGGGATAAACGAAGAAGAACATCAATGGCAAATCAGTTTGTGATAGAGGAGGAAGAAGAAGAGATGGAAAGAAGGAGCAGAGTTCGATACAACCCATCATCGCAGGCTAGAAGCAATGTCAATGGCCGTGGAATTAACCGTGGTTCAGCGGAAATGGCTTCTAGGTTTGGTGGGTGGGACGAGTTAGACAGGCTCGGGACCATTTCCGAGCAGCCGAGAAACGAAACGAGTAAGAAACCGATGAAGACGAGGAAGACAATAAGAAGAGAAAAAGCAGCAGAACCATTGTTGTTGAGATTGTTGGTGTCTTTGTTTCCATTCTTGAGCTCTTACACAAACATGCTTAAGTGAACCAAAGAACATTTCCCTTAACCTAATAAACGAACCAATTCTTGATATCAATTAAACCGAACCGGATTGGTTAAAAATAGCTAAAGGAAAAAAAAAAAAAAAGAGAGAGAGAGATTAATAAGAACCAATTAAAAACGTATGTGCCTCAATTTCAGTTTTGCTGTTTCCATGACTTTCCTCTTATCAAGAACATTTCTTTCTCTCACACTCAGACCTTCTTGTTCGATTTCCATGGCGAATTTAACGACGAACGCGAAAGCTTGCCTGAGAGGCGTTGTATTCGATATGGACGGAACCCTTACGATTCCGGTCATCGATTTCGCCGCAATGTACAGGTCTGTCCTCGGTGAAGATGAGTACAAGCGAATCAAAGCGGAGAGTCCTACTGGAATCGATATTCTGCACCATATCGAGTCGTGGAGCCCCGATAAACAGCAGAAGGCGTATGAAATCATCGCCGACTATGAGAAACAAGGAATAGATCAGCTCCAAATCATGCCCGGTACTGATTTTTGAGATTTTGAGTTTGTATTTGTGCAGAAAAAATTTATAATCGACTGTGAATTATAAAAAAAAACTGAGAATGGGTGGGTAAAGACTGAGAATTTGAACTTCGTATAGTTACAATTGAGAAAGATTGCAATTTCAAGGCTGGAAAAGAAAGAGAACAAAAATTGAACATTTTGTTTCAAAGTGGATCTTGTAATGTGTTGTTACAAGACTTTCTGGTCTATGGAGGTTTGACTTTCATCGTTTTACTATTTTGTCTTTTGGTATCTTTCCTTATGAAGTAGTTTTCTGTTTTGTTTATCTTTTGTGTTTCTTTAGGTGGTTACAAGTTTAATTTTCTTCTAATATGCGACACAAATTTATGCTGCAGGTGCTGCAGAACTATGTGGCTTTCTTGATTCTAGGAAGATAAAGTCAGTTTTCAGATTTTTCTATCTATAAATTTGTGTTTCCTTATCCAGATAACCATACTCAGTGTTTAGAAAGCAATATTCAATGTTAAGAAGATAACCAACTGTTGTTACATTTTGTATAGGAGGGGGTTAATTACACGCAATGTTAAGAAGGCAATCGACATCTTCCACCAACGTTTTGAGGCAAGCATTTTAAGCTCTAAGCCAAATATCAACAAATCTACTTAACCAGCTTTCTGATCGGTTTTGCTGGGTCATTCCGGTTACTTATTCCTCAACAAATTGTTTTTTTTTCATTGTATAGGTTATTTTTACTCCAGCACTAGGCAGAGAGTTTCGTCCATATAAACCAAACCCAGACCCGCTGTTGCATATATGTTCTGCATGGGACATCCAACCTAATGAAGTCATGATGGTTGGTGACAGCTTAAAAGATGATGTGAGTGGCAGATATGATGACAAGTCTTAGGTCAAACCTCTCTGCTAGCAAAATCATTAAGCAATGCCAAAAGAGAGGAAGCTTAAAGACGGACCTTCTTATGCCATTGCTTAAAGATTTGCTAAGCGGAAGTGATGCAGACCAACTCTAAGGCTATTTATTTACATTTTGAGTGATCTTTGTTCACTTAATTCTGCAGATAGCATGTGGGAAACGGGCTGGAGCCTTCACTTGCTTGCTAGATGAAACCGGAAGGTATGGACCAGATGATTTCTCTGTCTCCGGACTGCAGCCTGATTTTAAGATTGAATCTTTGTCCGAAATTCAGAACATATTGGAGACCAACTTCCACCTGAACCCATAGTTTTTTTTTTCCAAGTTCCTCATCTTGTAAACTCAGTGGCCAGAATGGTTTCCTACTCAACAAAGGCTGTAGTTTGCAGCAGAATCACTATTGTAAGAGAGATGATGTCATTACACGGTATCTGTTCAGAATACTCATAAATATCAAACTACAGAGTTCTATTCACTGGCCATCTTATGTTGCAAACATAACTGTCTACTTAATTTAAGATTTCAATTCTTTGGTATCATCTCAAGTCTCTAAATTTGATTTTATTTTTCTTTTGAAAAAAAGACTTGTCCACCGCTTTTAGTGTGTCTACAAGTAACCAAAGAACGCATATTTATTTTTGAAAGTCCCAATTGGGTCATTTTGCTTCCCTAGCGTCTGGTTAGCACAGTTAGATAATGGTACATTTCTGTTTGATGGCTATCTAATGCCATATTCCCAGAATAATGGCAATTACGAATAAGATCAACAAGGTAAAGTTGCCTCCGGGAAGAATCCATGACCTGCAAAATCAGAAGCTTTTGGTTTCATATCATTTCTGCAAAGATAGTTCACATGAAGAATCGAAACAGAGGACTAAAGAGAATGTTGTATTGTTGGGTGAAGATACCTGAGCTTCTTTCTGGACTGTTGAATATAAGCCATAGCAGGAGGGAGGACACCAAAGAGGAAGCAGTTTGCATAAACACCTGCGAAATCCAGAGCTCTCACAAACGTTGATGGAAAGAATGTTGCAATTAGAGCTGGAACTCCAAGCACAAACAGCATTACTACTGCTTCAAATCCATCACGAGCTCTTGTTGGTTCACTGTATGAAACTCTCCCATCAGTTCTCTTATTACCCTTCTTCGATGAGAAACTTACAGACCCAATTCTTCCATTTCCATTTCCATCTGATTGCTTAGACACAAGCTTCCATGTATCGAGGAGTTGTTTCGGGAAGCTAACAGCGTATCCAATTGAACTGGTAGCTAAGGCTGAGAAAGCAAAGCCTTGAACAGCAGATAAAGCAGAAGGGTTCACAGATAGAAGAAGAGAAATCGGGTCAATGGATGAAGAATGTACAGGGACATTGATTCTTGCAAGCCCCAAAACAATGAGATTCCATGACAACACCATAGCCAATGGCACAACACCACCTACAAGAATAGCTCTCCGAGCATCTGAGACCGAGTCCCCTGCGAGATGGCATATGAAAGGAGTGATGACATGGAACCCTAGTGTCAGTACCATAACAGGAACTGCGGGTAAAACCGCTGAGACTGTCCAACACGAATGACCAAATGAGGCCAACACATTGGACCTAGCCACAGATAAACCAATGGCCACAAGTGACGTTATAGAGAAGAGCATGAGAAAGCAGAGACACCTGTTGGTGACGTCAATGGCATCGAAAGGGAAAAAACCAATCAAGATTCCTGAAACTAGAGGGAATAAAGCATTGGCCAAGAATGGATTCATGAAAGGAAACCATTGAGACACGATGGAGCCGATACCAGAGACGCAAGCAACCATCAAAGAGAAACTCAGTGAAGCATAGACAAGAGCTACAAAAACTCCAAATTTGTTCCCGAATGATTTCGTTGCAAGCCCTGTGAAGCTAACCTCTGATGCATTGTCTTCTTCCATAGCTGCAAAGCTGAGCTCAGCCACGAGAAGAATGGAAGAGATGACGTAAACCCAAGAACAAAGCAAAGCGATGGTCGATGGGATCGAACCAGATCTGATAGTTGCGGCTGGGAGACCGAGCATTCCGGGACCAACGGCGGTTCCGATGATCAAACTAACTGCAGCCCAGAAACTCTTACCCTTCTTGGTTTCGTGGGTTATCTCCAAATCCTCGACTTTCTGTAAATATTCAGTCTTTTCATCATCGGCGAGCTCAGAAGAAACAAGAGTTGACCGAGTCTCATCATGGTCTCTGCATCCGACAACTAAACGTGAGTAGCGAGAACCATTCTGACTGATGGGTTTTTGATATTCTGGGGTAAATTGCTTAGGAGGCGAACTTCGAATGTGACGACAGTTGTGAAACTTGGGAATAATCCGGCGAGAAGAAAGTGTATGAGGAAGGGCATTTTGGGGAAAAAGAATGGATTTTGAAAGTGGAGGAGATGAAGAAACGGGGATTGGGCAATGTTGGCGAAGAGGAAGAGCCATTGATGTGATGTGCGAGATTCTCCGTCAAGTGGACCTGATTTAATTTGGTTGGGAATGAAATTTTGGAATCTCAAGTCTATGTGTGAAGATACCTTTTTTTGTTTTTTTGTTAATGTAAATAAGACACCACTTTAGTCGACTCTTTCCGGCTCTGTCTAATAGACCAGACACGAGGATTTGGTCTAACCAAACGTATTGTTTCTCTCAAGTAGTAAGGTCACAGGAGTTTATTTATTTATTTTGGGGATGTGACATGTTTCTTGTGGAACAAGGCAATTCTTTTTCAGAGTAAAACTCATGGCGACAGATTCGTTCATCAAGTTAAATCCAATCTCCATTAATCGTACCCGCTACAACCTCCGAGAAATTTCCGGTGTAAACCCTAAAAGTGTCTCTTCTCTGTGCTGCATTAGCCCAAGATTGATATCTCGCAGCAACTTCAACCTAAGGACATTGATCTCCGGCCAAAATGATAACATATTGCTTCCCAAGAAAAATAAACCGGCGATAATCCGATGTCAGGTTAAGTCAGTTTAGTTATTTGAAAAATTAATCTTCCTTTGATGATCAGAGATTCAGAGTATAGTTTTCTTGAATTTATTCAGACAAGTCTTGGGATTGGAAGGAACCAAAAATGGTGGGAGAAGGAACTGAAACCGAACATGAAGTCGGTGACATCAGCAGATTTCTTTACTTAACGCCGGCGATAAACTAGTCGTCGTAGATTTCTTCTCTCCCGGTTGTGGTGGCTGCAAAGCTCTTCATGACTTCATCCCAAGGTAAACCGGTCTCGATCATCTGGAAATAATTAAACCGGAAAAAACAATTTAAACGGAAAACAAACAAAGAAAGACCTTTAAGAAAACACTTTACCGGATTAAGCAAACAAAGAAAGACCATTCGAATTAGGGAGTAATCCGAATAAACCAAATCAAAATATCAACTCAAGTTATGTAGGGATGGTGGGTTATTTAAATATAAGAAAAGTTCAGATTTGGTATATAAATTCATCAAAAATGTGACTTGGATTTATGATATATTCCAGATATGTAAAATTGCAGAGAATAATCCAGAGGTTGAGTTTCTACAAGTGAATTAGGAAGAACAAAGAAGTCTATGTCAAAGTCTTAACGTTCATGTTCTTCCCTTCTTCCGATTCTACCGTGGCTCCTCAGGCCGCGTTTGCAGCTTCAGTTGTACTGATGCTACGGTACATTCCATTTTATTCAAAACAAAATTCTTTCCATAAACAACATGGAACTTCATTGTTTTGTTTGTGTTTCCATTAATTTGCATTATATGTGTATTGTCTTTGTTCAAGTAAACGGACTTAGCATTTAAAAAAATAAATAACTTTGTTAATTGGTAAACATAAACGCTAAACGCAAATGGAACGAGGGTTCTTCATTTTACGTTTGGCTTTTCTTATGAATTTGACAAAATTTAATGAAGAAAAACGATTATTCCGAAAATAAAAAGCTCATTTAAATGATGCAAAATATAAAAACAGTGCATCTGAAACAATTAAAACAAAACTTATTACATAATCGAATTGCACATTTTTGTTTTGGCAGATAAAGAAATTCAACGAGGCATTCGAGAAGCATGGGAGGGAACAATGTAGCATTGGAAAGGCAAAGGGGCTCGAAGAGAAAAAATTAGTCGCCATGGCTTCAAACAAAGACCTATGGTTCGATCATAAACACAAAACTAAATGAAGATATACTTCTCGCAAGATCTCCAAGCTCAAAAGAAAAAGATATACTTCTCCCAAGATCTCCAAGCTCAAAAGAACAAAATGAAGTATGTTATATAATCACCCCTGTAGGAATTGTCTAGCATTTGTTTTTATTTATTTATTTCGATTGCTGTTATTTGGGGGTCATAATATTAGAATTGTTGTTTTCTATAGAACTGTTACTTTTTATTTTGTCAACATAAAGAATTGTTATTTTTATATATCCGAGAGTATTCAACTGTACCACAACGGGCCAGCAAAATAGCTCAACCTCCACATAGTCGAGCTTCACGCGGGTGAGATGGAGCAGAGGTTTGACAATCACCCGCCAACTTGCTCTTCTCGAGTATTCATGTACATGTCTATAAATAATGTAGGTCAATTTGGAATAATAAAGTGTTATAAATTTGATGTACAATTCCCTATGCTTTATACGCTCTGGAATATAATGATGTATTCTCATTATCAAAGTTTTTATCTTTAGGAGGCGTTTGAAGTGGAGCTTTGATTTTGTACAACATTGTATCATTTCCAAAGTTTGGGGGACAAAGAAAAGATCCCACAAATAAAATCAGTTGCTCAACCATTGTCATTCTAGCTTGCAAAATGTAATAGAGGGTAAAAAATCTATGGTGCAAAAAGAAAAAGAAAAAATTCATTTTGGTATCATAATTAATATTATAAAATTTTCTCAAACTTCACGAAAATATCACCAAATAACCATTGTTATATATTTTCATAATTGTAAATTATCTTCATATCGTTTAACTTTCACCTAATACCATTACAAAACTCCACAAATATATAATTTTAATTACGTATTTTATGTCATTAATTTGATAAAATAAGTCTTAGATTAAGGAAATGTATATCATTGACCAAAAAGGATATACATTTTTCTATTTAAAGTAGTAAAATTTAAAAATAATAATTAATAGGAGAGATATTTCTTTTCTTAAATATTTCTTACTACTAATTTTTTATTTAAGAAAATGTATCTTTGAAAATATATATTTTTATTTAGAGTGGGTCAAAGATACGTTTTCTTATATGAAAATATATATTTCTATGTAGAGTGGGTCAAAGATACATTTCTTTATATATGAAAAATATATGTTTCTATTTAGAGTGGGTCAAAGACACATTTCCTTATATGAAAATATATATTTCCATTTAGAGTGGATCAAAAATACATTTCTTTATATGAAAATATCTGTTTCTTTTTGTGGATCAAATATACCTTTCCTTATATGAAAAATTAGTAGTAAAAAATATTTTTAAAAAGAAATATATCGTCTCTCAATTATTATTTTTAAAATATTATTTTATATGTAAATATATATTTAAAATATTTTTACATTGACCAAAAAAACGAAATTTTTTTTTTGATAATGAAGTATGATATATATATAAATATATGTACGTTTTCATAGCAACAAAAAAATGAAAATTAAATACAAATTTATTTGAGAACAAATAAGTATTTTTGTTTAATAGAAAGTTTTTTACATGAATTTTAAAATTAGAAATTATCACTATTAAAAACTAAATGAATTCACAAATTTAAGGTTGAACACCTCATTCCCTGAAGATGGCAAACTTTCGATCTTAATAAAACTTATTTTTTATGTTCTTAAGTTTTGGATGATTTAATACTAAAGAAATGTAAAGTAGGTATTTATAGGCATGAATAGGATTTGTGGTACATTTATCTGGATTTAGATATGTGGCTCTTAGATATTTAAAATTTTGGATTTCCATCCAAAAACCAGGTGTTCTTTGCCAAAAAGGTATAACAAAAAATTTACTAAAAATGTTTCGAATAAGATTTTCTTTATATAAATTCAATTATACATTATATTTTTCTTTAAATAAATCTTATATCAAAAAAATAATTATACATATATTATATCTAGAAATAATTTAGTATGGTGTAGATCCACATATCCAGTCCTTAAATATTTAATATCTGAATGAAATTCTAGTTTAAAAATAGTGGATTTGAAATTTTACTATCTAAACTTGGTACCATCGGTTTGGATGATCCGACCATTCTAGGTGCTTAAGCTATCGACCAAAAAAAAAAAAATTACTATCTAGATTCAGATTTATCTTAAATATTTCATTTTGAGCTTATGAAACTTATTTACTATGCTTTTAATAAATTAAAATTAAAAGCAACTTATTTTAATAGATTTGAAATTTTAATATCTAGATTCAGATCTATCTAGCTGAAAACCATTAATTTACATTTTCTCTTATAGTTGAAAACCACTAACTTACACACAAAAAAAAACATCTTTACACATTTTATTGCATTTTAAACCCATTTTTATATTTTAAATCCATATTATCAAAGACATTATAAGAATATTCCTATTTTGAACAAAAAATAATAGATTTGAAATAACTATTGTATAACTCATTAGATAGATCTAAATCTATATAGTAAATTTTTAAATCTCTAATAATAAGTTATACAATAGTTTTTTCAAATCTATTAACTTTTTGTTAGTTGTTTTAGGTTCAGAATAGAGGCATTATTACAATATATTTGATAATATGGATTTAAAATACAAAAAAATGGTTTAAAATACACAAAAAAAAAGTGTAAAGATATTTTTGTAAATTAGTAGTTTTCGGCTATAAGAAAAAATGTAAATTTCTCAAAACAAATTACAGTTTTGCCCTAAATTATTTGGAAAATAAATAAATAATACAAATTAAACTAAGCGCATCCATAAAATTCTTTCCACATATCACCTACCATACTAAGATGTAATTTAGAAGATTTTAAAGCCACATAGATGTAATCTGAAAAGATAACAAATACTTCTCATGGGTATAAATACAAGAGTTTTCGGTATTAAATCATCATCTCGAATACATTAAAATCTAGTTTGATAAATATCAAAATTTGTCTTCTCTTCAAGAAATGAAGTATTCTACTGATCTTTATTTCTTAATTTATTTAATTTTAGATCATGATTTCTAGTTTTAAAGTTGACGAGAGTGTGAATTAAGATTTCTCAACTACACAAAGAACATTGTTTTTTTTTACAGACAATATAACTACAAATTATTTGATATTATGAGTTTATACAGTTAAATAAATTATCAAAAACCAGAAGAACCAAGTGTAAAATTAGTGGCGCTGTAAATTAAGATTTCTTAACTATACGAGAAAATATGAAATTTTTATTCAAATTTATAAACCATTACTTAACTAACAATCTAACAATAAATTGCATATTGGGTTAGGTTTCTCCAATATTCAAAATTGCGCTAGGCGTTAGTCGGGCGATCAAGTTCCGGCTAATGCCTAGCCCAAAAATATGATTTCTCAAATCTATTAACTTTTTGTTAGTTGTTTTAAGTTCAAAATAGAGATATTATTACAAGATTTTTGATAATATGGATTTAAAATACAAAAAATGGTTTAAAATGCAAAAAAAAAAGTGTAAAGATGTTTTTGTAAATTAGTAGTTTTCAGCTATAAGAAGAAATGTAAATTTCTCAAAACAAATTACGGTTATGCCTTAAATTATTTAGAAAATAAATAAATAATACAAATTAGACTAAGCGCATCCATACAATTCTTTCCACGTTTCACATACCATACTAAGATGTAATTTAGAAAATTTTAAAGCCACATAGATGTAATCCGAAGAGATAACAAATACTTCTCATTGGAATAAATACAAGAGCTTTCAGCATCAAATCATCATCTCGAATACATTAAAATCTAGTTTGATAAAGATCAAAATTTGTCTACTCTTCAAGAAATGAGGTATTCTACTGATCTATATTTCTTAATTTATTTAATTTTAGATCATGATTTCTAGTTTTAAAATTGATGAGAGTGTAAATTAAGGTTTCTCAACTATACGAAGAATTATTTTTTTTGAAAGAAAATATAACTACAATTTTTTTGATATAATGAGTTTATACAGTTAAACAAATTATCAAAAACCAGAAGAACCAAATTTAGTGTAAAATTGGTGGCGCTGTAATTAAGGTTTCTCAACTATACGAGAAAATATGAAATTTTTATTCAAACTTTAAACCATTGCTTAACTGACAATCTAACAATAAATTTCATATTGGGTTAGGTCTCTCGAATATTCAAAATTGCGCTAGGCGTTAGTCGGAGTTCCATCTAATGCCTAGCCCAAAAATCAGTGATTAAGAAGTGATTAATCTAATTAATATTTTTTATATTTTTATTATTAAATTTTTTATGAGTTGATTTTTAAAACAATTATGAAAAGTTCATTCTAGAAAGATATAAGAAATTAATAAATTTATATGATTAAAGATAAATAAAAATGCGTCATTTAATTGGAAAAAAAGTTGATCTGGATTTTTTTCAAATAAATCATGATTTCTCAAATCTATTAACTTTTAGTTAGTTTTTTTACATTCAAAATAGAGTCATTATTACAAAATCTTTGATAATATGGATTTAAAATACAAAAAATAGTTTAAAACGCAAAAAAAAAGTGTAAAGATGTTTTTGTAAATTAGTAGTTTTCAGCTATAAGAAGAAATGTAAATTTCTCAAAACAAATGACAGTTATGCCCTAAATTATTTGGAAAATAAATAAATAATACAAATTAGACTAAACGCATCCATACAATTCTTTCCACGTTTCACCTACCATATTAAGATGTAATTTAGAAGATTTTAAAGCCACATAAATGTAATCCAAAGAGATAACAAATACTTATTATGGGTATAAATACAAGAGTTTTCGGCATCAAATCATCATCTCGAATACATTAAAATCTAGTTTGATAAATATCAAAATTTGTCTTCTCTTCAAGAAATGAGGTATTCTACTAGTCTATATTTCTTAATTTATTTATTTTTAGATCATGATTTCTAGTTTTATAGTTGATCAGAGTCTGAATAAAGGTTTCTCAACTATACGAATAATTTTTTTTTTTTTTGAAAGAGAATATAACTACAAATTTTTTTATATTATGGGTTTATACAATTAAAAAAATTATCAAAAACCAGAATAACCAATATTAGTGTAAAATTGGTGGCGCTGTAAATTAAGGTTTCTCAACTATACGAGAAAATATGAAATTTTTATTCAAATTTTAAACCATTGCCTAACTAACAATCTAACAATAAATTGCATCTTGGGTCACGTCTTTCCAATATTCAAAATTGTGCTAGGCGTTAGTCGGAGTTTCATCTAATGCCTAGCCCAAAAATCAGTGATTAATAAGTGATTAATCTATTTAATATTTTTTTATTTTTATTATTAAATTTGTTATAAATAGATTTTTAAAACAATTATGAAAAAATTCATTCTTGAAAGATATAAGAAAATTATTAAATTTATATGATTAAAGATAAATAAAAATGCGTCATTTAATTGAAAAAAAAAAGTTGATCCCGATTTTTTTCAAATAAATCATGATTTCTCAAATCTATTAACTTTTTGTTAGTTGTTTTAAATTCAAAATAGAGCTATTATTACAGAATCTTTAATAATATAGATTTAAAATACGAAAAATGGTTTAAAACGCAAGTGTAAAGATGTTTTTGTAAATTAGTACTTTTCAGCTATAAGAAGAAATGTAAATTTCTCAAAATAAATGACAGTTATGCCCTAAATTATTTGGAAAATAAATAAATAATACAAATTAGACTAAGCGCATCCAAGCCCAGCCCATGGTATAGGCCAAGTAGGCAATGGACTAGGATCCAAATTTTTTTTAGCATAATTTTGTCATTAGAATTTTTTTTTCTTTTAATTCTTAAGAAATAGGGCACATTTTTAAAAAATAAACTATGACCTTGCATGGGCTTGGGCCGGCACTGAGCGCATCCATACAATTCTTTCCACATTTCACCTACCATATTAAGATGTAATTTAGAAGATTTTAAAACCATATAAACGTAATCCAAAGAGATAACAAATACTTCTCATGGGTATAAATACAAGAGTTTTCGGCATCAAATCATCATCTCGAATACATTAAAATCTAGTTTGATAAAGATCAAAAGTTGTCTTCTCTTCAAGAAATGAGGTATTCTACTAATCTATATTTCTTAATTTATTTATGTTTAGATCATGATTTCTAGTTTTAAAGTTGATGAGAGTGTGAATAAAGGTTTCTAAACTATACGAAATTTTTTTTTTTGAAAGAGAATATAACTACAAATTTTTTGATATTATGGGTTTATACAGTTAAACAAATTATCAAAAACCAGAATAACCAAAATTAGTGTAAAATTGGTGGCGCTGTAAATTAAGGTTTTTCAACTATAAGAGAAAATATGAAATTTTTATTCAAATTTATAAACCATTTCTTAACTGAAAATCTAACAATAAATTGTATATTGGGTTAGGTTTCTCCAATATTCAAAATTGCGCTAGGACGTTAGTCGGAACTCCGACTAACGCCTAGCCCAAAAATCAGTGATTAATAAGTGATTAATCTATTTAATATTTAATTATTTTAAATATTTAATTATTATATTTCTTATAAATAGATTTTTTAAACAATTATGAAAAATTTCATTCTAGAAAGATATGAGAAAATTATTTTAATGAAAATTAATAAATTTCTATGATTAAAGATAAATAGAAAATGCGTCATTTAGTTGCAAAAAAGTTGATCCGGATTTTTTTCAAATAAATCATGATTTCTCTTAAAATTTGGTCTATATTAGATATAAATTGTATAACTGCTTAATTTACCGCATAGTCATAAATCAGGTTGGTTAATGCCTAAGCAGTTCTTAGGTGGCTAGACAGTTTATTTTTTGAATAGGCAGCCAATTTTGTGAATATGGGTCCATCAATACAATATTTTTTTCTCACATTTTACCTACCATTTTTGTGAATTAAACATCTTTTTTTAATAGTATGCATGAATGCAAAAACTGATTCTGAGTGATGACGTAAAAACATTACTAATCCAAAACATCTATAAAAAACTTTTTTTTTTATTATTTCCCTAATTAAAAAAAATAACAATAAAAAGTTAGATATTGTTGACAAAAAAAAAGTTAGATTTTTTGCCATTAATATGTAAAAACAATGACTAAAATAAAAAGTGAGGAAAAAAAGTGGTACAGCGCTCGATTTATATAGCAAAATTAATTAACTATAGGAGTACATAACAAAAAAAAATTGTAAGCCTTTACCTTCATCTTAAATGAAAAAAAAAAACAAACCAAAAAAACAAGATTAGATCTAGATACATTCATATGATGCTTTAAAGCATTCTGCTAGATTGCCACCTAATATTTTCTTCTTTTTCTTTGTTACACTTCGTATTATTTTCACTGTTTTGAAAATGGTAATATGATTGTTGGTCATTGAGTTTATACCAAACGTATTTACAAAAATTTAAATATTGAAATATATTGAAATCGCGAATATAATTATATATTAAAAATTAGTTATATGTTTCAAATTGTCTCTGCGCAATAATAGTTTTTTAATTGTCTTTCATTTCATTGGTAATTTTGCGACTTGCGTAGTGTAGGAATATATTTTAACTTTTACACACTAACGTAGTGTAACGTTTAACCAATTTCAATTTTTTTTTTCCAACAAACAGGAACAACAACAACAACAACGACAAGTTCTCGGAGAAGCTGAAAGCATCTCGGAATCATGGAAAATCCCTGAGGACGGATCCGGGTCTTAGCCCGAATTCGTTTCGGACTCGAAGCCCAGGTGTTTCACTCTTCCCTTCGTTGGGGAGAATGACTACTCTCGTGCCGTTCCCGGACCTGAATCTCTTGCCGGAGTCCGCATCCTCCTCCGCCGCCGGAGTTTCTGGAGTTGCCGGACGGTCATCGGTTCAGAATCAAGGGTTCAAGGCAGAACCAATTGTTAATTGGGATGCCCAAAACCCAAATGGAGTTTCATCTGATTCCGATCATACCACTCCTCCGCCATCTTCACTTTCCTCCCCCGACATGACCGATGTTTCCACCGAGTTTGATCGCTTCGCTGAGCGTTTCATTTCTGGATTTGGGAGTCAGCAGCCCGAGGGATACGGCGAGTCCTCTGCAACCGGTTCGAAATCCGGCGAAAAACAGCCTTTGGTGACGCTTGCACCACCACCGGGATTTGAGGGTTATCGCGTTTCAAACCACGTTGCTTCGCCTCTTCCTCCACTGGAACTCCGGAGACCGCAAGAGCTCGCGAGGTTCACTATGGTAGGGGATGAAGATCAGAAACGCCACCGAGAAATCTTTAAACAAAACCGAATGATCTACGACTCTCTCCGGATTCATCTCGTGAAGGAGGATTCCGTTGCTGGTGAACGGCGCAAAACCAGAGGCGATATAAAGGCTTCGGCTTTGATGAAAAAACGTGGCTTGTGGCTGAATCAGGGGAAATACTTTGTGGGTTCAATCCCTGGGATTGAGATCGGCGACGTCTTCTTCTACCGTCACGAACTGTGCTCGGTGGGCTTACACAGCCAGCTACAAGCCGGAATTGACTTTTTAACGGCTCAACGTAGCTCCAAAGGTGAACCGATAGCCACCAGCATCATCGTCTCAGGCAATTATGAGGATGATGAAGACACAGGAGAGGTTCTGGTTTATACTGGTCACGGTGGTCAGGATAAGCTCCACAGGCAGATTCAAGATCAGAAGCTAGAAAGTGGGAATCTAGCAATGGACAGGAGTATGTTTCATGATGTTGAGGTACGGGTGATTAGAGGGTTTAAGTATGAGAACAAAGTTAGCTCTAAAGTGTTTTTCTACGATGGTTTATACAAGATTTCAGATTGCTGGCCTGATATGGGGAAGTCTGGTTTCGTAGTGTATAAGTTTAGGCTAGTCAGGATCAATGGGCAACCCGAGATGGGCAGTGCAAGAATGAGATTTGCGGAAACACTCAAAAGTACGCCGTGGATAGTTAGGCCTAGTGGGTACATAAGCTTTGACATTTCTTCCAATAAGGAGAATGTCCCTGTGTATCTATATAATGACATAGATGATGATCGGGAACCCTTAGACTATGAGTACATCTCGAAATCTGTCTTCCCTATGATTTACGCTCAAGAAGAGATCAACAGGGCTGGCTGCGACTGTAGTTTCTCCTGCAGTGAAGATTGTCTTTGTGCAAGGAAAAACGGTGGTGAGCTTGCTTATGACGATAAAGGGAATCTACTGAGAGGAAAGTCTGTAGTATTTGAATGTGGGGCATCTTGCAAGTGCGGTCCGAGCTGTAAGAACCGTGTGACGCAGAAGGGATTGAGGAACAGGCTGGAGGTTTTCAGGTCCAAGGAGACCGGTTGGGGTGTCAGGACACTGGATTTAATTCATGCCGGTGCTTTTATTTGTGAATATGCAGGTGTTGTTCTCAAAAGAGACCAAGCTAATGCTGTGTCGATGAATGGGGATACTTTGGTCCATCCGGGCCAGTTCAGAAAGAATTGGAGGAACTGGGGTGACTTATCTAAAGTACTCCCGAATCTTGTTCGGCCGGATTATCCATCTCTCCCTCCGTTAGATTTCGCATTGGAGGTGTCAAAGATGAGAAACGTGGCTTCTTACATTAGTCCCAGCAAGGAACCAAATGTGATGGCACAGTTTGTACTGTATGACCATAATAACTTGATGTTCCCTCGACTCATGCTTTTTGCACTGGAGAACATCACTCCGTTATCCGAGCTAAGCTTGGACTATGGGTCGGCCGATGAGCTAAACGGGAAGCTCGCCATCTATAACTGAGGAGTTTCCGTAGCTTGTTTCTGGATGCTTTAGCTTGAGGTAGTTTCTCAAATCAATGTTATTTCTACATCTCTTATCATAGGAGTCTCATTGTCTGTACCATTTGCTTGTTCACAACTTCACATGCCAAAGTCTTACCGTTTTGGAGTTTTCCTTGCGCAATTTTTTTCTATTCTCTCTCTGTTTTGTATTAATCTGTTGCAACAATGATGCAGATGGAGAATATTTTGACAAAACCTAAACCTTTCTCCGCTCGTTCGCTGTTCTGTCTTTCCTTCTCTCTGCGATATCTGCAAGGCAAGAACCTTCTCTTTTGTCGATGTGTATCTTATTAAGTTATTAGTGTACTAAAATGTGTATGTCTCTGTCGGTCATATGATATGATGGAGCTTTAGCTGATTTGAAAGAAAAAAAAAATGTAACAGCAAAGCAACAAAACATTCTGTAAAGAAATTTTTGTATAAAAGGCTTTTGAATTTGTTTCTTCCTTTATCTTTTGTCTTTAATTCTGCACGTTGATCAGTCTCATCATGATTTGTAAAGCAGCCCTTTTATCTCATCTGTCTGATCTTTTGAGAGTGTTGTCATTTTATGAGCCGGTCGGAGACGGACTAAAGAATATGATTTCAGGACCAAAGCATTCATTGGACATTGTGTCCTCACATAAGTCAACTTTAGAGAAATATTAGACTTTGATTTAAACATTGATGATTGCTTGATTCGAGTAAACCAGCCTCCAATACACACTATGGTTGATAGACTGGCTGCTTAACACTCTTATCAGAGAATTGTATAAGCTTGATAAATCTCCTTGGAAATCTCCTCCTTAGGCTAAGTCTCAGAGTCAAGCTTGCTCTGCTTTATTCTCATTTCCTCTGATTCTTGTCTTCAAAACAGAGACATTGTAACGACCATCTTAGACATCTCTCTGCGTTTATGCTCTCTCTCTTTAACGGCTCATTGGCTAAACCAGAGGCATCTCTCTGGAGGCATAGTATCACAAATCAACAATACGTATTTAGTGTAGTATTGTATGTCCTGCTTCCTCCTGCCCAAGAAGCTAATTACGCAGATAACAAGTGTAATGAGAAAGTTCTGGTGGTCAGCTATAATAGAAAAGAATAAAATTCCGTGGAGGAAGATCACAGATACAAAGCAACTAGGATGTCTGAGGAAAATGAAACACGAAAAGATGGTGAAGAGAATGTCTTGGATACATATAAGGCTTGAGTACAAATAAATAAAATTACTTGGAAGAGATCCAAAGATCAAACACAAGAACGAAACAGCAACCCTACCGGTTTCTGCCCCTATCAGGACGACCAATTATCTTGAAGAGCCACTCCGGCTTGTATAAAGCAACAATATGTCCTATTGGCAATCCAAACAACACCCCAGGCCAATACCCTATTGCTACTCCTTTCCAGTTCATCACCTCCTTTTCCTCTTGGTCATCTTCTTGCTTTTGCCGTTGTGTTGGGGGAGCACTAGTGTCAGAGCAAGTTTCATGGAGAGGAAGACCACAAAGCCCTGCATTCCCTTCAAAGGAGGATTTAGGTTGCCCACTAATCTGTGTCCCTTTTGGTATTTCACCCATGAGTTGGTTGTGAGAGACATTTATGTACGCCAAAAACGAGAGGCTCCCGAGTTCTTGTGGAATATATCCTGATAGTTTGTTACAGGACAGGTCTAGTGACTCGAGTTGGGTAACATTGGCAAAAGACATGGGAATTTGGCCGGTGAAGGAGTTGTTGGATAGGTTGAGCGCAATGAGTGTCGTCAAGAGACCAATAGATTCTGGGATCTGTCCACTAAGTCTGTTTGCAGAGAAATCAATGGCGACATAGAAAGTATTTACCTTTTCATACTCCAAAAGTAGACCTTTGTATTTCAAGTCTAAAGCATAAAAATAGCTATAGAGGGTATCTGTATAGTCTCCCATATACATCTTCCCGTCTCCATACATCTTGTTTGATGATACACTCCAATTTACAAAGTAATCTGGTGACAATCTCCCTGTAAAGTTGTTTTCTGATATGTCAAGTATCCGCAGCTCTGGAAATCCCAAAGGTCCTTGAGGAGGAGATACAGGGACCATAAAATGTGTTTGAATGGAGGGTAAGGACTTGCAAATCCGGCAAAACCTTAAGCCAAAAAGGAAACACATCCTTTATGTTGTTGTGCTCCACACTCAGAAACCTTAGAAAGGAACAGTTCACAAGAGACCTCGGAAGCTTCCCGCTTATTTGATTGTACCCAACATCAAGTGTTTGTAGCAGAGAATTGCTGTAAAACGTGTCGGGGATACTTCCCTGCAAGTTATTCCTCCGGAGATTGACTATCTTTAACTTGCTAAGGCATTGAGGAATTGAGCCGCTCAAGTTGTTGTAGGATAGATCAAGAGCTTCGAGAGAGCTTCGTTTGCAAGTTGAAAGAGGTATGTCTCCTGTGAAACTATTGCTCGATGCCAAGAAGAGTCTGATAGAGAGTGGTGGAGCATGAAGAGGTCCTGTGAAGGCGTTTAAACTAAAATCTAGCATTGTAACTGATGAGTTCCCAAGAACTTGTGCAGAACCATCAAAACCGTTGAAAGAATTGTTTGAAAGACTCACTATGCTCAATCGGGGAAGACTCCATAGCCACTCTGGAACTTTCCCTTTGATTCTATTGTTGGAAAGTTCTAAACGCTCTAGATTCTGTAAGGTCTTGAGAAACTTTGGGAACTCGCTGATGTTGCAGTTCTTCATCATTAACCGGTTCAGTTTTGGTGGAACGTCAGGATCTGAGCTTATACTTGTCGCCGATATTATATTACCGGAAAGCTCAAGGTTCAGCAAAGATTTGAGAGAGGAAAAGAGTTTTAAGTCAATGGGGTCGCTTACGTTTATGAAAGACAAGACGAGATCTTTGAGAGTTGTTAACTTTGAGATAGGCTCTAGTATTTTTCCATCGAAATGGTTATGTCCAAGGAACAAGTGCTCAAGCCTAGATGAAGAGGTATTTGAAACTTCGATAGGACCAGTGAGATGGTTTCCACGAAGATCAAGACTTGACAAGAAAGGCATCATGAGTAGTGTAGAAGGGATGGATCCTGAGAATTGGTTGTATGAAAGGTCTAAAATGGAAAGCTTGGTGAGATTCTGGACAAGTTGGAAACCACCAGTGAGCTCGTTATGTGAGAGATCCAACTTGGCTAACTTGGTTAGGATGCTAAATGAGGAAGGAACTTGACCAATGAAGCCATTAGAGGAAAGAGACAAAACCTGTAATCTGTTGAGATTGCTGAGTCCAGAAGGGAGTGAAGAGGAAGTGAAGTTGTTGTGAGAGAGATTGAGGTAACCAAGATGGTGAAATCCGAAGAGGATACTGTTTGGTTTGAGAGTTCCAGTGAAGCAGCTACTTGGGAGCTGCAGCTTCGTGACCGCACCAGTCGCGTTATCGCACCGGACACCATTGAAGTAGTCAGTTTGGTTGCAAGCGCGAGATTCAAACTCGTTCTTGAACTGCAGAAGAGCTTGGATCTGGTCGGGACGACAATCAGCATGTCCAACAACAAGAGCTTTTATCATCAAGAAGCTTGAAGCAAAGACACAACAGAGTACCAAGAGAAAACGAAAACGCAGACATGACATGGTCATGATGAGAACCCTTTTTTAGAAAAATAATTAGTTTGTATGAAAAAAAAGAGTCAGAGAAGATGAGTCTATCTATATATCCTTTGTTCAGTTCAGCAAAGACCAAGAACCAATCAGATAAGGAAGTGAAATCCATGTTGACGTTGATATCCCCAAGTCTCACATTAGTTCAACAATCTCACATATGTTCACACTCACTGGCGTAACAAATAGGGAAATGGCATTAGTCTGTTAATTGATTGGAGAAGACTTGGTCAAATTTGATTTGATTGAGTTTGATACTCTCAGACTCCCAATTAGATACAAACAAAACAGATGATAATAGGTCTACAAAAGACTCATGGGATTAAAACAAGGGCTAAAGCAAGGGTATAGACGGAAACTTGCATAAAAAATCCGATTGGAGTATTGAGTAAATCTTCTTTGGAAACGTTTGTTGACAGCTTAGTGTACTCCACTATCAGAAGTTAAACTGTTAAGGAATGTTTTAAATTGTACATACATCATGATTTTTCATCATCTATTTGTTGTTTCTTATGTTTCTGAAAACGCATTTCATGTGTCATGTGATATAGAGACAGTTTCTTGGATCAATCAGAGCGAATTCACAAACAAAACCCTTAAAACACGATATTAGATAAGCTTCAAATATTTACAGTGTTGTAAAAGAAATAAAGAGCATTCTCTTCCATAGTATATGGTGAAATCGCAACCGAAAAATAAAATAAAAGACAGGCCAAAAAAAAACCCTAAAGAAAAAAACCAGGACAAACCATTAGAAGAACCAAGAAACATACACATACTGGATAAGATCAATCTAGCTTCTGTTTCTTCCTTATGCTTGCTTCAGAAGTATCTTAGACTTGCAAAAACCCAAAAAAAAAAGAAAAACCTGTAACAACGTAGTGTCGAAAAGATAGCTAAACCGGTTGGTTTCTTTGTCTCTCGTTCGGTTCTTGATGTCTTGCAGCTGCATATATAAAAGATGTTTTAGTCCAAGATTTTTATTCCATGTTTTATCAAACAATAAGAGAAATCAAGACGAGATAATCTACATACCGAGTCCATTAGCTTCAGAGGTTTTCATCACTCGAAGCCTTTTCACCGACGTTATGAACATTCTAAGATATAATCAAATAACTTAGATCATTAGATTAAACATTCATCAGACATTCAGAGATGATCAACTCATGGGTTTTTAGATATGTTACCTCCATGGAACATCACCAACAAGCATCCAATCTCCTTCCTTGTCTTCATAAGTAAGTACAAACTCAGACGATCCATCTAAAAGCCTCAACGGTTTAGTGAACTGACCCGTTAACCCGATAGTACCCGGATTATTTCGAAAGAACATATCTTCCAGTGTCTGCGCCAAATTCTCATAGGAAGAATGAGCATTCAAGTCCACTTTCCTTCCTATCGCAACTCCATCCATGTTCACCTTAATAAACCCAACTTGCACTTTCCCATTCGCTTTCTTCGTGACATCTTTAGTCTCATCATCTTTCACTTTCTTCTTACCAGCTTCTTCTTCTTCCCTCGCCGACTTTGCAGCTTGGTTATTAACCAAACTGTTCATCCTGTGAGATCCAATAGGTGGCCATCCCACAACTTGACTGCTACACACAAAGCAAACATCACTCAGGACTTGTGAATATCAAAATGAATCAAGAGCTATAACCAAGAACAGATTCAACTTTTTGTAGACTTAATTCCAAGAAACAGAGCCTTTCTTCCTACAAAAGTTGATTGGTTATGTCTGAATAACTGAGCTAGCTCTTAAAAAAGCCAAACAATAAGAATCTTTAACTTCTAGACAAATTATTGTACACAGTGAGCTAGCTTTAGCAACGCTAAACACTTAAGAATCGTTAACTACTCCTAGACAAACTCTGTTCTCAGAATAGCAATTTCACATCACGCATAGAGAATAAACACTTAAAAGATCTTTATTTAAAATTGTTCATCCCTTGAAACCGAAAAAGCTAATAAAGTATTAAGCTTTTTTTTCTTGACTAAAAGACGAACCTTGAACGAGGAGGAGATGCACCTGCATGAGAAGCAGAATCAGCAGCTCGTTTAGAGCCAACAGAAGGGAAATCCTTTGCAGTCAAAAGCCTTCCACGCTCTCCCCACGCGCCGCTGCCGCCGACACCGCCTGATTTACCAATCTTGGACGCCGTTCCACCGCCAAGACTGAGCCCTAGACCCAGTTCTAGCTCACTCTCAGCTTTCCCCATCTCAAGCTCAGTAATCATTTAGAGAGCAAAAACAACAACAAAAACACGCACTATTAAGAAAGAGCCCTTAAGAATCCAAAACAAAACCCGAAAGAGAGAGTCTTTTTGGAAGTCAAGAGCAAAAACCTGGGAGTGCAAAATGGAAAGGAGACAAAAAAGAGGAGAGAAGGAAACAAGAAAACAAACAAACAGAAAGAGACAGAGAGAGGATTTTAAGGGTTTCTTGAAATCTGGAGAGGAGAGTTTTCAGAATTGAAGGAGAAGAAAGAAAGAAAGGATTAGGTGGTGGAGAGAGTGATGAGAATTGGGTCCCATATGTCTGGTAGTGGCCATACCAACAACAATGCCATTCTTCTTCTTTTTATTTATTTTTATTATATTTCTTTTAATTAAAAATTTTAACTTTTCTTCCCGACATTATCAAACTTGTCGTGCTCCCGTTGCGTTATTGTTTTCTCTTTTGTTTATTAATGAAAAACGGAACAAAATTTGTATACTATCTATATAAAAAAAAGTTGTTTGTGTGTTATATAATTTGTGGAATACTCTGTTTAAACATCACTCTTTCTTTTTCTATTTTTGCAAGAATTTGTATTCGTTTTGATGATCGCCATATGGAGTTTATTGTTTGTATTCATCCAATCTTACCAATTAAGTAGTTATGCTTTATCATGTTCGTAGAACACAAAACTACTAAAATATATAGCTAACCAGATGTGAAAAGTTGAATTCGGATCAATATTGCAATATATGAAGATAGTGGAGATACAACTGTTAAAATCTTAATGGAAAGACTAAATCATGTTTTTTTTTTCAAAATTGAAATCAAACTTAGAATATGTTGTCATCACTCATCAGTTATGTTATTATCGTTTGAACTTAAACATTGTTATGCTTATGCATATTAATATCTGTATCTAATGAGTTTTTTTTTTGGATTTTGATATATAGAAAAATTCCACTATAGTCAAATTTCAGCTGATATATATGATATGTTTACTTCATTAATCAAATCCGTTTCAATTTAATATCCATGTACTTTATAATAGAAATTAGTTTGTCGTTAAATAATGTATATTGCCCGCCCTTTCTTTTTTCGGGAGGATTATGCTTGATGTCAAATAAAGTGAGAAAACAAATGGGTACATAATAAGAATTATTAAATTAATAGTGGTGATGAAATTAGACATCATCATGTCTCTTGATATGCTATGATGATTCTTTGAAAACTTTTTCAATCGCTACTGATGTGTGGAAATTCCTCTTTCGATCGAAATCATGACTAATGGCATTATGAGAACATATATTTCACACTCTATTGATGGATTTGTTAGAAAAACGAACTCAGTTTTCTTTAATATTTTTACAATCTGAAAACAGAGTTAATAAATTCGATGGTATAACCATTACAGTCACAGAAAACAATTAGGAACAGCTGAACAAGTGGTTTGGAAATGAAAAAAAAATGAGTGGCAAATTTAATATTTCTTGTCGTAAGTCTTTTAATCAAAATTTATTAGAATTTTACATCGGAAGTTTAAAGAGAATAACACTTTTCACTTATCGCTAATTGGTTTTAACTGAAAGCTTAGAAAACTTAACAAAAATAAGTTTTATATATGGATATATATTGTTTGGGTAAATTTTTACCAATTCATATGTGTATACATAATTTTCTACTAAACCGTAAATTCTCATCTCACATTTTTGAATGAGCGACACTATGTCACTATCCTTTTAAACCGTTAAAACAACTTTTATCATCACTCTAGTGGCATTTTAAGCAGTAATCGGAAGCTAACTGCAATTTAGGTTTGTTGTAAACGAGAACTAGGAATCATAAAATGTTAACGTTTCAAAAATTTGACACAATTTTTACAATTACATATTTAGAAAAAGAAATTTACACATGTTGTTTTTTATTTCTTTGGAAATATAGACACCTAAACCTTTTTTTTCTTGCTAACATTTTAGGACACCTGAAGTAAACCTCTTCAAAGCGACGTACGTATTCTCTCTCCAAGAACCATCAGTTAGTCAATATCAAATATTTGATTCTATGTTTTTCAAGATATATCATTATATACGTTTCTTCTAGAATTGCGTGTAATTTTAATATCGGCGACTTTTTCTTCTTCATATTTTTTGCAATTTTATTCACTTCTCCTTGGGCTATCTGTGTCGTTCCTTTATAGGACAAAAGGCACGAACATTGCTTTAACTATAAAGTCGAAACCCAAGTGGGCTGTGGGGTTGGCTAAAAAGGTAAATTAAGAAAATAGATTGAAAGGTCGAAAAAAAAAAAAAAAAAAAAAAAAAGAAAATAGATTGAAAGAAACATTTTATTCATAAACCGCATGGGCATGATATTCTATATATTTTTTTGAGAAATTAGAAGGAAAATTGATGTCTTGGGTTATAAACTCCTAAAACTACCATACCATTAGTGATTAGTGCATCGTAATATGGATGTATCATTTGATTTGTTGAGTCCACAAAGAATAGTATGATGCATGCTAGACAATACTAGAAACGTATTAATTCAACAATAACAGCAGATTATATACTTAAAAAGCATATATATATACAACAATAACAGAAAATTATAAAAACATGTAACAAAAAAACCTGTAAAACCATCTCAAAGAGTTGAAATTGTGAAGAAAAAAAACGGTACGAAAATACTACTATAAACTTTGCACTTTGAAACCCAAACTAATCCTCTGAAATACCTTTCAACGTATTCTTTTTTCTATTTTCAAGTGTTTACCCCTTTTTTGCATAATCTACCAAAAAAAGCAGATGAATCTTTATTGGAGGATTGTAAATTTTATTTTTCGCCATATATACTACGTGTTGTAATTTTATGAAGTGCTGGTGAAAAGGAAAAAGCGTGAAGCCCTCCTCTTGATAACCCGATGAGTTTTAGTTTAGAACAATATTTTGTAAAGCTTTTACACAACATCCTAGATTTTAGAACAAGTTTTAGTTCTTGCTTTCTCTTGTAATAAGTTGCCTCGCCAACATGTACAGTGTAAATCCCGAAAATGGTAATATATTTAACATCTTACCAAAAAAAAAAAAATCTATCTAGTATTCGTGTATATTTTAACTAATCAAAGTTCTATATGCCACGAATAATAAAATCGATCTAATGTACCGTGAATTGTGATTGTATCTTGAGAGCATGCATGCAGCAACTTGAGAGTCAATATCATATGGAATCATAAGGAAAAGACAAAACGAGATTCATCATATATAATTTGTAATCAAATGTTCAGGATAAATGATGGAGATGGCTTCACGCTTGTATATATATTGGTAAAGTATAAACATTCGAATTGTAACATATATGACATTCCAGATGATATGTGTATATGTAGATTAGTAGATTTGTTTGATTTGATTGATCTTATAAACATTCGGAATACTGTAATTCCAATTGTAAGCTTGTAACCTATACTATTCTAAGAAAAACTATATCATAATTTGTCCCAAAAAACTATATGATACAGATTAGTTTGTAAAAGGATAGTAGAATACTGTAAAGTAAGATTAAGCACTAGTCATGATTTTAGAAAGTGGTAATTTGTTAACAATTTTATATGAAACCATTTGTAGAATAAAATCAATATGCAGAAAAGTTAGTGTTTTTCTTTTATCAAAAACAAAAGTTAGCGTTTTGCTTAGGATCATATAGCATCCGATGGAATATCATATGATATTGAAGAAGTTTTCAGTCACGATTCAAAGATTAAAGCATATAGTTTCTACTAAAAAGGGAATTGTGTCTGTAATATATAAGACGACCAAAATAATAATTCAGAGACATGTAAAACGAACTTAATCTGATTTAGGGTGATTTGCAAGAATAATACCTTAGACATAATCAATTAAGAGAATAGCAAAAAAAAGTGGTCAATTAGTAATATGACAGAAGTCAACTCTCCAGAGAGTGGGGAAAATACGAAACACCCCCTTTATCCCAAACACTGCTTTATTCTGACATGGAAAGGACGTTAATTTTTGGAAAAGTTTCGGACGTTACCACCTAGTTAGGAACCATAACAGTCTACTTTTTAACATCGATTAACGTGTATGCGCCTAGGTTTATTTCGTTAACTGTGTAGCGGACTAGGTTAATAAGAGGTCCCATACCTTCTTAAAAGCCCTCTCTAAACTCATCAAGCCTTATCGCCTCTTAAGAAGTTCGAAAAGGTAATAGACGACTATTCCGGAATAAATTTGTTGGCTATTTTTCTGTTTCTAAAGTAGTTATCTGTTTCTAACTTTGAAAAATCTCGTACAGATGGTTGGAAAACAAGTCGTTCTGCTAGTGAAGGGTAGATGGTTTGAAGATACACCGGGTGTTTGGACTTTCTTGACGGACAAAACCGGTCACAGCCAAGGTGCTTTCTTGACCTCGAGGATGACGTATAAGGACGTTGTGAAAGTTGTGAGGGAGAAGTTCCAGTTAAGAGAAGAAGTAGGAGTCAGTCTGACATTCCAGTGGCCGTCTTACATGCTCATGGATGATGGCAAAGATGCACCGCCAGTAGCTGTTCGTTGTGACGACGATATCTCTTTGTTCGTTTAAATGCGCTCAGAGATCGAGCAACTCAACCTATGTGTGACGGTTCACGACGACGATAACGACTGTTTCCCACAAACAAGCTTCAGTGGAATCAGGAAACTCCGGGAAAGACGACTCTGGAAACACGTATTTCTCGGGTAAGTCCATTATGCATATAATGTAGTTGACTACCAATATGAGTTTATTTTTTGGTTTTGTGTTGTCTACCAATATGTCTTTATTTCATTAAGTAGAAGACTATGCAGACCTGACTATTTTAAATGTTGACGATTCTGTGTAATTGAATATGTAGATCTGTTAAAATGCCTGTATATATAAGGGTTTTGGAGAAATAACCTACTAAAATCGTTATGGTAGTCGAGTATTCATTTATTACATAGTAGACTACGTAGATCTGATTATTGAGACGTTTATTAGGTAACATGGATGTATTAATTTTGGTGAGTGGATATGTGTATGCGATTACATGTATCGGTCTACCTCCCTAGTCATAGTTAAAGTATATGACTATAAAATATGTGAAATGCTGATATGCGTGCGTTCCTGATTTGCGTGTAGGAGGATGTGAAAAGATGGACGAATTAGCCGCAATTAGTCTTGCTGGTGAAGAGCCTGTTGGTTTGGTGGCGGGAGTGATGAGAATCTCATGCGGCTAACGACAAAGAACTGCATAACTTTGTCGTTGATGATTCTGCAGAGGGAAACAGTGCGGTGGTCAGAAAGAAGCGTAACGGAAAGGCCGTACTCGAGACAGGGGAAGAAGGCCTTACTCAGAGAGAAAAAGGTGAAAGCAGCCGGTCAGCAAGTAGGTTCAGCTGCGCGCAGGAAACGATTAATGGTGTCTTCTCTGACCCAGGAGAAATGCCGGCGATGTTTGGAAGAGATGCTCCTCCGGTTGTGGACGAAATTGATGATGATGGTAAATACTAGACAATGTTTAGACATAGATAATTGTTGTGTAAGTAGTAGACTATAATATAGTTTTCTATGTGTTAAGGTATAGACAGTGCCTTGAAAGACGTCCGCTACGAGGGTGATGGAGTTTTTGTCGGCCGAATATTCAGGAACAAGGTGGAATGCAAAATAAAGATGGCTATATATGCAATCAACAGAAAATTTCACTTTAGGACTCCTCGCTCTACACCACACTTCATGGAATTCATCTGTGTTAGCTCAAATTGCCGTTGGCGCGTGTACGCTTCGCTGATGGACCAAACCGAAAACTTCCAGATTAAAAAAGCTCAGCTGAAGCACACCTGCCCAATTGAAGACCGCAGACAATACCACAAGCAAGCAACAACACAGGTCGTAGGGGAATTAATACAAACAAGGTATTCAACTATATATAATAGACTATATCTCTGTTTACAGTTAGCAAGTAATCGCTTACTTGTAGTACCCTACCTTGTTTGTAGGTTTGTTGCAGGCCAGAGAGGACCGGGTCCTATAGAGATTCAGCGAATCATGCTACAGGAGTTCCAGGTAAACATCTCCTACTGGAAAGCATGGCGATGCCGGGAAGTTGCTGTAGAGAAGGCTTTTGGGTCTGTGTCCGGGAGTTATTCGTTACTCCCATCTTATCTTGAAAACCTGCGGTCCTCAAACCCGGGCTCTGTTTGCAAAACAGAGTTCCAGCTTGATAAAAATGGATCCAAGCGGTTCAAGTATATGTTTATCTCATTTGCTGCCTCCATAGCCGGACTGCCGTATTTAAGGCCTGTCGTTATTCTTGACGGCACACACCTCGTTGGGCGTTTTGGTGGATGTCTAATTTGTGCGAGTAGGCAAGATGGGAACTTCCAAATCTTCCCTATTGCTTATGCCGTCGTTGACAGCGAGAATGATGCAGCCTACGAATGGTTCTTCAGGTGTCTGCAGACGATCATAAAGGATGATAGAGGATTGATGTTCATCTCCGATAGACACTCGTCAATCTACTCGGGACTGAGAAAGGTAACTACTTATATGTAGTTGGCTACTTATATTTATTTATTGCTTCTCCGTTTGCATTTCGGATCTGTATTCGATATGCCGTCATTTCGGATCTGTATTCGATATAAAGTTTGACTACTTATAATTGCCTACAACATTGGTACCGTGTTTACTTAAGGTGTACCCGTCCGCTGGGCATGGTGCGTGTTTAGTACATCTAGCGAGGAACGTGACAAACCGATTTAAAGAGGGTAGATTACCTGCATTAATGGTCCTAGCAGCAAAGGCTTATACAGTGTTTGAGTTCGGACAACTATTTGACGAGCTGCGGAGCGTTAACCCGGCATGTGCCGAGTACTTAACGGAGTTGGGGCTTCCTCACTAGACGAGAGCATACTCTGTCGGACAACGGTACAATGTCATGACAACCAATGTCGCCGAGTCGCTGAACAAGGTTCTGAAAGAATGTAGGGAATTTCCCCTAATTTCCATGCTTGAAGCGATACGGATGAGCCTCATGGGCTGGTTTGTAAAGAGAAGGGCTAAACACGCTGCTGAGATCAATCCCCTAACAAGTAAAGTGCGAGACATCATGGACGAAATCTTTTTAGAATGCACCAAAATGAAGGTAATAGTCGTGAGTAGTAGTCGTCTATTGTTATATGACTACAATTAGGTAATTATAAGGCATATATTGGGCTACATATCTGCTTACTAATAGTAGACTATTTGTAATTTTCAGGTGATTGTGGTAAACCAGAATGAGTTTGAAGTTTACGACTCCAGTGGAGTTAGGTTTGAAGTGAATCTGCAATCCAAAATATGCAGCTGCAGAGAGTTCCAAATGCTACTTATACCTTGTTGCCACACAATGGCTGCCAGCTCGTACGGTCAGATTGATAACAATACCCTTGTCGGAGAAGTATACACAACAGGTTTTATGAGATCGCTGTATGAGGGGGTTTTCCATCCAGTACCAACACCTGTAAGTACTGGTGAGTCTGAACTGCTTCCTCCAATAATGAGCCGACCACCTGGACGCCCAAGAAAAACCAGGATCCCATCTCGTGGCGAATTCAAGGTTCGAAATCAGTTACCTAAGTTTGTTTATGTTAATAAATAGTTGTCTACCATATAGTCGAATAATTTTTGCCTTTTTCTTTTGTGAGTCAGAGACGTTCGAAAAAGAAAGCGGTCAGACTTTGCACAAGGTGTCTAGGTCGTGGTCACAACAGGGCATCCTGCAAACTTCCGGTGAAGGATAAATGAAAAGTTAATCACCGAGGGTGTACTTAGCTACTTAGGGAGAGTAGCTGTCTGTTAAATTCGGAAGAAATGGTCCTTATTTTGGTTAACACAGGTGGACCTTGATTGTGTTTTGTTTTTATTTTCAGACATTTGTTGTGGCGGCAGTACTTTTGGGATTGATGTTTTGATTTGGAACTACTTTAAGTCGTTTAAAAGACTCCCTTATCTATCGTGTGTTATGTGGTTTGATGGTAAAGTTTCTTAAAATTCGAAATTGAAGAAGTATAATTTGATTAGTTTAAGGTAAGGTAAAGACGTAATCTGGATATATTTGAGTAGTTGTCTATAAAATAGATATCTATATAAATGTGTGAGTCGAAGTATTTGATGAGTTGTTGTTGTCTTAGTAGATCACCTTTTGGTCATCAAATGGACCTTATTTTGGTAGTTAGCTATTGATAATCAGTTATTTGTTATGGACTTAGCATATCAGACTTCTACAAAGAAAATAATATTAATCTAAACATCTACTGATAGTCAGCTATTTGCATTACAGATGACATCAACACACATGAAAAAAAGATGACTAAAAAAAGATGACTAAAACAGTTTACCCATAACGAAACTTTGCAAGTATGTTAAGTACCATAAGCTTGTTGAAGAACTAAGGGGAGAATTGTTTTTAAAACATAAGTAATACAAGGGGCTAATACAAGGAACATCTGCCAGATGATGTTGAAGGCAGATTCAGGAATCAGTCGGCGGGGTTGATGAAATTGGTTTCTCGACTTTACATAGTAGGTCGAAAGCGTAGGTTAGAGCTGCATCACGGACCAAGTTGTCTTCAATGACAGTGTCGACCGGCATGTTCTCTGAGTGGAGCTGAAGTAGCATGAGTGTAAGTACGGCGCTGTGACCTGGTACAAATGAAACTCGTTATTAAGAATACAAACAACTTCACAAAATTAAATAGTTGTCTACATATAGTTAAGTACCTTAATTTGGTGATTGGAAAACAGGCTTAGCAATTGAAATGTTGAATGCGTCTAGGGTGTCGTTCTTCATCTCTGAGTTGTACGCTACTTTCCTGATGAAGTGTGGAAGAGATTCGGCAAGTGGTACTATCAGGGTCTTAAGCTTCATCTCCTTAATTGTTGGGTTGCAATTAAAAACAGCTATATCGTGTGCCTCCAAATCGATGCAAAGACCAATCCAAAGCCTACCATCAATCTGGAAGGGACAGTAGAGACGACCGACTACAGTGTACCAAGGAAATCTGTTTTTGACGTAGGATATGGTGCCTTTGGGCAGGGTTATCTTGCCCTTCTTCGAGTTTGATAGAAATTGGTCATGAAGCCTGACAATTTCGACGATTAATCCGAACTCAACAAAATCGTAATTGATGGGATGAGCTTCTCTCGTAGCCCACAGCTCATCACGAATTGAGGCAACTATGGCATTCATGCACTATTCAAAAAAAATGCAACTATTAGTAGACAGCTAAACTCTGAATATGTAAGAGAGTAAACATATACAGTAGTGACTTAGCTCACCAATGGGCTGACTGGCTTGTTACAAGACATGATCTGATTAAAGATGTTCGAAGGAAGGCGAATGCCATACTAGGAAGGGAAAAGGCTAACAAAAACAAAGTAAACAAATATCAACCAACTTGTTCAGATATAAACTCGCATTGGTGATAATGATTAAAGAACATCAATACTAAACACTGACCTGGTTTCTTTAATTTTGGCTTCAAAGAAGGAAACTTGTTCAGAGGTCGGTCTATGAAAGAAAGAAGACAACTCTGCAGATTTGTCGGTCTTTTTCTGCCGTTTTTGAGGGTAAACAAAGTCTGCAGATGTAGCTGCAGCTCTGGCGCGCACGCTTTTACGTGTTGGAGGAGGACATTTGGAAGAATCTCCAACATCCGTTTTTCTCTTATCCTCTTGTTCTCTTAGACGAGATTCCTCGCGGTTTTTCTCTTCCTGCGTTAGACCTAGAGAAAAAGCTGGAGGATCATCTACTATTGGCTTCAATAGTACCTAATAATATTCGTACACAATCTAGTCAGAAGTAAACTTGAATGATAAGTAGTTATAAGTAGTTGGCTACATACCGGTTCTTTATCCGCAACAAAAATGGAAACGCTTGTGTCGTCATGGTCACCGGTAACCTGAAACATCACCAACTTTGTAAATAGGCAAAGAGTTTGACAATAGATGACTACTAGTAGACGAATAGTAACCTTTGGGGGCTCCGGAATCGGATCTTGGACAGCTGCAATGTCCTCTGTCTCTTGTGAACAAAAGGAATTAGAGTATGTCAAATAATTGACTACCGACTAAAAAACTATACATAGACGCAAATCGTTTATACACAAATCGATTCTCTATGTAAATTATTGTTATAGAGTAGATAACTATTAGTAGGTGAATAGAAACCTTTGTGTTTGCAGGCTCGGAAATTGGATCTTGGACGTCTGCATTGTCCTCGGATATTGGATGTTCGACGTCTGCATTGTCCTATGGGTCCTGTAAAGCAATAGTAAGTGACAAGGGATATGTCAAATAACTGACTACCGACAATATATCTATACATAGAGGGGGTCTTTGTATACAAAAAAAATTAACGAGATATAAGGTGTTTTGATTAAGTAGATGACTAGTGGTAGACGAATAGAAACCTTTGTATTTGCGGGCTCGGATATTGGATGTTCGACGTCTGCATTGTCCTCTGTCTCTTGTAAAGCAATAGTAAGTGACAAGGGATAAGTCAAATAACTGACTACCGAGAATATATCTATAGATAGACGGGGTCTTTGTATACAAAATAAATTAAGGAGATGTAAGGTGTTTTGATAAAGTAGATGACTAGTGGTAGATGAATAGAAACCTTTGTATTTGCAGGCTCGACGAGTGGATCTTGGACGACTGCATTGTACTCTGTCTCCTGTGAAGCGATTGTAATTACAACATGTGACAAAGCTGACTACTAACTAGATATCTATTTATTCAGTTACCATTTACTCACTGCTATTGCGTACCTGTATATTTGGATCTGATACAGAAATGGAAGAAACTGGAAGATTGATACTTTCATTTACCCCCAGATCGCAGGAATTTAAATCTTGAAGTACCTCATCAATCGTATTAGTCGCCTGGGTAGCCTCATCGGTAAAAGTAAATTCCTTTTTAACTTCAACTTGAGAACCGTGAACACCATGACCAGTTTTCGGTTCATTCACTTGATTCTTCCCTTCCTGGTCATCATGGTCACCGGTAACCTGAGTCATCACCAAATTTGTAAATAAGCAAAGTTTGTAACAATAGATGACTACTAGTAGACGAATTGTAACCTTTCGGGTCTCGGGAATTGGATCTTGGACAGCTGCAATGTCCTCTGTCTCTGTTCCTTGGTTAACTTTTTGTTGTTCTTTTCTTTGAACTTTCTTTGAGGTTGAAGCAGGCAAGGTGTCAGTAGAACGATTCGTCTTTTTGAATTTAGTGAACTTGGTGCGTAAAGCAGCTAACTCAGTGACTGCCGATTTGACATCACGTCGAATCTTTCCTAAATCAGTTGAAAGTGTGTTTACCGCATTCAAAATGCTGGAATTTCCAGCAAGTAATTTCTCTAAAAATGCAGATACACCGGAATCGTCATCACCATCGGATGAGGATTTTCGTGATGTTGAGGATGATGGATGCTTTGGAAGCTTACTATGTTCGGATGCCTTTACTCCGCCAACGAAGGACTTGTTGGTGAATGCAGTTCCATCTTCAATGGCACTCAGCAACTCTTCCACCTTGGAGTCCTCCTCGTCGTCGTCCATAATCTTGTCGTCTAAGACTGAGTCCTCATCATCGAGGATGTGTTTTACAACGACCTAGTAATAGTAGTCAATTAGTACTAGTGTACTATTTTATAATACTATAATTGATATGTGCATGAATTAATTGACTATATAGTAGTTGTGTACCTTTGCGTCTTTGTCAACCATTTTGATATGATTCATCTGAAGTGTAATTGGTTTCTGGGCACCGGGGCGTATTAATGGGAGATCATCGTCGTCCTCATCATCATCAGCTAAGATTGGTTTCTTCCCCTTAACATCTTTAGACAACAAGTTGGGGACGCAAGCTAAAACCACCATTTGAAGGGCGTGTAAGAAGCCTTGAATCGCACAGGTCGGCTGACAGAGATTGGACAGAGTAGCAGTTCTCGTTTTGATGCTTTCAATGGTGATGTCAAACGATTTGCGACCCCAAGGATATGAGAGAAAGTCATCAACATCTCTAACCATCAAGATATGATCCCCATTAATTTTGGTATTCTTAGAGGTGGGGCACACTATCCCGTCAACAAGTAGTAGACAAGCAAGCTTGAATCTGGTATCTTTGTCCTTGTACGGCCTGCCCAAAAGAGTATTGGCTATCCAAAGTGGAGTTGCATTTTTCCCAGGCCCAAACAATTCTTTAGTGTAACTCTTGATCTCATCATCATCACCTTCAGATGTCGAAGGTAGAGACGAGCAATCCAAACCAACTGCAATAGCGAACTCCCTCATCGAGAAACGAATTGGCTGACCAGAGAAAAGACACCATATCTCTTTCTTCTTACTGGTAACGAGTTGCCTAGACAGCAGATAGTGGAGAAACCTAACGGAAGATGCGATCTTGTTGCCAGCTTGAAAAAGTTTCCCAAATTGGGAGTCCATAAGCTTTGCGATGTGGTCATCTTCAAGTGCGAAGGTAATAGCATCGAGGTAGTTCAGCTGGAAGTACGTGTTTACCTTCTTGTTTTGAGGTTCGTAGCCGAACTTGAAGAACCTCTCCGGGAATGGACTCATCGAGTTATGACTGCAAAACAAATTAACGACTATTAAAAGCTTTCTACATATTTTCGGAAAAAGAATAAGTAGCTAATTGTAGTTGACTACAAATAGTCTAAAAGTAGATCTGAAGTGGTCCACTATTAGTAAATGGCTATGGTATACAGATGCGTATAAGTACGCTATTACGTAACATATAGATCTGACAAATTATATAAAATTGAAGTAGATAGTCACAGACATGCAAGTCAGACAACACGAAAATTAGCATCACCTTCGAACAGGATAAAAAAAAAAATTTAAGTGCAGAGAGGACTTCGAATGGAAAATAGAGTGTGCAGACTCTTTCGAACTCGACGACAGATAAGGACTTACGCTGGTAACAGGAGAAGATGATGATGTGTTCACGGCGCAGTGTAGATGAAGTGCAGACTTGGTTCTAATTAGGTTTTGGAAATTCTGGGAGAGTAACTATTGAATTAGATGAAAGAGGAAGGGGAAATTGAATCGAAAAGAAAGACGACGAAACGGTTGTGGGTTCGTCTGCAAAAATAAAGGAGAGGAACTGTTTTGCAGACTTGAAATGATGGTTGGAATAAGTTATTGGTTTAAATTCAATTTTTAGCGGTTCCCAAAGCAAAAAGCAGTTGTCACGCTCAAAAGAAAAAACCGCTATGTTAGTGTTACTCAAAGACTCTATGGTGAACAGAAAATAGGGGTATTTTTGACTTTCGATAATAGTACTCAAGATATTTCCCTGATTCCGTCCGAATAGTTAACGAATCACAGAGGACTATTAAAACAAAAAAGTAATCGACTACAAGTAGGTACATATAATACTATCATATATGAGGTACAAATGAAATACACTAGACCAACTTCACAAACAAATGAAGTACACTCGACCAACTAGAACATATAACGTACTTACTGAGAACACATTACATAGTCAAATATTAGTAGGTGGTACAATACAAAAGTCAACTATAAAGAAGTACATATAAAGCAACAAACCATAAGGAATCAAGACTAATCTAACAACTTGGATCGAACACGAATCTGGCAGTATGGTACTGGGTGAACAAGTAGCACAACTCGCAGCAAATGAGGTGGTGTTTCCAACCGCATCTGGGAAAATCAGTCAAGACCTGAGGCAACTTGCATCGGTCATCAACTACCATTAATTTTGCTGTGTCCATCACCTCATCACCAATCTGAATCATGTGGCCCATGCGGTTTCTCCACCGATCTATACGGTCTAACATCTCTAATCCAAAATGGTAGTGACCACATGCAGTGGCACATATTGCAGCCATTAGAGTCGCCGCGTCAACACCCCCCTTAGATGCCTGATTGAAGAAAGTAAGAGAACCTAAAACATCGAAATCAACAATGACCCGGGACATACCTCGGAGATACAATGCAATAGGGTTCCCGGATTTTATAGCTGACTCGAAGAATAGAGGGTATCGATTCATTAAAGTGGGATCTTTAACGAACGAGGCGATGTTGATGACCTTCACGACAGCAGGATTTTTCAGGATTCGATTTAAGGTACGACATGAACAACCGAAAGACACAGCGTCCTTCTGAGCTTTTTTAGCTACTTGTAGCAAAAAATCGAGCAGAACATCCTGAATCTGGAGAAGAACATCATTCACGGAGGTTGTAGTTTTGTGTACTGGAATGTTGGCCATGCTGTAAAATCGGAAACCAGATATTGTTAGTTGACTATTTAAAGGTGTGGGAACACCTACACAGAACTGAATCAGAATGTAGATCTGGCCGTGAACTAGTATATGAGCTTCTAAGAATCATCAAAATGGTAGATCTAAAATTACGAAGATGAAATTTAGTGGAAAAACGACCTTACCCAGAAAAATATGGAGGATAATGAATTCCAGTACACAGATGTGGGGAAATCGATTTGGTGAGTTTTACAGTCGACGAGGCTTCGAAGGAGAAAAAAGAGAGTAAATATGGAGGGTATCGAGAGGGGTTCCCTATCGAGAGCTGTTGATTTCTTGTTTTTGAATTTGAAATTCAAATACAAGAAAGAGAAAGATGTGTATTTGTAGACGGAAATTCAGTAAATAAGAAAGAGAACATTCTGTTTAAAAAGTTTTAAGTTGTCAGAAAACAAAAGTTTGTAGTGTTAGAGGAAAGAATAGACTATTACTGTTAAAAGGAGAGGGTGGGGTCCTGAGTAATTTCTCACCCATTAAACATAATAAAATAATAGTGCCAATTTGGACACTGAAATATGATATCCCACCTAATTTCCCTCTGATTTATCCTAATAGAACTAGATATTTCATACACGGAGAAAAATAAAAACACTAAAAACGGAGAATTAAGCACAACAATTTCGAATTATTTTACATATAACCTTTTATCAATATCTTAAATGTATTCTGTAATAAAAAAATATCTAAAATGTATTATAGGAGTTGGCTTTCCAGCTGCCAATCTGACTTCAACACGTAAACAAAGTTTGATCGAAAATCAGGTGCTTAGCCGCTTAGGTTAAGTGTTAATGAGTAAGACATAAAAGAAACTTAAGAGTTTGAGTAGTAAGTAATATTAGGAAACGATGGATTGTGGAAAATAAAATACATGAAATAGGATAGTTTCAGAATCATGAAAAAAACAAAAACAATACTATTTAACTGCAAAACAGTAGAACGACAATTCTCTTTGTTATTAAACTGAAGAAGTGACAAAACAATTAACGGGTATTTTCCAAAATTTTATAATTGATTGAAGACTGTATATTCATTTTCAGTTTTCCACAGTTGTAAAATTTACCGTTGTCGTCATGAGAGAAATCCTGGATCCATAAATATGCTGACATGAGAGAAATGTTGTGGACGATTAACGGAAAGTAAAAAATATTGGCCGTGAAAGACGAAAAAGAGTGTCGTTTTAGGGAGACAAAACGACAACAGAGCGTGTATCAAACTAAAGCTTTTATTATTAAAAACGACACGTTGTTCAATGGTCTTTCGCGGACGACCCGGATGGTTTACCCGTTTCCGCAAGATACAAATTCCCTTTTTCGCGCTCTCTGCATTTTTTAGTCTCACGCGCCTCTTTCCCACGATCTCGTACGCGCGCTTTTTTTTTGAAAATTTTTGTCCGGCTGACCATTGATCATGTTGTTATAGAGCTTCATATCTCAGATGATAGTTGAATAATAAAATAGACAAATCATCAATAATGAAAATATTTTAGCTAACGCTATGAAACGCTAAAATGTTGGTTTTGATAGATTAATAATGTTTCAGTCTTTCTTATTATATTTTTGACACACTCATAGTACATAACACACTTAAGAAATAATTCAAAAATCTGATGAATTATATTCTACTTTCTTCTCATATTCTTTCGTTCAATATTTGTTGGTATTTGTATTTGGCTTTTGATATCATGTTTTAAAAAAGCATATATAAAGAAAAGAGATTATTCACAAATATTTTTCTCCTTCACAAACCCAAAAAAAAAAGAATATTGGTCGGTCTAAAAATTGTAAAAAAATATTCACAAATAACTCAAATCATCGGCGGAGCCCAAACGGGGCAGACGCTTAGACCCACCTTTCTTTTTTGACCCGTCAGGATCCGACCCGCCTCCACATACGAAAGTGCATTCCACGCCGCAGATATTACTAAAACACGAGAAAAGACCGTTTCCTCCTTCTGTGTGACGGCGATTATGCTTCTTCTTCCCGGTCACCGGAGTTTTTCGTCTCGAGCTTTTTCCTCCGCCTCCGTTTGCCGGAACAATCGCGCCGCTCCCTACATCGCTGCTTTGGTGACTTGATCCGAGATCGTATAGCGGCGGAAGCTCCGTCCGCCACCGCTCGAGTTTCGAACGGAGACCTTCGATGTTGCTATCGTCGTCGAGGCTCCACTCGCTGAGGATCGAGCTCTCGGTGTCGTTGGCTTGCGATCTCTCTTTCGCCATCTTATTCGCTACTTCCGAAGGCGACGGACCTAACTCAGATTCGGTTAAAATCGGTCGTCCTGCCAAGTTAGATCTCATCGGAGTACCAAATTGCAGAGGCGATTTCATCGGCGTTGCCATGTAATTAGATCGAATCGGAGTAGATCCGACGATGTTGGATCGTAATGGAGTCGACGCGAGGATGTTAGATCTCCTTGGAGTCGATCCAACGCCGATGGATCGCATTGGGCTAGATGCAACCATGTTAGATCTGATCGGAGTAGACGCGACGATGTTCGATCTCAACGGCGTCCCGTGCCTCGACAAGTAAGGGGAAGCGCGGCTGCTCCGGTCGTAGTCTCTCGGCGGCCTCGGTTTCTCGATCATCGGCGTCGATCTTCTCGGAGTTTTGCGTGAATGATCGTACGAACGATAAGGTGACTCATCGTATCTCTCACTTCTCGGCTGAATCACATTGTGATTATCTCTTGGCGTTTGATCTACAAAATCAGGCTCGAATGAATCGTATCTCTGCCTCGTGATATTGGGGGTTTTGTAAGGAGCCTCGTAATCGATGGACTTCGTCTCGTCGGAATCCGTCGTCGTAGTATGGTGTCCCGACGTCGTAGGGATAGATTCCGAATCGCTGCTGGCTACTGCGCTCACAGGCTTCCGATTAGCCAAACGGCTACGCTCAGCTCTGCTCAGGAGATCGGAAACTACCATCGAGCTCGTATCGCTCTTTGTACGGCGGATCATCGGTGGTCTCGAGACTACGGATTGGTACTGTTTCGAAGATGGAGATTGAGGGTTCTTCGAGCTTCCTTTGAAGCTATTAAGATGCAAACTCTCCAAATGTGGATCTTCTTCACCGAGCAAATCTCTGTATCCAACTGCAGACGAGTCCATATTCGTGTAAAGCGGCATACTTCGCATTGATCCGTCGAGGATTCCCACACCGATGTTCAAAATCCCCTGTGGACGACCAGACGGTCGGCGAACTTGAAGCGCGACGAATCGCATTCCGGGAGGCGGAGTACGGCGATACTCGTCATTACTTCGGTATCCAGGCCGGCGATTTGGAGGGATGAGGTTGCTGATGAGGACACGGATTGTGCCGACGTGAACATCACGGAACCAATGCAATGCGTAGATTTCGACCACGACGGCTGAAGTATCGGCGTAGAGGAAATCCTCGCTGACTCGGAAGACGAACTTGTCGTTCCAAGTTGGGTTTGCGCCGCCGGTGTAGTCGACGCGGGTGGTGAGTTTGCGCTCGGAGTGAACCCAAGCCACCGCGTAGGTTTTCATTTTACGTGAGACAGGAGCTAGATCCTGTGCGGAGATTATGTTGAGCTCTAGTAATTGGAAAGATGGAAACATCGACATTGTTTGTGGAGACAATATCAATGTGAGTTTTTGAAATGGAATATCAAACTCTTGATTAACCCCCTGAGGAATGGATGATTCTCCATTAGATGGGCCATTAAAGCTTTACGTTTGGTGAAGAATCTCCGAATGGTATGGATAAGGTATTGACCGTTGCTTCTTATCTTTTTTTCTTTCTTCTCAATGTTTTTAACCTTTGAAGCAGAGAGATGAGAGAGGAGAGAAGGAATCAATCGTAGGTTCCATTTTTGGGTTTTGCTGTATAGATATTGTGAGAGAGAAAGATTATAATAGGGGTCATTGGTGATATTCTTTAGTAAAAATTGTAGAAATTTGCTATATTAGGAGGAGCCATGGGTTAATTAAGATCGAGTTGTTGATTCTCAGAGATATTTTTAATACTCTTTTAATACGATAGACACCAGAGGCTAATGTTTTGTGGCAAAGTGATTTACTGAGATTTAACGGTCTCCGGGAAATAGTATATCTCTCCTTACACATGATGATCTATAAAAATTATTTTGGTGCTTATTTCTTCCTTATGAGTTTTGATTCTAGAGATGGGAAAAAATGAACCGAATTTTATGTTTTTTGTGAGAATTTTAAAATCTAAAATCGGAACAACCAAATACCCCATTGTAGTTACTTCGATCACAATTTACCCATTGTTAGGAGCTGGATTTATGCGTTTTGAGGTTATTTACGGTGAGCCTGTGTTACGAATGGGCTTTCTAATTTGTATCCCAAATCGAGCCAGTCATGGGCCAAATCCAACGTCATTTTAATGTCCTTACGTCTCATATCTGGTTAGAGTCGAGTTTAAAGTCGCTCTCTCCCTCTCTCTCACTCTCTTGTGATCGTGGTGTGAGTCTTTGTTCTGCTTTTCTTGGTGATGGCATGTTTCCTAAATTCGTAATATTCTTGTTGTACATAACATTAATTCTCATATTGAAAGTAACAAATGGACCACCCTATCTCCATCTTATGATATGCAATTAAATGCCAAGACAATTACTACAAGTCAGCAGAAGTCATCAAAACCTGTGCAGAGGCTATAGATGTTTGATCCAGAAAGGCCAATCGAGTATTCAATTTTATTATACACTTAACAATTAACTATAGGGTTTCACACGTCTCAATGAAATCGCATAATCAATTTATTGTTAAAATTTAACTCGAGACCACATGATATTACGACTATAAACAAACACACATTCATAACTCGTGAAGTCAACGTTCGCATTTCCAATATTTAAAGCACATGAATATGTTATGAAAGAAAAAGAAAAAAACTATATTGAAAACAAGATTGTAATAACGCAAATTGCTACAATAATAATACAAATTGCGGTGGAGTCCTACTCAATTACAATAAAATAAAAGAATGTTTCCTACGTCATATTATAAAGTTTCTTATCGAACGAAGTTTGAGAAAAGCACCAAACACAACTTGGCAGAAAAAACAAGTTTGACAGGAACACAAAAAGCAACTTAACAGTCTAGGAAACAAAATTATATTAAATCATTCGAAAAGAAGATGTATATAGTGTAATTTGATGAAAAAGATGAAACATGCGATGGAGAAAATGTTACAATGCTGCAATATAACGTAAAATCAACTATATTATATATTGACAGGTGATGTTAAAAAGAAATTCTAAGTTTTCTGTTTCACTTGTTTTGATCATTATTCATTTGTATTGTGCATATTATGTTTTTATGGTTGAATTGTTGTTAGGTAATTAAGGTTGATAAAAATGGTATTTATTTTCAGGAAAGATACTAAAAATGAAATACTTTCTTAATTTCTGTAAGAAAATATCATTTATAATACAATTACAATGAATAGAGAGAGTATAAGTTTAATTTATATACGAGGTTTAACCAATTCTTTTAACTAGATATATGTTCCTGATTTCCAATAGACATGCTTCGCAGAACTTAGAAAAGCTATGAAATTAAGACTTAAGCAACTTCAGATAATCAAATTCATTTACAATTTTTACTTCAGAATTTGAAAACAAATTGAAGTACTTGAGCCCCCTTTCTAACATAATTTAATGGCCCCATATCTCCGACCATCCACCACATTTGTTCACCTCTCAAATGTCAATAGCAATTTTAAGAAATCAAAAATCGGGAATTAATTGCATGCACATCGGAGTTCACATTAGCTTTTGCCTCTATTTCGGGTTTGGACTCATTTCGTTGTCTTCATCCTATTCATTTTCAATAATCTGCCAAAACAAATTAAATATTAGACTCAAATCAGTTTTGCCTTTATTCGTCTTCTCCACATGTGCATGAATATGCATGCCTATGTACATATGCTATCACTTTCACATCCACTTTTTTCTGTATAAAAAATAATGTGAGCGAATATATGGAATATCAGATAGAATCTTACAACCAAATCTTTGAAACCACTTTGCTCAAATTAGAAGTAGAATATCTCTATATTCATATATACAACTGACTAATCTTTATTTTGGCAATGAAATAGCATCAGTGACAAAATGTCATATTAATGCGTATGAGTTAGTGAGTTACGTTACGTATGCATGTGCTTATATGCGTTTATACGTGCATGTATATATTTATACATGTATATGAGAATTTAATTAAGAAGAGAAAAAATGTACCGTCATATTTCTTCTTCATCAAGTTTTTGACGAAAAGCAAGCAAATGACAAGAAATCCAACACCAGCTGTTCCTCCTACTATTATTGCCACCGTTTTGCCTGTTGTTCCTGTTTCTTTCATTAAACCATTTTTAGCAAAAAAAATATAGTATCTATACTTTAAATTCAATTCATAAAGTTTACACTCTACTTTTTTTTCTGTTCCTAGTAAGTGAAAACTTGGAAGAGTAATTGTTACGAAATGATAACAAAGTAGAATGTTGAAAAGAAAAAGGAAAAGTAATTTTTGGAATTAAAAAAAAAAAAACAAATCTCAATTGGATTGGAGCCTGAAAACGAAAGAACATATCTCACACTGAAGCCTTTGAATTAAAGTTGAAGATTTTTTTTTATCAAATAAAAAAAAATATTAAATTCGGATTGACTTTAAACAAACAAAAGATCAACACTTTTCCGAGATTTTCCAGCAAAGTTTAGAGCTTTGATTTCGAAATTCGCCGACCCATAAACCCAGATTCCGACAACCGTCGAAAAAAACCAAATGAAGAAACAGAGAGAATCGGATTTTCACCTGAAGAAGAAGAAGAACCCGAAGAGCCAGAGCTATGGTAAGAAGAAGAGCTTCTGGGAACACCATTTGGATAATAACTATAAGCGATGAAACACTTGTGAAGATAAATCTGAGCAGAAATTGAGCTTCCACATTCGACTTGAGCTTTCTCTAACGCATTTTTGATACAGCCGCTACAATCCGAATCGCCGACATCGCCTTCGCATTGTCCTAAAACGGAAACTGATTCGTATGTCGTCGCGTAGAAACCGTGGCCTGAAACGACTCCGTTTTGCATTACCCCAAACGCAGTGTCTCTCCTCTCTTCGAATCCTGTTCCGGCGATGTTGTTCTTCCCACATGTCTTGAACAACATCTCCATCCCTGAAAAATGTTTTAACCGGATGAAAATTCGTATTCAGTCTCGGTTCGGTTTAATGTGAACCAAATCAATCCTCTATTCTCTGGTTTTGTTTTAATTTCAATTTTGATTTTGAAATATTGAAAAGAGCTTACAATTTAATTTTGAGAACTCATTGTTTGAACTTTCTGGTTTAAAGTTTAGGATATTTCATTATTTTCTTAGTTTTTAAAAATGTTGAATGCTTTTCAGCTATCAAATTCAAATGAAGCCCCTTTCTAACAAAAAGATTAAACAAAACCAACTTTTTGGTTCGACCAAAACCGGCTATCCAATCTCTGGTTCAACGAAACGGAGGAGCCTAGAAAAAAAAACATTATTTTCATAGTTGAACCGGTGAAATCTGATGCTTACTCCGGTTATGAGAATCCGGTTCAACATAACCAAAATATTAAGCAAGAAGAAAAAATGGAGCTGAAACAGAAGACTGGGTATACCTGAAATTTGGGCAAAGCCAGCGACTTCATAGAGAAGATAACAGCCGGAGAGCTGAACCCTAGCGGCAATGGTTTTGCCACAGAGCTTACCAGAGAGAACAGGAAGACGACTAACACAGTTGTAACAGTCGTTGTTGCTCAAGTCTCCTCTGCATTGGAAAAGACCAGTAATGGTGGTTTGGCTAGTTGTTCCGGTTGTGGTTTTGTAGAACCTGGTTTTCGTTGATTGAGAGACCAATGAGCCAAACATTGCAGAGAGTGACTGTGAGTATAAACCAGATGGATCTGAGAATTGCTGTCTCGCACACCCTTTGTAGATTAAGTTTGTGTAGTCTGGTGATGAAGATTTTGCTAGCTCGAGATCTGAGAACAGAGCCATGGAGAGTATGATGATGATGCAAAGAGACGATAGCTTCAGTGAAAAGCCCATTTTTCTTTTTCTTTTTTTTTGTTATGTGGAAGAAGCTTTGGTCAAAATCAAATCATTTTATCTTTGTTGTATGAGTGTAGTGGGGGAAAGAGATTTTGAGGCTGTTTCTATGTTTTTATGGGAGATGAGTAATGAGAAATGAATGTGAAAGATTGAATCTTTGTGGGGTTTCTTGGATTTTCAACTCTTTTTGGTTTTTGGAATTTTGGGTTTTTTGTAAAATTCTGTGACTGGTAGTGTTGTTTGGTGGCTCAGTAAAAGCTCTTTATTTTCTTCTTCTGGGTTTCTGGTTTTGATTTTTATGGTGAAAGAGAGAGAAATTTTTAGGCTTTGGATGACCACTCTTTTCTCTCTCTAGAGATGTGGAAAACAAGATTAGGATAAAGATAGTGAAAGAGCGCAATTTGAAATCTTTATTTTTGTTTTTTTTTTGTTTTATTAAATAAACAGACAATCAATCAAGACTCTTCTCAGCCACCGGTCTAGAGACAGTAGACTGTGTTTGGTGAATTGCAGGCTTTCAGTAAATCCGAATACCATTATTGAATGGTTATCAAGTTTTCACTTAAGACTGTTAAAGAGTTAGAGTTATCCCCTAACCCCATTTTTATTACCTAATTAAAAGGAAATTCGTGCCAACTAATTTAAAACCTTTAAAAGTAAGTACTCTTTTATTTCATTTCAGTTGATATTTAGAAATGAAACTAAAGAGCAATTACTTTATTATGTTCAGACGTTATTACATTGAGAAATCTACATCAACTGAAAGTGGTAAATTAGAAACTTCAACCTCTTTTTTATGTTGTTAAATGTTAACTTAGAGATTTAAATCTCAAAATAGACGAATAAAATATATTGCATTGCTAAAATACATGAACACGAATTTTTGAACCTGGTCACAATAAATAAAGGGTATAGTTTGCAGATCTTGATATCAGAATCTTTTTATTGAAATTAACTAGTTAGGAAAATGATATTCGTGGGAGAATGTAAATGTTGTGTAATGTGTGCTTTTTGACCCAAGTACAGTCAACGGCATTCTTTTACATTTTCTTCTTTCAACGGCCTTTTAACATTTTTGATTGACATTTATATTCTCTATTCTTTTTTTTATCACATTTGGTCTCTCATTCCTTTGTCATAATTATCACACTTTCTACTAATTCGACTTTTAAGAGTCATCGTTATCATGTTTTCTAAGCGGGATGATGAGATATTACCCTAACCAAGCACATACCACTGCTGGAATAAGGGAGAATGGCAGCAAATAAGCAAACGACCTTGGTATAGAACAGAGAGCTCTAAGTAGTACCAAATCCGATCTAACCCGATCGGTTTAGACTCTACACTGAAAAACGTCTTAACTTCATCTTAGTTTCGATGAGTGGCAACGGAAAGAACAAATTTGGTACAGATTTTTAGGGTACAAAAGACAGATATTAGAAAGAGCCTATCAGATGGAGAAATAGAGTAAGAAAACTCAAGTGTGTGCGAGTGTGATCGTTTGAATTCAACGATTCACAACTACCAAATTTTCCCCATAGCTGTGAAAACTGTAAGACACAACAGAAGTTGAGATTCGAGGGAGATGTAACCGGAGATGAACATTTCTGACTAAGTTTTTTATCGGATTCTTCACGAGTCTTGTGCAGAGTCATCTTCGGCGTCGGCTTTCTCGTCCCCAGGAAGACCAAATATCCGTAGGTTACGGTCCATTGAACCAACAGCAACGTATTGTGCATCTGGACCAAACTTCACACACGTAGCTTTACCTGCGAGTTTAAGGGTTTTGGATTTAGGAACATAATCGCAAATGTGGCCATTGAAACAGTTAATGGAATGGATTTTACCAGTGCCGGAGAGATCTGGGAGTGTCTTGATAAGGTTCCATTCAGCTTTCACACTCGCCGTCTGGTATAGTCTGCAGCCGTTACAAACATTTTGTTAAGAGTATATAAACGCAATTGCAGGTTATTGAATTGCACAAGACTCTTCTGAATATTTCTTTAGCTGAGCTTGGCCTCTTCGACCAATACAATTCCAAATGCGCACTCACCTGATATCTGATGCAGCAATACCAAGATACGATCCGCTAGGATCAAACTCCACTGCACAAGAAAGAAAGTATTATCATTCAGTTATCTTATGCATGGAGATTTCTCTATCAACAAAACGACAGAACGCAAAGGCCAGGAACGGGATACAGTAGTTGCATACCAGAGTTTGCATCTGCAGATAAGAATGACTTGAAGTTCCTTAACTTGCGCAGGTCCCACAGCCTAACACCATCCTCGGCAGCAGTCTGTACATTTGTAAAGAACAGAAAAAAAAAAGGAAGCATTCATGTAAACAGCATCGTATTTGCACTTTCACTTCTTGAAGATTGTTCAAAGTACTCACCGCAAGGAAATAACCATTTTCAGAGAAAGATATTGAGGTAATTTCCCCTGTGTGTCCATCAAACTTCGCCACATTTGCCTATTATAAAAATTTAAATTAAATGAATACTAGTTGACATAACTAATGATTTGCAGAAGCAACATAATCCGGCACACCAGAGTTTTTACCTGACTTTTCACATCCCAAATTTTGACAACAGCTTGAGAAGTACCGGTTCCGAGAATGAGACCATCAGGATGAAAAGCAGCTGCCGTGTAATCTACTTTCTCTGAATCATCCGATACCTAGCATAAACAAAAGAAATATGAAATGGCTTATATTAGGAAAAGAGCTCGTAGTATCATCATATATCAACCTTAGGAAGAGGCTGATATGAAAATGCTTAAGAAGAAAGTACAATCCAAACTGAATATATAGAATAATTTCAGTGATATAGCATAATGTAGACAAAGGTAAAAAGGACGATGTGTATTAGTTGGTTCTTTGATGAAAAAGTTTAAGGACCTTTGCAAGGCATATGCCAGAGGAAAGATCGTAGAAGCACCATGTACTGTCAAGAGATGCCGACACAAAGTATTTATTTGTGGCATGTACAGTTACAGCTCGCACCTGAAAAAAAAACATCATCACATTTTATGTTGAACAAGAAGTATATGAATAAAAGAATCGAAAGCAGACTATAAGAGTTCTTCAAATTCATCCTTACCTCTGCAGAGTGATCATTCAATGTATACCCACAAGCATAGTTCCCAGCCCCAGAATCCCGCCAGATACGGACTGTCTGCAAGTATGTCACACTAATTTAGTAGTAAAAAAAGATAGCTATCAAACAAATGGTGATGTATATTCTCTGAGAAATTGAACAGAGTATCCAGCAAATCGCAGAGATTTCTGGTTTCATAACTCTACGCAGCGAACCAAAGTTTTTCTAAGATAGCATCATGACATATACAGATTAAGATTTCATAGCTAGTAGTAATCTTTTCACACTTAAAAGTAAACAAATGCATCTGCTTTTCAGAACAATGGCAATACACAACGCGGGATTACAAAATTCCTAGAAATAGTTACCACGCACTATTCATAAAAGTTTGAAACTATGGATATTTAATCTGTAAATGTATCTTGAGTTACCTTGTCAGCCGAAGCAGTCAAAACAAGATCAGTGTCTCCTACAAATTTTACACTTGTAACCTACAAAAGGGGATCAACATATATTAATCACATAGCAGCGTATAAAAGTAAAACAGAGATCTGAGGCAAAAAGTTTTAAGACCTTTTTCGAGTGGCCAGTCAGTGTAGACAAGATTTGCCCTGAAGGGCGATCAAAGATAACAGCAGTTGAATCAACCCCTCCAGTAGCAATGACATCCTGATTACCGAATTAAGAAGATATAATACTGAAGTAAGCTTTTGCATACCAGAAATAGCGTAGTGGATATCAAAAGAAATGCGAAGGATGGTCATAATACAAACTATCACACGCAGTAAGAGGCATACTAAAAATATTATGCCAAAAAGACAGAACAATAGAATAAATTGCCCAATCACCAGATAGCTATCACATGCTATGCAAAGAGTTCCAGAAACAGAAGAAACTAAGTACGAAGTGATGTAATAAGATAAACTTCCAACGAGAAACCTTAGAATGTAGAATGTCCATTGAACAGATGCCCGGTTTGTTGGTCTTGTGAAGTGGGTGGCTTGATAGCTGAGTGAACCTCTCCAAAGCATCAATTGAAGCCAATGTTTGAGAAATCTACAGAAAAAAATGTTGAAATTATCAAGAAAGCAGGAAACCACGCAAGAAGAAAATTCAAAACCAAAAACTCCAAACTACAGCTGCCAATTGACTGAAACCGGTGAAGAAACATGCAAAGAGAAGCAGGAAGAAGCAACATTTTCCTTTTAAGCTTAAAGCATATTAGGATCTAAATAGATACATTGAGTAACATAAGCCTCCACTACTACATCTGACTGTTCAAAACAAGAAAAGCTCCATAAAAATTGCAAGTAATCTGGTCTTGCCATCTAATTTTTAAATGCATGATCAAAGAAAGATGGGAACAGTATGCACTACCTGTCGCTTTTTGCGCTTCTGGGAAAGAGCAGCATTACAATCTGTCAATTCCGTGATAATTTCAGCTGAAATGCCAGGACACAATTTCTTCGCGCCAGGACCCATTTCTTCAGCACCGGCAGCTATTATACAAGAAAAGAGCTAGAAACATGTTACAAAGGAGAAAACTAATTAGCCAACATATTTTAAGTAAAAAAACATACCTCGTTTACCATTACTCATAGCAGCACTAGTTATCACAGCTTCTGGGACTGCAGGTATATGTCTTTCAACCTCTGCAAGCAATTGGCGTGCTTCATCTCTTTCTTTTTTAAGTCTAGCAATCACACGACAAGCAGAATCATGCTGCAAACAGAAGGCAAAATTTATCCCATAAATAGATCAAACACATTTAAAACTGAGGCTGTGGAAAATAAAACTAGGTACATAACAAAAATTCATTAATCATGTCACTTCATGCCACAACACACAACCGGAATTACCTGATACAAGGCATGACTTAGCTCTTGCCTAGCAGTATGTAGTTGTTGCTCCAGTGCAAAATTTGATAGCATTAAACCGTCCCATTCCTAAAAGTGCAAAAAAAGATAAACTTTGTTTCATTCAACCTAATTAATGTACAAATTCACTTGATTAGCAGTCAGAGAACGAGCAGAGATCAGCGGAATACTGTGCTAAGAGTAGATGCCAATATGCCCAATTAACCGAATCCTGACTAATTCTAATAACCAACACTGGAAACATATTCTAAGTCGATCAACAAGCTCTACATGACCAATAACGGAAACAGGGGGAATCATAGAGGTACTCGCGTTAAAACCAAAAAAAAAAAAGCACAAAGCCAAGAGAAAAGGTACGAACAAAGATACAAAACAATTAAAAGCTTACATTCTGGAACGTTCCGAGTAATCCAGGGATGCTAGCTGTATGCAATGGTTTTGGCTTTATGATCTGCACAATGGCCAAAGAAATTGAAACAAATTAAATAAATTTCTTTAACATCTTCCCACATTAGATAATTAAAGAAATTATACTACCTTCCCAGTTTTGATGGGAACAATGTCATCAATGCTAAGAGGTTCTCCAGTAACCGGGCACTTCCCATAATCCTACAGAGCAAAAGAATTTTGAAGAAATCATTACCAGGTGCAATGATAGACTAAAAGGACTCCATTGGAGATATAATATCCAGAGAACTGAAGCTATAGAATCAACGACTGAAAATTTACGGATTCTTCTAGCAAATTCTAATCTCCCTAGTCCCAAAAAGTGCAAAATCACCGAATTTCTCAGAATTTTCACACAGATACGAGAGCTATCATCCAAGGTAAACCAACCCACATCACTCAAACGACTATAAATCTTCGTTTGCAAAGAAAAAATGACGCAATATTTGCAAATTAGAGAACGCAAATAAGGTCCGAATCAGAAGGGAGAGCTCCAAAGCTTACCGATATATGCCTTTCTATTAATCGCCTCTCGAAGAGCAAACCTGACTTCGTAGAAACAACTGGCTCCTCGGGAATTTCTCCGGAAACTGTATGGAATAAAAGGAGATAGTAGGCCATCAACATTTAACCAAAAGAAAACCCTAAATCAGCTTATTGAGAAGAAAGAGAGAGAGGGACTTTACTTGTACAGTTCATCGTGTAGAGAACGACTATACGAAGCAGCAGAAGCAGTTGGTGTAAACTGGAACTCCCTGTGAGTGGCGGAGCTAGGGTTTTATCTTCTCCGGTCCGGCGCTACAAAGCAAAATCGCGGAAGCCGGGAAATTGCTGAAGAAAGAGAGGAAGATTCACTCAGTGGAAATTAGGGGTATAATTTTGCGGGAACTTGGGCCTTCAATGACCGCTAATTATATTTGGGCTTTATCTCACGTCTTTGAAGTTCCAGCGAATTCTATCCAGATAGAATCCTGAAACGAATGTATTTTTTTTTGTGCGGAATTATATATTTTTAACACTAGGTAAGTATCCGCGCGTATGCGCGGATTTATTTTATATTAATAAATAATTAAATCATTGTAAACTTAATACACATTTTTATGGAATAAGTAGAATTTGTTGAAAATAATTTCTTTGTTGGGGACTGAAGCTTTTATATATTTCAAATTAGTTTTTGATTTTGTTGGACATTTTTTAAAAGAAATGACAGTTTACAAGTCAACTACCGATATTAATATGTATATGATTCATATTTTTCCATAGATCAAAATTTTGTTTAATCTTTAATTCACATAATCTCGAATAACAAATTTTGATCGATAACATTCCAAAATTTGAAATAATTTATCAGTAAACAATAAATATAAACAGATAGCAAGTAATACATATATTTGGCAAGAAAATGCAGAGGTTCATGTTTATTCTCCAGTTATCCACTTAAACAGAATAGGAAGATATGATAAGAAGTGGTTTCTGAAAGCTTCTAATTTGAACCATTTTTCCTTGTTTCCGATGACCTTTTTTCTTTAACAGAAAACATAATTCTACAACAACATAGAAGCTGTTTTTAAAATTCTCTTACAATTTATAAAAGTATTAGGAGAAATTACCCAAACATATGAGGAAAAGAATTAGTGTGAGGATCAACAAAACCTTCGTCCAATAACTCTGTTTCTTCCTCTTTTTACTAAAACAAAAAAAAAAACTATGTTTCTTCCTCTTTTGCATTCCCCAGATTTTTCTTTACAATCTGTATCCTGCATCTTCAAAAACTCAAATACAATCACCCAATCTTAGTAAATTCTCTTCTTTAATCCAAATCCGACAAACCCATAAAAAGGATATCAAAAATCTAAAACCACAGTTCATGAGGGGAATAATATGTAAATGTATAACCAGATCATTAGAAAACGCTGACCAAATACTAATCCTTTTGAATTTACATTCTCATCTACGTAATTTAAAAACCCACCCAAAGATATGAAAATAATCATGAACATGTTTAAGAAGAAGGATCCAAACACTGACCTCAGCTTCGTTGTGTTTCTCAATGATAAAAAGTGTCACCTCACGAATCAATTCGGCATTGCTGCGTGTCTGGCTAACAGGAGGTGCGTCTTCTTAAAAACAACTATATAGCAGGTAATCAAATTGCTCCCAATTAATCGTGAAACCCTAATTAAGCATACATTTATAACAAATTCATATCAGGTCCCGAATCGAACCCAAACTTTGAAGTACAGAGGAATCTGGAGATTGATAGATTCATTGGTGCTAAACCTTCTCCGGATGCTAGAGCTTCCTCGCTGGAATCTCGTATTCGAAGGTGTAAAATTAGACGGGTCTTGCTCTATCCCCACAAGCTGCTCTCCTTCCCTGCAAATGGTGAAAGCCAAGGAGATGTCAGATATGAAGCTGGCAAATAGCTCATCACCATTGGATTACAGTGCGAGTACCCCAAAAAAAATGAAAAAAAATTAACTCATAATTCACAAATGAGACTGAGCCAAAATCAGAAACTGGGACATTTTTTAAGCATTCGAATCAGTGTCGAACTCAAACTTGGACACAAACCCCATATCAGAACACAAAACTCACACAATCGCATGTCGATAATCCGAAATTGAATGTATCCGCTACCAAATTTGTCAACAGTGAATTTGAAACAACAATATTTGATTAATTAACATAGGCATCGGGTCACTAATAGTTAACCCATGATGGAAAGATAGAAAATTTCAAACGGAAACAGAAGAAATTACACTTTCGATTGAACCAATGCAGCAGTGAGCTTGAAAATTGCAGCAAAGAGAGAGTTTGCATAAGATTAGGGTTTTTAAAGAAAGGAACCATTTTAAAGGCGATAGTTAAGCTCCGTCAGAACAAAGTCCGCCATGATGGGAAGCTTAAAAGACCTTCTAGGGGAGACTCGCAATGAATGGGAAGAGTATGGGAAGAGAACAGACGTTATAAGAATTTTCGGGAATATTTTTTTTTTTAATTAAAAGTTCAAAGAGACACGTGTCGCTCTCTCCAGTATTGACGTGTTAGTCAGCTGGAGAGAGTTCAGCATCTTTTATAGTATAGATATTGCCAGCCAATATACATATGAAGGGTCATATGGAAAATAGTTAAATTTTACTATTGAATACTTAACATTTTATTAGTTTGGGGGCACATAAAATTTAATTTGTTTCCTAGGCAAATAAAATATTCATTTTTCAAAGTTTACATTTAAATCAAAAGAATTTATCAATTTAAAAAAAAACTCAGTATAAAGCAATACTGTATTTAATTTGAAACGAAAATATTATATTTATATGATGATTAATGTCATATGGATCACTCGTATAAATTACTAGTTGCATCATTCATGAAAAAAGATACATAAAGAAGAGAGACCAAAACATACCAAAATTTTGTTGAATTACCTTTTAAAGCTTTACAAATTATAATTTTGGAATAAATATAGAAGATATACAAAAATTCATTGATAAGGAAGAAAAGCATTACCAACACATTAAGATGTGCTAGAACAGTTCCGAGTGCGGTGGAGAAATCACTATCTAGAACCAAAGTTGGAAGTTTTATTGGAAAAGAACATATGCAAAGCCTATCACAAGTATTTGAGTGACAATTGTATAATACAAAGATGTGGACCAACATATAGCCACAATTATTACCCGATATTAATGACCATAAGTTGTTTTTCAATAACTTTTTATCTTCATTTGCATGCCCAAATTTCCAATAAATCATTCATCCTAAAATGACTGTGGATTAAACATATGGCAAGAGATGTGTAATTAGCAAACAAACATTAAGACTGGGGCTTAACAAAGATTTTTCACAACCAAACCTATAGTGTGAAAAAAAACTGTGCTCATACCGTTAAAGATCATATAAGTCATATTGAGTTATATGATACATACGTTGACAAGTCTTTCTAGTTCTTAGATCAAACCAGTGTATAAAATCCACAAACTAATATAATAGATTTAGATATTTGGAATCTATAAACAGATATAACTAGAGCGTTGTGGGAATAAATCACTATTATCATTTTAGTCATAATATATCATAGAGCAGATATTAGACAGCGATACGCAGAATACTAGATAGGCTTTTATCTGCATACATTATAAATATCTAACATTTTTGTACGTACATTATAAATAGCTAACATATGCATGCGTATACATTAATTCGTTTACAGGAAGAGAGATATATATGGTCGATAATCGATTGATCGGTTGCTATATTGGTATGTAACTGTGCATTCACGTTGCAAGTGCGACCTCCATGAATTGAACAAAAAAGGTAAAGCAATATATTAGTAAAGATATACCCAACGCAAAATGAAAAGTATTAATCTAATCTTAGTGATCTAGGACGATGAGGGTACCATCTGCACGATGGGTGGGTGTCCTTTCTATTTGCATAAAAGTTATATTCTTATTAGGATCCAAAGATGAAAGCGAACTATCATACAAATACAAACACCCGTTAACACCAAAAACTGAATCGGTATCGCCGGTTAGCATCTCTACCTTTTTTCTTCTTCTTCTCTATATAGCTTTCATCTTTGATGATCTTTCTTTTACTTTGCAAAAGAAAACTGAACTTTTTCTTCTTTGTACCAAAAAAAAAAAAACTAAAACAAAAAATGAAGACGAAGTATTTGACATACTCAAACCCTGATGAAATCAAAATTATTCATTTTTTTATTATCCATAATCACATATAAACTGAAGAAACAATTATCCATATAAATTAAATAATAATGGCTCGTAAATATTTAAAGATACATCTTTCTAAAAAAAAAACTAAAGGTACATTCCACATTTTTCTTTTATTACTTTTGAGTTTTGATAGATAAATAATACGGACGTACTACGTTGGAGATGATATAGTTAACATTGAATTAGTAAACTCTAGATAAATATAGTTAATGACTGATCTTACCTACTTAATTAATCAATGATTAAACATGATTTAATTAGGAAGAAAATGTCGAATATATGATATAACTATGTGATAAAGGTATTGCGCAATGGTTAAATTTGATTCAACTTGGAAGGAAAAAACGCAATTAAATTTACATGACATAAATATGTGATAAATGTATTACATACATACATATATTGTTCACTATATTACTATTTTCTCTTCTTTGTAGGTGTTGGTTTTATAAGTGGTGGTCGCTTTCTATTTAGATAAAGCGTGTGCATATATTACATTCAAACTTCAGATCATGAAGATGGTCATATCTCCAAAGTATCAATTCGTCAAATCAGCTTTGGTCTTAAGCAGTTCTGAGCTCCCTTTTTATTTTTCACTCCATTTCTTGTTTTTTTAAACAACTGAATTATTACAATTCTCTTAATACCAAATTATTATTTGTATGCCCAGATACTCATAAAATTATCTTAATCGTTCCTATATATACATGTAGTTAGTGTAAATTGACCCTGCTCTAAAACATATACACGTCACATGTATGACGATATTGATTTGTGGAGACGACTTGAGAGTGAAATTAATTTTTATTCTTTGGAAACGTTGAGGGAGAAGATAACTATATTCGCATGGCAGTGATTTTCAAATGCTTGATAGACATTTGTGACCAAAATTAAGATACTGACAGGCGATATTGATGTCTCATGATAAGAACAAATAACAAAATGTGATTATATTTTTTTTATTCTAATAACGTTTACTTATCAGTGGAAAGCAATATATACATAGTTTAGGATAGTATCTGTTTCCTGATTACTATAATTACAAGTACAACACTTTGAAAGACATAATAAAATAATAATTTATATTAGTTGACGATAGTTTCAACTGTAAATAAACTCGTGGAGTCGTGCGACTAACAAATTTGAAGACTAGATGATTAATAAAATCTCGTAGTTTATAGTTCTGAATGATCATAACACAATTCGTACTTTAGGTCATTCTGTTCGTACCGATAATGAGACTAAAAATGTGGTCTTATCTTCACATACTTTATTTTGGCTATGACAATTAGTAGAATAATTAATAGTAAAAGTGTATGAAAGTGGAATATAAATATTGAAGGATGAAATGGCTTATATATATAGTGGTAAGATATCCCTATGCTCAAAATGTCGCACTCACAGCATTTTTGTTGAAATCATTTTCATATGAAAAAACTAAATTTCAAAGTTGGTTAAACATTGTCCTCGAATTTTATCTGATTTTTCTAAATAAATTTTCTTACGGCAAATAAATGCTTGTTCTCCAAGTACAGTTGGCACATAACTATATGATATAATAAAACCATGGTTGCGTGAAACAAAATTTTAAACTATTTTTTCCTGCATTTTCACTGACTTGGTCGAATTCTTTTCCACTCCTTTGCGCAAAATCACGAGCCAATTCAGTATAAATAGCAAATGAAATACAAGATAGAAAAATCTATTTTCTTATAAGAAAAATAGGAAACTAATTCCATGAATATAGGGCTTAAATTAGGATAAGTTTCAGTCAAAATTAAAAACGTCAAAATCCACGCAACCAGGATTGGGTCAAACTCATTGACTGGTCAAAACAATTTCCTTCTACGTGAGGACCCTTATCCCACGTCAACACCATAATACCCACGTGGCACTGACACGTCATGGGAAGAGGAGAATCGAGGCAAGCGCTTTCAACGTTAAGTGCCACGCTGGCTTATATTAGGCCTTATTACATGAAATAATATTAGTCTACGTATGATACAGACATGCATCAATGTAGATATATACAAATATATACATATACATAAACCGAAACTATATATATGTATAATGGTTACGTGAAACTCCCATAACCTCTTTTTTTTTTCAAGAAAACTGTAAGAATTCTCATTTCTTCTCTGTCCAAACAGAAGAACCTTTGTTCTGTTTTAATTTAATCATCACTTTGTTTTTCAGTTTTTTTTCGGGTTGTTTTCTCTCCAATATTTGAATTTCTTCGATGGATTTTCTTGTACATACATCACTCATTCAAACATTATTCCACAAAGCATCCGTGAAGCCCTGTTCTCTAATCTCCTTCTTATAATTCAAATTTTCTGGGGAATTTTCTCTCAATTTTCCCAGAATATCTTCGCATTAACATTGGAGACAAAGAACACAAACATGTTGCAAGACGTGATCTCGTCACACGACCAGCTTTCCATCGTAATTCTCTTCTCTTCAATTACCATTCTTTTCATTTATATTATCATGGGTTAAATATTAGTATTGTTTGGTCTTTCAATTTTGTTTCAAGCATTGAATTGAACATTTCAGTTCTCTATTTCTTTATAGATCCCATGCACATTAGAGATCATATAAAGCTCAACTTTGATCTTATTTTTTGTTTTGTAGTCTCTTATAGGGCAACCCTATAATTTTATCGAATTAGTTTTTTTTTTTTCGTGTAACGTCATTTTCTTCTCCTTATATTCCATTTTATCTATTTTCTAATTTCTTCATTCATTGAACTTTCTTTTCTTTCTTTGTTATTCTCTACACACTTCAATTTATCTTCCAAAATTATTAAGATACGGTTTTGAACATTATTATTATCATTCTTATTCGCATGCGTGCGATTGTTACTTCCAAGCCAATTGAAAATCGTCACATGATATAGAACAATGTTCTACAAACAACAGTCTATATATTCCAACTATTTATATCATATTCGGTTTATTTTTAAAAAGTAAAATGCTATTTTACTTTCTCACCTTCAAATTTATAAAGTTCGGTGAATTTCACTAGGAGTACGTATTTTGATGTATGATCATCGTTAAAGTGAAGGTTTCTTATTCTGATGTATGATCATGGTTATAATGAATGTTTCTTACATGATCTTATATCTTATGAAGTGCCATTTACTTTTTTTCTGTGGGGGAAAAATCTAAATGTTGGTTCATACTAGGCAATGTTAGATTATTTTCTCAATACTCAAAACAAATACCAGAATCAGAAAATTTCCTTTTATAGAAACTCCACCCTTCTTTTACTTTTCCTTTTGGCTATTGGAAGTTGGAACACTTCCTTAACATGTCACATGAAAGAACAGATGCATGTAATCACTCTTTACCAACATTTGTCTTGTTATAAACTGATATTGCTAACAAAACAAAACAAAAAAGGTTGGATTTGATCAAGACACAAAAATCTTGGAGTGTCTCGATGTCGAAAAATAGAATAAATACATATCTTATAGATTCTCTCTAGAAAAATTAAGCACAATAGAACAGTTTTACTCGAGTATAAATCTATCTGAAGAACTAATCTTGTAATTTCTCAAAGATCTCACAGAGTTATTGTTTTCTTGTGACTCAAGCCAAAACCTCTGTTCTCTTCTTTTGATGCTTGGCTTTAACGTAATTTCTTTCTTGATCATTTACTTTGTCTGCTCGATCTAATCTTTATATCTAATATTTGGTTGTGTTATTTCACCAGGATGATACCACGAGCCCTCTTAGTGCTCAAATCTTCGATTTCTCTGATCCACAACTGTTTCAAGAAAGCTTTAATCAATCCTCTGAAGTCACCTCTTCTTCAAACATTCTCGAAAAATCTGGAAGCTTTCAAGACAATCACAGTGGTAATTCAAACACTAACACGACCACAACCACTGATAACAGTAACACCAACCAGAACAACCAATTTCAAGATGATGAAGACGACAACAACAACGTAGACCTGTCCATAATCTTCGATTCACAAGAAGATTTCGAAAACGACATAGCCGCTTCAATAGATTTCTCATCATCTTCTTTGCAGTATCCAGTTATAGACCAGCTCCTTACAACAACGAATCAAGACCAATTTGATTTCTCATCAGGAGTCCAAATTGTTCATCGGCTTCCTAACATTCCTGACTCTGGAGACCCTCTGGCTCTACCAGCGGTTTCCTCTGTTGCTCCTCCTCCTTTACCATTAGGGGTTTTCGAAGAAGATTGCCTTTCTTCTGTCCCAAGTTACAATCTTGGCTTTAACCCTACTTCACCTTCTTCCTTACAGTTCCGTACATCCGGTTTACCGACGTATATGATGAATATGAGCACCGGCTTGCTATCTTCCGGAAGTAATTCCGGTTTATTTCCTGAAAATATTCATTTGGGATCTGAATTCAACAAACCACATGATCAATGGATGGATTTTCAAGCTGATAATGGTGGATTGTTATGTCCAAATTCCATCAAACATATCTTTAATCCAGGAGATCTCCAGGTAAATGGAGTACCAATGTTAACATTTTTTTGCAGCAAATATCTAGTTTACGCTTGGTTATCTTCACAAAATTATGGTATAGAGCTGAGATTTCTAGTTTTGTTTATAAAAAACATGTGTTTTGGTAATTCCTACCAAATGCTAACAGATTTATCAAAGGAACCGGTTTGGTGCAGCTATATTTTCAGCTTTTTAAATTAACATGACCGGTTAAGTATTGCTAACCGGATTATTGTTTTTGTTAAGAAGGCACTTAGTGGAGTCGAGAATCAGAGCCACTTGGTGTTACCTCAGACTCATCCAACATTAGGACCGGTCGAGATAAATGGTTTAGAAGATTCAACGTTAAACAAAGTTGTGAAACTCTCCCCAGAGCAAAGGAAAGAGAAGATCCATAGGTACATGAAGAAGAGGAATGAAAGGAATTTCAGCAAGAAAATAAAGGTGCGGTTTTTACTAAATCAAACCGGAATAAACCGTTGATTATTGTTATTCTAATTAGTTTCTTGTTTTTTCTTATAGTATGCGTGTAGGAAAACATTGGCAGATAGTCGTCCGAGAGTTAGAGGACGATTTGCAAAGAATGATGAGTTTGGTGAACTAACTAAACATGGTTCTTCAAGCCATCATGATGATGAAGACGAAGACGATGTAAGAAACCCGGTTTACTATAACTCGATTTATATGAGTTTGTGATTAAACAGAGTGTTTATTTTAACTAAATCTAATTAAACTGGTTCGGTTTACAGATGAGAGTGAAGGATGAGGAACAATTGGTAGATTCTAATTCAGACATTTTTGCACACATTAGTGGACCGAATTCCTTCAAGTGCAACAACCCAATTCAATCTTGGATTTGAGTTTCAAGTTCCACGCCACAAAATTAAAGACTCATGTTTATAACATGAATCTTATATAGTCTTATATAATTAATATCGCTATAGAGTTGTTACTTGTTAGTATTAGTATATTTATTTTTGCAATGCCCAGGCCCTGTCAACAAAAATAAAAATAATAGTAATAACCTAAAAAGATAATGAATAATGGTTTTAGGCAGGTTTGGTGTTTAGATAAATAAAACAGCGGTGAAGAATGTTTTATTATGTTACATAGAAAATTGAAAATTTTGTAGATGTTACATAGTATGATATTATATGATATATGGTGATGTCTTTATTTAATATGAAGTTGTATTTTTCACCTGAATACTATATGTCTATATCTAATCAATCATTTATTTTGTTTTGATCCTTTTACGTTCTACTTATGCAAACATAAAAATCAGTCAGATGTCCTACACATACGGTACTGTACGTATTTTTGCCTAAAAAGAAGAATATATGTATTTTTTCACCTACGCATGTTTTAAGATAAAAAGAAAAAAACAAAGAATAGTCCGGTCCGATTGTATCTATAAGACCCGGTAAGAAGATTTAATTAAATTACGTAGATGGTAAATATTTTTAAATAGAGATACAATTACTGGGCTTTTATTTTCTCGAAGTGTTGGATTGGGCCAACAAAGTGCTAAAGATCAATTGTTTAATTAGTGCCTCCCTTATAGCTACAATTTAATAAAGCTCAAACTAACAAGACAACGACTTTGATACATAGTCGGAAAAAAAAAACTCTGTAGTGAACCAACTTTTATATATTTTCTTGATTATTTTCATTTTTCCGTTGCTGAAATTGAAACCCCATATGCGAAAATTGACCTTTAAACGAAATTTGTTAAAACAGAATTCACCGCTTAGTCAATGATTTCGAACCAAATGTCTAAAAGGCAGAGATTAAACGAAAGTGATATTGACTTTAGGTGAATTATGATAATGACCCTTTCATGAAATCTCTATAGATTTTTATTTTGTTGTAAAAATATTCGAGAATTTAACTATGTGATTTGACCTATAAACACGATATATATATACAGGTTTCTAAACTTAGAAAAACGGGAAAGTATTTTTCTGTACGTATGAGAAAACAAAGTGGGTTCATTTCTGTTTTTATCGTTCCATAGTTTATCTTTAACCGAGGTTTTAAAGCCAACACCTAAACTCATCCTAAAATCCCAATGAAGTGTCAAAAAATCACGATGCTATTGAAAATTAATATCCGATCTGGAGCTATATATAGAAAATAGACTCACACAACTGGATCATGACACAATCTTATCAACTTCGAATCTATTTTCTAACTTATTTTCCAGGAAATCTACACGTGTAATAAAAATATATATTTTAGACCAAACAAACTAACGAACTACAAAAACTAAAAAGCCGACTAAATCACATCACATGCATGGAAAAAATATGAACTCTGGTTAATGCTGTTAGTGCAAACATATGGACCGGATTTGGTGGAGAAGAATCTTAAATTATACAATCAGAGCATCGATTTTATAATACGGTAGGTGGTTTCAATTAACACGAATATTCAATGTCATATAGATGTATATTACTAAATTATAATCTTCTAGATGAATAATTGAGCTGACATTTGCGACCTTCAAGAAGAATAAAACGCATAAATAATGGAGCTAAATTTTCACTATATTATTATTTGGAGGTTTACGTGTTTAAAATTTGAAATTTAAATAAAATGCGTTTTAAAAGGGAAATATTTTCCTTCATCCCCTCTCTTGGAATGCCGGAAGTCTCCTTGCTCTGCCTCCCATGGATGAAGAGGCATTCTGGTGGGCCTTGATGTTCTTTGTAGAGGTTTGGGTTACTCGATCGGTGATGGTTCCAAAGCTAGAGTGTGGCAGGATCCCTGGCTATCTATGGACGCTCCCCTGAAACCAATGGGGCCTCCTCCTTTGGACTGCACTGAGCTACGTGTTAAAGACCTTATCTGCCCCTCAACTTTTAGTTGGAACCTGGAGAAGATCCGACTGTTGCTCCCTGCATATGAGCCATTGATCCGGAAAATTTATCTTTGCTCTTCTCCGCTTGCAGACAGCTGGACTTGGCTCCCTGAAGTCTCTGGGATTTATACGACTAGATCAGGATACGCTCTCGCAAGAATTGCGATGGAAGAGTCTAGTGACAGTGATGACTCCTTCTCTTGGAAGAAGTGCATCTGGAACACCATGACCTCCCCAAAACTCCGAAACTTCCTGTGGAAGTCTGTTTCAGGAGCCCTCTCTGTTAGTGCAAATCTTGCAAAACGTGGTCTTATCATTTCAGGATGCAAACGTTGTGGGGAAAGCGAGGATGAGACCCACCTATTTTTGAAGTGCCCCTTCGCGGCCCAAGTTTGGGATCTGACACCTTGCGTGTTCACCCATGATCCATCCTCAGCAACATCGATGAAGCAATTCCTCCAAGGAGTTATTTCCTCCTGCAACTTACCCCCAACTGGTCTCACCATGGCTCCCTTGTTTCCCTGGATCGTGTGGAACCTGTGGAAAGCCCGTAATGGACTCCTCTTTGACGACTGGGAATTCTCAGCAAAAGATTTGGTCTCGAAAGCCATTCGTGAAGCTAAAGAGTGGTCCTCCGTTCAACAAACTAAGCCTAAGTCTTCTGAAGTGTGATTGCTCTCTGCTCCACCCGTCGTGGCTCCCAAACCATCCTGCTTCGTGGATGCTGCCTGGTGCGTGAAATCGGAAAATTGTGGTATTGGAGTTTCTTTTTCAGGTCAGGGAAGTGAAGATTTTGAGGACCTATCTACCTCGTTCTGTTTCGTCCCGTCAGCCCTTATGGCTGAAGCTCTCGCAGTCAAGAAGGCTCTATCCACAGCGTTGGAACTCGGCCTTCCTCAACTGGAAATCTCATCGGACTGCCAAACTCTTGTCACACTCCTGAGGACCAACAGCTCTTACAAGACTATCAAATCCATTCTTCATGACATTTTCCACCTCTCAAAGAGCTTTGAATCTATTTCTTTCAAGTTTATTTCCCGTCGCTTTAATGGCTTAGCTGACTCTTTGGCTAAATCAGCCCTTGTTGCTCTTTCGAACTCTATCTCCATTCATGGAATGTAACTCTATTTCCGGATGAATGATATTATGATGGTTTGAACAAAAAAAAAAAATGCGTAAAATGCAATTGAAGAAGCAACAAAATGGTCGAGACAATCATGTGCCGCAAGCTCACGGTCCGGAATGAGACAAGATAGTTTTGTCAAGTTGTTGGTTGGTCCATGGATTCTCAATTTTTTTTATGTGAAAATCTTAGTAAACAATATCAATAGGGCATATGTTCTAAAGCCTCCAAATCTCAAATAATCCAACCACGTATATTAAAAAAGGCAAAATATGTATTGTAGGGTTTGTTTTAAAATTTCACACAATATGATAGTTTAATTATTCCCATTATTCATACCAAAAAATAATACATTCTTATTATTGTACACGGCAAACTACATTGGAAGTCCATTTTCTAATATTTCACTATACAGCAACCTAATTGAAAACCTACCGTTTTGTAGCATTTATACATAGAAACTTTTAATTTCTTGATGATTTACCTGATTAGTACCTATTGTTAAAATTTAAACAATAACAAAATGACAAAACAAAGTAGAGAATTAGAAATTTTTCTGAAATCCATATACTACATGCATAATATATTATAAGTTTCCTCTTTATACGCGTAAGCTAAACGTTAGGATGATTAGTACCAGTCATATCTTTTTTTACCTCATTAATCTAGAAAATGAAATATAACTAAACTACCAAATAGATAAATCAATAAATAATTGATTAACTCGACTCAGTCTTGATGAATACCGTGGGCGTGGTCATGTAAGTCGGTCTTAATTTTTCTTAGACATTGGCTATATGAGTTTTTCCAAAAGTTTCTACTAATTTCATGAGCATATATCTCTTTGAAATTCTGCTTAAAGATAAAAAAAATATATAGTGTGCGCACAGACCTAAGTATATGGATGATCGGACCAAGCACTATCAAATTTTTGTGCCGATTTGTTATAATCCACCATTTTCCACATGATTAGCATAAACGGAAAACAAAAAAGTTCATAACTTGAACAAAAAAAGGTTAATAATTAGTTTAGCACCAAAAGAAAGTAAATAATTGTGAAAGAAAAAAAAAAGGTGGACAGAAGAAAATGGGAATTAATGTGGACACTGACTATAACTTCTATTCCCTCCTTTTTAGCCAACGAGTAGCCATCACACCACCACCTTCCTTTAGATTCTTCTCTCTCTATCTCTCTCTCTCTCGATCGTGCCCACCAGCTCACTCACTTGCTTCTCTCTAATCCCACAATCTCCACTCAATTGCTTCTAATAAAACCCCTAATTTCGAGTTTTGACGCAAACGCAAAAGAAAAAAAGAACACACAAAGAGGTGGGTCCCGAATTGTAAGAACCCCCTCTTCCTTTGTAGTGGCCATAGTCTAAGTCACCCAAAAAAGACGTTCCTTTTCTCTGTCTCCATTGGTTCTAGTCAGACATTAACGTGGCTTAGTGAAACACCCATTTTTCTCTCTCTCTCTCTAGAAACCCAGAAAGAAAAAAAAACTCTTGCTTCTAAGCTTTACCCACTTTCTTCTTCCCACTCACATTATTTGGAGAAATTGCTTCGTTTCTTCTTATATACAATTATGGAGACGCATAAGAAAGAAGATCGCAACAATCAAGAATTGACAAAGGAGATTGCTGCTGTTTTTCCTTGAATTCTCTTCGATCCCTAGTCCATCTCTTCACACAGGTACAAGGAAATTAATGAACAAGATGAAAGATTCGTTTTTTTTTTCCTTTTTTTTAAGCTGTTCCGTCTATTATTGTAGAATTAATTAGCTTCTGAGTTCTTTTTTTTGTTTGTTTGTTTCATTCCCAATTGAGCATAAGCAGTTCCATATTTCATAGTCATTGACTCTGAATTGGCTTTGATAGAGAGTGATTCAGAGAGTATTTTTAGCTTCTAGGTCAATATTGAGTAAATTTCCGCTCCTTGTACTTTTCTCCTTTGACTTGAGTAAGGTGCAAAATCCTCAAATGTTTCTCTTGAGCTTGAAAACTCCATCAAAGTTTAGTCTTTTTTCCGATTCAGTAAATGGGCACAGCTAAAAATGGAAGCTTTCCTTTGATTGTCAATTTGTGTAGGGTTCTTCGTTTTTAGCTTTTTAATTGCTTTTAGGTAAGGGATTAGGTATTATTTAAAAACCTTGACTTTCCAGCAAATTAGCTTTGTAGCCTTAGAGGGTATCGAATCCGGCTTTTGTTTGGAACAGTGGATTCGTACCACATTTTGATTCTGCATAATTTTTTGACTTTGTCAATATTACTTTATACAATGGTTTTGAAGTTGTCTTCTGTCCTTAAGAGTTGCTAACTTAGCTAAAACTTCTTTTGTTTATTCTGAGCTAAAAATTATTTTGTTTATTCTGTTCAATTTTTTGTCTTTCAGATCTTTGGAAGTGTAAAAATAGGATGAAAGATTGAATTTTGATCGGCTTTTATTTTAAGTTAGCGAGCAAACAATGGAAGGTGTAACTCCTGATGTTCAGAGGGATGATCCTGAGCTTGAAGATTCAGTGAACATTGATGAGAATCTACCGAGGGAAAATGGTTTATTGAAGTCAGGGAACTTGTTGAGCCAGAAAAGACAGCAATGCAGTTTAGTTTCAAACAGCGGAAAGTGGTTACAGATTGTTAAAAACGGTCCCAAAGGTCCATTTTCTCGTGCCACTAGTTTCTTCGATAACAAGATCCCACGGCATTTGGTGTCATTGGACGAAAAGTATCTACGTCGATGCCTCGACCTGATTAATATCAGTGCGTTTAAGTCAGCCAGTTGCAGCCTTTCTATGAATCTTGTAGGATCAACGATGAGTTTTTCGTCATATCACTTCGATGCACCTGTGATCCCCAAAGAAAATGTTGCTCGCCTTGTGTTTGATCTTCCGTTGGTAGATGATGAAGGCAATATAGTGATTAGCCCCGCAATCACAGGTTGCAAGAGGGTTACACATATGCCTTTGTTACAGAATCTCAAAGCATTGGATGGTGAAGATATGAATAGCAAGACGAGACGAGACGATAATGGTGAAAACGGGTTTGTTTCATGTGATGTTGTGAGGATGATAGAGGAAAAATACACTCCGGATCCGCAGTTTCAGAGCTATGAATCTGGAAACATGTCCAAAAAGACGGTCTCTTTATCGAGCACATACTCAATGAGTCTTTCTTCTTCGTCATCATCTGAGCAATCATCTTCCTGTTGGTCTCCGTCTTCATCAATCTCTCAAGGGACACTTCAATTCACTATGAAAGACAACAAGACGCCTCATTTTGTTTTCTCATTGGATGATCAGAAAGAGACATATGTAGCTAGCTTAAGCACTAGCTTCGACCGTAGTTCTCTAGACTATTCGTATTTGATCCATTTGAAGAAAGGCCGCGGATCTGAACCGCAGCATCTGGTTGGTAAGCTAAAGGTATCAACTTCGTTTTCTTTCTCGTCCACGAATGGAAAAATCGTAGAGAGACATTTTGTTCTGTTCAGTAGTGGTGGGAATCCGCAGTTATCAAGCCACAACGATATCAGGAAAAGCAGAGGATTGCCTAAGAAAGTCGTTGATGCGCTCAAAGCTACCACACGCGCTTCAAGGCAAAGAAGTATCTCAAGATTCAGTAGAAGTAGCTCCGTAGCAGATTTTTGTTCGTGGGAGCCATTTCAAGAACCAGACCACGATCTTGAACCCGTAAGTTTACTAGATAACGACCTTCCACCAAATCTTCAAACATCAGCTGTTGTTGTAAGAGAACACTTTCCAGAGGAAGAAAATGAGGAAGAAAAAGTTGGAGGATGGGGCATGAAGTTTCTCAAGAAAACGCCCTTGGCTCGTACCAAGCATGCTTCTGAGAATTCCAAGCACTCAACGAGCATAGATGTTGTGATTCCTTCAGGGATTCACGGAGGTCCGAGAAACAGAAACGGTGGTCCGTCGAGCTTGATTCAGAGATGGAAATCTGGAGGAAGCTGTGATTGCTCCGGATGGGACTTGGGTTGTCCCTTAACCGTCTTTAAAGGCCAAGCTCGAGAAGACCAAAACGAAAGCCAATGCAATCTTTTTGAGCTCTTCACAGAGGTAACATTCAAGATCCATTTTACCATTTCCTCAATCATACGCCATAGTTTTTTTTAAAAAAACGGGAATGTTCATGCCAGACGAATGTTCAATCGATGAAAGATACAATCTTGATCATGTTTGACCCCGAAATTTGATTGGTTTGTGTTTTTTCAGGGATCGAAGCAGGGGATTCCTGGACTGAGGGTTATGAGTATACGAGACGGTCTCTACTTCGTCCACTTTCAAGCAAAGATATCTGTTTTGCAATCTTTTTCAATCGCTTTGGGATACATTCATAGCAAGACCCAGAGACTTCGGCCATGGTCGTCAGGAAAGTGTATAGAGAAGCTACACTAGCTAAACAGAGGATTGCACAAAGTAAGATGGGCAAAACTCAGCCTTCGTAGTTTTAGCAGGTTCTTGAGTCAATATTCTTATTTTTTTCAGTTTATTGGTTTTCTACTCGATATTTTTTTTATAGAAAGCAAGTAATATCAAGGTCTTTACTGAAATCATATGTAAGTTTGGTATTGAGTTATGTGGTTTTGTTTTTAAAGGGTGGTGTGAAATGTAAATTTTGACTTTCGATTTTGAGATATCCTGGCTTTATATAGACTTTGTTTTGTCAATTAACTTCAGTTTCATGCAACAAAGTCAACTCTTTAAAACTTCAACCCCATTGTAATCAATGTAGACTGAGCTTTCTTTAACTTACATCAAAAGATGAAGCGTTTCATGTAAACCAGAAACATGAAAAAACTAACAGAATCTCTTACAAACCATGTCTAAAAGCACACAAAAGATTCTCGTCTCTCTACTTCAAAACAACCAAAACATAAAGATTCGTTTTCAAAATACGTTGAGTTTTGTTGAAGAAGATAACCAGCAAAGTGATTAGACGATGGCGTTAGCAGCACTTGCAATCCTTGGCCAGAGGTCCGCACACTCTTTCCCAATCGGTCCAGTAATCGCAGAACCTAAAGCCACAATACAAACCACATCCATGTGTCTCTCAGAAAAGAAATCTCTGTGACCCAAAACGTGTTTAAAAAGTTTTGTAAGAGATATAGTTGAACACAATACCTTTCATTTCTCCCTTAGGATTCACAATCACTCCCGCATTATCTACAATCGACAAAGCAAGCCTCGATATAAATCTCATTTACCACACAACACATCTATACAAAGCCATAAACTCATGTTAAACTCAAGGAAACTGTAATTAACATACCTTCAAAGTACATGAAAACACCGTCCTTTCGGCGCCAAGGCTTGCGCTGCCTAACAATCACAGCAGGAAGAACCTTTTTCCTAAGATCTGGTTTACCTTTCTTGACTGTGGCCATAACCATATCACCAACGCAAGCAGAAGGTAACCGATTGAGACGACCTTTGATTCCTTTAACCGAAATGATGTAAAGGTTCTTAGCTCCTGTGTTGTCTGCACAGTTCACTGTTGCTGCTACGGGAAGACCAAGTGACATCCTGAATTTGTTACCAGACGTACCTCCACGTCCTAAACCAAAAACCACAAAAACACAATATCCAATTAGAGCCAAAGCTTAGAAATATTTTAACTGTTCTGTTTCAAGAAAATGAAAATTTGTAGTATCTTCACAAGAAAATACTTTTTGATATCAAAAGTTCTTAACGAGCTGTGTAGATGAAAAAAATCATATCCCATGAGTAATGATGGAACAGAGTCATAGATTTCGTATGATCCAAAACCAGAAGTAGTAGATCGATTTCAATTATCTAACAGCCATGGAAGCTTTAATTAAAGATTGTTATAGAAATTATGGTAAAATACAACAAATGCGAAAGAGGATAGCTAGAATCGAAAGACAGACCTCGTTTCGACATTTTGGCCGGCTCTAAAGGAGAGCTCTAGGGTTTCTGATTATGTTAATTCAACTTAGCTGTGTCGAAGGAGACGAAGTGATTAGGGTTTAAACCTATGGACAAGTGAATAAAAGCCTTTTATGGCCCATAAAAGCCCAAGAGCGTTTCAGTCTGTGAACCGTTGTAAAATTGATAAACTGGAAGTTTACCATTACCGTTATGGCCAGGAACTATAATTTAAATACATGTAAATTTAACGATCCATTTTATATAGAGTAGATACAAGGAATCAGTAAATTGGAAACAACCAAGCTAGATGTCTTGTCCTACCAGGATGAAAATTCTAAGTCTTAGTTTAACAAATTTCACACAACATTTTCTTCACATATATATATTTGTTTGTCTTATTTAATCAAGAGCATAATAGTAATACAAGGATCCAAATACAGTAATACACATACTTATACAAACATAATAAGGTAAAGTGGTAAACTCATTCTTCTTAATCTTGTTTCCGAGAATTGGCCTTCGCTTTATTCTTTTTAGCACAGTATTCAAATAAACTTCCATCAAAGCAACCTCTCACAGCTTCTTTAGACAAGAACCCTTCTTCATCCTTTGCAAGAATATAGAGTAGAATCCATTCAACTTTGTTTGAAAGCCTACCATAACCAACACAACAAAAACCGGCCTGATTAGATAGGTTCAATTACCGGTTCATTACCAATAAGAGACGTATGCATATATATATATATATATATATATATATATATATTTATATAAATCAACTAAGAACCAAGAATATGTTTTGGTACTAACCATCCAAAAGGATCGATTGCCATTCGGTTTCCCTCGGTTACGTTCCAAACCTCCTTCCATGATAACTTATCCGAAACCGTAAGCGCGTATTTGCTAAATATGTTCTCGAGATTAACCGGAACGTACCTACAATCACGATTTTACAAATTCAGTATCATGAAAATTCTATTTGAAATTATTAGGTATTTTATATACATATATATATATATATATATATATGTTTGAGTAAATGTTACCTTCCTTCGGTATCATAGGTGCTTGAATCACTTCCATGCTTAGCTTTGTGTATGTTGTCGATATAAACAGGCAATAATGGTGATGGCACCCAACTCTGTTTAAAATATTCACCATTCACAACATAATAATATGTCAATCATATAAATGATATTAATATAAATGAATTTGAAGGGTCTTGATTAAGATTAGTTTCCCATACCGGAAGAGTAACGTAGCTAAACGCTAAGTTAATGAGTAAGCTCCAAAAGATAGAGGAGATTGGGTTGAAACCGAGGTCACGGAATCCTGCAAATAGTTTTTATAAAACATTTTGTAATTATAAATGGATATGTAGCAAAAGAGTTAGAATTTTCTATATTAGATTTCTTATATTTCTGAATTTTGTAAAACCATTATAATAGATAATTTACCTGCATAAGTCTCCCAAGGATAGACGATTCCGTCGCCGTTTTGGTCGAAGAAAGCAACATGTTGTTGCATAACACTCATGCCTTTGCTGTCATGACCTTCTGTTCCATTCGGATGCTCTGTATCTGGTGCTGCTAATGCTCTTGCCAAATCTGATTTTCATTTTGCAAATGAAGACTTGGTCAAAAAATTATGACATTAAACCAAAAGAAAAACAAAAATTCTTATGACAACTAGTAAATTACTTCACAGAAAAACTTTAAACATTTAAACAAATGACTTCAAACTTGTAATCTAGTGGTTTTTACTTTGTAAAATAGGGATTGTCGTCTTCATACATTCGTGTGTGAGGTGTAGATCTTTTAACATATTGTTTTTTAACATATAGCCAAAGTATTATAAAACTCTATATATATTACAACGGTTTCAAGGTACTTGACAATACATCTTTTAACATATTGCTTATTCTTATCTTTTCATCATTAAAATTTTTCTATCGAACAAAGAATTCGACAAATAAACATAAATAGATTTTATATTATTATTTAATTAACATACACTTACTATTTCGCTTGTTACACAATAAACCCTTAAAATTGGAGAAGCATACTTACAAGGTTTTGGTAATGTTTCCTCCAAATCATTTCGTACTTTTCGCTCACCGGTCACCGGAGCTAACGGCGCCGACGTGGCAAAAGCCTCTGACTCATCTGCCATTATCTCTCTGATTCTTTAGCTGTTCTCTCTCTTCTCTTGTGTAAGTGTTAATAATTGAAGATGCTCTTCGTTTCTTCTTTTGCAAAAGATGGACACTGTGATATTTTGGTTTCTTTGGTCCTTTATATGTAAAACGATATAACGAGGATGATGTGAAAAAACCTAAGAAAGAAGGGACAGGTGTCGTGACTTTGTGGTGTATCAAGTTAAGAGATAGCAAAGAACAAGCAAACATGATCACATCTAATATGGTCCATTCACGTGGCAATTCTCTGTTGGCTGAAATAAATCCACATTTTAATCACGAGTAGGTCGGTGAGAAAAAAACATCGTGTTTGTTTTATGAATTAAGGAAGACATATTGGAGGAAATATCATATTACTTCAATTATTGTACGAAAACAAATGATCTCAGACAATATTTTTATTGCCTCTAAGAGCATCATTATCCCTGAAACTTCTAATGAGTTTCTTAAGTGTTTTTTATTATTAAACATAGATTAAAAAATCTGCTTAAGAAATCTATTGTTTTTACTTGTACATTGGTAAAATCCTTAATAAATTTCTTAAGAATTGTTTTTTTCTTAATAAAGATGAAAGAAAGAAGAAAGCTAAGATGAAGAAACAGATGTGTAGAGAAGGAGCAGAAACAAAGAAAAGAAGCAGAAAGAAGGAGAAGAGCCAACGTTTAGAAGTAGAAGAAGCAGAGTAGACGAAATGGTGTGATCGGATGGTAAGAAAGAAGAGAAGAAGAAGCAGATGAGAATCAGAAAGAAGAAGAAGCAGAAACGAAGAAGAAGAAGCAGATGAGAAGCAGAAAGAAGAAGACGCAAATCAAAAGCAGAAACGAAGAAGAAGAAGAGAAACACTGGCTTTAATTAGTGTGAAAATGGGTTTGTCCAAAGAAATCTGGTTGAAGAGAAGAAAGAGAAGATTTTATTTCCTCTATTTTTTTTAACCAATGCGAACATGACACGTAACAACAAGAAACGGTTCTTCTTGATCCCAAATAAAAACCGATTTTTCTACTATTCATTATTTTTGATTTTTTTTTAATTAATTGGGTAGGAAACTACAGTAAGAAACTGCGATAATATGCTCTAATGTTTACCTGAATGATATCATCAACTGACATTAATCATATAGACTATTTGTAGCTTTATATATACTTTCGAATAATATTGGGAGAGTAGAATACTGTAATAATAAGCAAACAATTTGACCCAAAAAAAGAATAATATAATATTGTAAGATGTTCGAGAAAATAAAAATAAAACATTAACAAGATTGAAACACTCCCATCCCAACTTATTTCTTTTAGCAGAATATTCAAAATGGGCTTCCATATTTCATCAAAGCAATCTTTAATAGCTTCTTTGGAAAAAAACTATATCCTCGTCCTTCGCAAGAATTTTACATTAAGAAACACGGTTGATTGATTAATGTATAAATATGGTCCTTGTACTTGTACGTAGCTCTTACGTAACATGCATGCATTGAATCCCAACTCTTCATCGTTTTTTTATTTTTGGGAACCAAAATCAAATACGTTAACACGTCAAATCATCAAAGCACTATTATTCGTAATTTTAATTGGTGAAGTTAGGTGATTCATCTAGAAGTATACCTGTATATATAATATATGTATGCGTATCGTAGCATATGCCAATACAATAGGACCAATCTCTTATCTCTCACATGTACGTATCACGTATGTGTATATGAGCATAACTGTCCATGATTCCACATGTGTATATGTATATTAAAGAGACTTTCGAAGTTGAGAGATTACTTAGTCCAATTTTGTGTATGATTTATTCAAGGGTTTCGAAGAGAATTTGGGGAGAGATATCCACCGTTGATTGAATCGAAATCGAGCGCAGCCGTTTATTTTAATCCGGAATTTACTTATCTTCACTCTCCTTGTTATTTCCTTGCATCTCTGTTTCATCATTAATTTGCCTGTAGGTACCTTCACGCGCTCCTTTACGTATTTCCATCTTCCATCTTTTATAAATTAGAGATAAGAAAAATAAACTATCAAAAATATGTATCTAATACGAAACTCAGAAACCTAATGGAAGAGTCATAAAGAAAAGGATACCCTTTTGATGAGCTTCTTCGTCTAGGCTTGTGTTAATTAGCAGCTGCTCATATAATTAGAATTTACAAAATTATTTGTGTTTATCAAATGTCTATTAGTTATTCAAATTGTTCGTGTGCATAATATGATTTTAAATTTAAATACCTTAACCAAGCTGTCCATTCTTTTTCTCATCCTTCTCTGTATGTACCCTCTCGAACACTATTTTACCAATAAGGGTTAGAGAATTTCATTTACAAGAATGTAACTATATCTGTTTTTTTTCCTTCTGAAAAAGTCATCACTAGTTAAAAAAAAAAAAGAATAAAAAGTCATCAGTAGTACCTTAATATGGTATTTAACGTATGCGTAGAAATTTAGTAAGTTCCAAACCGTTTTGTCTAGGCTCTTTCCTTCAATGTGCCGTGAGGTAATATCTGCAATACGAAAAAGAGTGAAAGTCATGTTATAATACTAATTAAAGCGGTTGAAACTAATAAACAAAATAAAGGAAATAAAATGTACCAAAAGAGACAAAACCAGAACTGGTGGTCAAGTCTTGGACCGGTTCTCCTCTAAGTTGGAAAGGAGGAATTGGTGACCAATTACATCGAGGTGCCTTTTCCATTTCCTTTCGGTTACCCACTTCCACTAGTTCCTTTTTTCATTGGACCCAATATCCCCAACAAAAAAAAAATTGACAAAGAATAGTATATTGATAATCATTTAAATTTGGAACAATCTATTTCGTTTTAGTACAAATGCAAACCTTCTTGGATATTTGATTTAAATAGTCAAAACCAAAATTTGAATATTGGATCGTATTTGATGCGTATATGATTATGTTTCAAGTATATTATGAATTAAGTAGTCGTAAATGAGATCATTTGCTTCACATTTTAAAATCAAAACTTTCTTTATCTACTGTTAGCATATAGCCAATTGTTCGTGTCTTCATTTGCTCCATTTTTTTTTACTTTCTATTCAAAACGACTTTTTAGTCACTCTTTTTACTAACATAAGTGTGGTTGATCAAACAGTTACATTGAAAACTGTTTACAGTTTCGAGCTTTTAAAATAACATTTTAATTAATTGGTAACTCATTTCATTTATATTAGCAGTTTACATTCTAATCCCAGTGATTATCGTGTAACTACACTTTCTCGATGCTCAAACTATAGTGAACCATGTAATTGTACCTGGAAGAACGAGGTGGCAATGACCATATCCGAATTGTCTGTAAAATTCATCGGAAACACCGCCGTTAATTTCTCTGGCTGAAGAAAAAAAAAACTTCCAAGACTTATCCTTATAGTCATAACATATTGAACATCTTGATTCGATAAAAGTTAGATGTAACTCCAATAAATAAAATGCGCTAAATATAAACTACTAAACCTGTTTAAAGACGTAGAAAGGTTCACTTGGGTGATAAACAATCCTGATGGGCCTATTGTTGTTCATCGCTTGTGAATCATCTTGAAAATTCATTACTTTCAGCATCTCTTTTAATTGGCTACTTAATATTAAAGCTTGTATTTCAGAAATCCTTGTAATGACTTTAATCGCTTCTGCAGTTGAAAGATTAAATGAAGAGACCCTATACTTATGTAGCACAGGCAAAATACATTTAAGCATAAGGAGCTACATTACACAAATTAAAGTTGATATATTACGAAAATAAGGAATATATATATATATATATATAGTATAAGCTTATTACCTTTGCCACGTGGAATATTATCAAGGTGAAGCTTAAGGGTCAATTGAAACCCTAATCGTGGTGGATCAACAATATCTATCACACCAACTGCAATTTTCTTAATCACCTCATAAGTGTGACTTAAAATCTCCTTGAACGTCACTGTTCCCTGTGTCTCGAGCAGCGTCGACGTCGATACATACACAATGTTTGAATCCGAAGTCGAGCACTGCATGCATGCTCAAATATTATATTTTTATATTTTGTAATACTGGCCTAATTAAATAATCAGAAGAAAATAATTCAAAAATTAACAAGGTCCCCGATAAAAATATACCTTGATGTGATATTGAATTGAACCAAACTCGTAGAAATGTTGATCGATCTCAATAGGTTTTTCAGCACTAGCATGATTTGAGGACAATGAAACATTATATTACTTTTAGTAGGACCTTACCAGGAGACTCAAATAATATCAACTGAAGCTATAACCGGAAAAGATGGGTAGGTACGGAGATAAGTAAACCGGAAATGAAATCGAACCTGGTTACTAAGTAAAGATCTAGAGAGATAGTGGCTTACCGGTATATCTTGTGTAGTGTTTCTTTCAATGTTGGAGATGATCTTTCCAGATATGCCATTCTTGAAAGAGCTCGGAAGAAACTTGAGGGCAGAAGAATTACAATTTAAAGGCTTTTGTTTGTCACCTGTTTAATGATATATATGTGGTCATATTCTTATATGATGTATGTATGTGTGAGTCTCTAAGTGCGTTTTTGTTTGCTTGTATGTCTGTGCGTTGGTGAATTATTGGAGATTGAGTAAAATGTAAGTTCTATCTTTTAAATTTGCAATCATTTTTATCTTGTTTTTAAGCAAACATAAGCTAATACGAGTGATTTGAGAAAGCAATTAAACTAGACCCATAAAAGGGTTTATGTTGTAACTTGTAATACTATTAGTAGTGACTTATCTCTCAGCCGTTAGATTAAAGCTGTGGAATCCGATAGACAGCGATTCGCAAGGTCACATATAATAATAAAATAAAGAAGGAACCTGATGGTTTTTCTTGGGATTACTCGATTAGAAAACAGAATTCAAACAAAGAGTTCTAATCCAAAAGGTTAGATTCTATTACATTGGGTAAATAGAGTACATCTTCAGTAAGTAAACCAGCGAAAATATGGTAACTAGATTTTGATTACTTGAGCTAAATTATATGACCTCAAAAGTCAATACCCCCTACTGTTAAAGAATTAATGATTTTTTTCTTTTTTTCGGTTCCTCTGTGGACCTTACCAGTATAAAGCAATACTTGAAATGTAATCCAAGTTAATCTCCAATATAAAATAAATGATTAGATAATGTATATATGGTTAAGCGTCGGTTTCAAACTAACTTCAAGCTTTTGACTTCACACACACACAGAGTATATATACTAGTACTAGTTCCCCACTCTCCTTTGTCCTCAATATTGGTTTGCTTAATGTAAATGAACGCCATTATCAGTGACGAATCTAGAAATTTTTTTTGAGTGGAACATATAAAAGAAATTGTTTTTGAAGGGATTTGAACCATGATCCACTAGATGCAGATATATATTTTGAGCCAACTAAACTGTGAAATCTTCAATAAACTGTATATAAATAATCGTATTTGTATATTTTATTGGGGGCAGCTGCCCCCACCCTACATAACCTAGATCCACCCCTGGTCATTGTAGTCTGTACTCTGTAGAGCCATATATATATGTATATATATATATATATATTTATATATATATATCTCTTATTATTATTTTTAGTAAATAGTAAAATGTATCCACCCTCTTTATGTTGACTATTAAATTTAAAATTCATTTTGATAGTACAACTCGTATCTCGTAAGAAACCAACCCGTTGAACTTTTTGTTTTTGATAATTTAAATACAAATAGTGTTTGGCACAATAATATGATCCATATGCTAATTAGATAGTAAGACGTTACCAAATTGTTTAATTATATGTTTACAAGCTCAATGTTGAATTTGTCAGCTTTTCTGAAAAATTCAAAGCCTATTAAATTATATATATAGTTCGGCAAGTTGTAACGTATATATAAGGTAATGTCAATTAAAATATTGCAAGTTTGCTAATTAAAAATGTTTAGTCAACGGGGGCAGTATATGAACTCATAACGAGATTACCTACCGTGCGCCAAACAAAGCTTAATCCGATCTCACGTTAAATCTTGGCCATTGATTCCTTTTTAACGATTTTCTTTTCTTTCACTTTCTCCGCATCCAATCAGAACTCAGCGAAGAGAAACGCGTCTCTCAGATTCCAAACCTCCACTTTCCCTTTTGATTTTTTTTTTTTTTCTCGTTGTCGGATCATAATATCTGGGAATTCGAGGTTTCTCGATTGGTGGATTCTTGTTGGATACGATCCGGGGATTTTCTGTTTATGCTAATCGTTTGTCGAATTTTTTAATTTTCCCGAGAAAATTTGAGAGTTTTTTTCCCTTCGTCAAAGAAAACGCTGCCACTTAGCTACGTAAGTAATGCGTTTTCTTTTTCAGTTTCTGATTTCATATTCGGATCTCGATCTCCATTGTAGATCCGGGTTTTGATTTCGAGCATTGACTTTTGCTACCTTTGGAATTCGAGACTTTGGTGGTGATTATTAGGGTTTGTTAGATTCATTAGTTACCTTTTTTGTTGTACCAGGATCAAACTCAAACCCTGAAAATCAATCACTAGGATCCATAAATTATCAGTGGTCAGGGTTTTATGGTTGATCAGGTGGATTGAATTCGACATGAATTAAGATCTCTATCTTGTCCAGATTCATTTCGGATTTGGGTCTACGTTCCATTGATAAATATCTCGTTGTGTTTGAGATTTGCTTTCATCTGATTATGGATACGGCTCGTGGAGAGGTTAAGGAAGCTAATGGGAGTGAAAGTAAGGCTATTGTTAGTCTAAATAGCACTGAAATTGAAGATCGAATTTCCGAGGAAGAAGAGAGCGAGTCACAGTGTTTATTGCCTCCAAGGAAAGGAGGGATGTCGAGAAGTAACGACAAGATTAAGAGGACTGTGCAGTGGAATGACAACAAAGGAGACAATCTTGCTGAGGTTTTAGTATATGAACCAAGGTAATATCATCTTAAGGAGCATAATCTCTGAACATTGTTTTGTTTCCTTCCACCTTTTTTTCACTTAATTTTTGTGATTCTCTAGATGTTAATGATCTCAGAAATGCATGATCCATATCATAAATCTTAGGTTTTTCGTGTTGTTGGTATCAACTTGGTTGATACCATGGTTTTGGAGTGGTCTTTCTTGATCTTTGAGTGAAGACCTTTTGTTTAGGAATGGTTTCGACAGAGAAATTCTTTTGGTTGCTCATGTTTTATCAGCATTGATCCGGAACTCATTTAGATTAGTGATTGTGTTGATGAGTTTATGGGAAACACTCTGGCTTGATTTTGTAATCTACCTCACTGATTAGTTTTGCTAGCATTCAAAAGAAATAGCTGATTGAAATTTTCTATAGCGTTTGTGGTATCTGTGGCAAGTGTGGCAACTGGTTTAGGAAAGAACCAAACTTGTAGGCCTGTTTCTCACTTCTGTGTAGGGATTGTGAATCTAGGAAAGAACCCTGAAGATCAGTGTACTAACTATCACTTTTTCATTCGAACGACCTACAAAATATGACGGAAAACCATTGGGAAAGCTTGTAGAAGTTAAGATTACTGGTGACCTTTTCTTTGATGTTTTATATTGGTATTACTCTGCTATTGGTCCAATAGAATAGTTATCTTCTGTTCAAGAACTTACTCTCTCTTACATTCTTATTTGTTCCCTTGAAAATTACTATATATCTTACTTCTCTCTCCATTTTTATGCTTTCAGCGAAGTAAGCGATACAGAGGACGATGATTCAGATTCCTGCATCTGCACAATTATGTAGTCCTCAAACCCGCAATCAACGGACATTAACATGGAGTTAACAATGAGCTCGTCCTTGTATCTTGTTTCTTTACAGCAATCAGTTTTTGTTGAGTACAGAGGAACCAACTTAAGCGATTGGACATCACAGTCACGTAACTGTCTGATATTGTGCTCAGAAATTCTGACAAAAAGCCAGTCCAAACGAGGGATGTAGACTCATACGATATATAAGATGGTGACAGGAGTGAGAGAGTATATAGATTTATAGATTAATGCTGTACTGTTCAATGGAGATCTTCAAATCGAAGATCTTTGAGTGCTGTTTGATTTGACAGATTTTGATGGTAAACTATATATGTCTTGTTGCAACAATACACACTTTTTAAATTGTATATGCAGCAAATTAATCATTTTTCCTTCTTCTTGGAATAGTTGTTCTCCTTACCAAATCATAATCAGACGCAAAAACGTTGAAAGATCACAACTTTATCAAGAATTTGTTGCAGAAACAACCAGTGGGATAAATAAACCGATCCTTACACACACAAAGAATGAGAAATGCTACAAAAAACAAACAACAAAACACACTGTTTTTTTTTTTGTCTCCCCTTCTTCTTCACTATTGTGAATCACTGTGAAACCTTTTACCTGTTCTCCATGTTAGTGATATCCACAATTGGGAATCTCATCGACGAACCATTCCCATGAAAACTCATAATCAGACGCAAAAACGTTGAAAGATCACAACTTTATCAAGAATTTGTTGCAGAAACAACCAGTGGGATAAATAAACCGATCCTTACACACACAAAGAATGAGAAATGCTACAAAAAACAAACAACAAAACACACTGTTTTTTTTTTTGTCTCCCCTTCTTCTTCACTATTGTGAATCACTGTGAAACCTTTTACCTGTTCTCCATGTTAGTGATATCCACAATTGGGAATCTCATCGACGAACCATTCCCATGAAAACTCTTTGGTGAGGCCACCCAACTGGAAAGGCTAGTATTGACGATTATCTCCTTGAGTAGGGGTTTTGCTTGATCATCAGTGTCCACTTCAACATTCTCCTTCATTAGCTTTTTAACTTTCACTGGCTTTGCTTTAACCGCTTTCCACTGCACAATATTCTCCACTGGATTCAAAAGGGGAGTCACGTCCTGGTCCTCATCTTCTTCTTCATCTTCATCATCAGCATCATCTTCATAGTCGTTTTCATCATCTGTGTAATAGTCTTCGTCCTCCAAATCACTCTCTCCATAACCCAATTCATCTTCATCTTCGAAACTATCCATGCAGTTGTGGTATCTATAGTTTGAAGGATACACAGATCTACTGCTCAGATCCTCTGGTTTCTTAACGATAACTGAAGATTCTTTGCTTATTTCTCCTTTTCCCTCTTCTTCTTCACTGCAATAGTTCTCATATCTTGATGGTAGAGTTGGTTCATAGGTTTGTACATTCAAGTTAAATCTGACTCTCTTCCTCGTCTTCTTTGTCCCTTTCTTCTCCTCCTCCTCCTCTACCTTACACCTGACACAGTACCAGAAAAAAAAACAGCCATTGTTAAATGATCATATCTGCACATGTTTCTACAAGGGATTCGTAGAAGACTTCAATCCAACTCATGAACTGCTAAATCCGGATTTCGGCCTGGTTTTCATAACCAGTTATCAAATAGATAATCTCAGAGCAAAAAGTATCATTTTTTTCGATAATCTCAGCGCAAAAAGTATCATCTTTTGAGTAAATCTGTATCCCTGTAGCATAGTAAACTGAAGAAACACTGACCTGAGGTTCGAATTCGAGATCCTTTCAGGGTGATCTACAATAGTACTGAGATCTGCCGGATCTGAAGAAAGTAGAGGCTCATAGCTACAGTTTCTCTGCAAGTAAAAAATGTTGGTGATCTAAGAGAGAGAGAGACAAATAAGAAAGTGTACTCTTTGATTACTGGGGGAAAATAAGAAAAAAGCTTACTTGATCTCGAGGCAGGATTTTTCTGGTGGAATTTCTGCGTTTTTTGTTGGATGAGAGACCGAAACAGCCCATAAAACATCCCATTGCTGGTGATGTTTCTTCTGTTTCGGTTTTGATTCTTGAGAGGAAGAAGAAGACGAAGAGAAATGATTTTGTTTATATTTATGTTTTGCCTCGTTGATGTGTTTGAATAGAGAAAATAGGAACGTTGGGATTTCAAAAGAAAAAAAGGATGAAAGTGACGGTGGCCTCACGGAGTTTATGCCGTCGTTTATTTTTTTTTTTATTCTTTTTTTTAAGAAGAAGAGACAAAAATAATTATGGCAACCATTATTCATTTTTTTTTTTTGTCTTTTCTATTCAGGTTGTGCACTTGTGCTGAGATGTGTGCCAAATAAAAGGCATCTATCTGTTTTCTATGCATAGCTAAATATCATAGTGAAATTATTTACATATAGAACCAATTTTTTTTAAAAAAGCTAAAATTTTATAATTGTTTTCCGGCGATTTTGTGAAGGTTAAGTGGTTTAGAAAGACTGTAGTGCTGTGCGTATAAATCGTAAAACTTGATTTTATAGCTTTTCTGTAATCCAGATTCAATAGTTTTGTCTTGTCAAATGTGGACCTTGTGTGGCCCATTTTAAGTAATAATTTTGGAAAAAGTGATGATTATTATGCTTCAGAGTTCCGTTAAATACAAATTTTGGTATACGATTATGCCAATGCCGATGCCTCATCTTTCAACGTTCACATTCCTGACTACTATGCGCACTCTACAATAATTGTTTTTCTTTCTCTTTGTTTCTAAATTTGGCTCGACTTCGTACCAAAGCCTGAAACCAAGCATAATCTTTTGATATCCATTTCTAACTTATGACTTACGTATTTCCAAATCGATAAGCATTAATTCTATTGCAATAGGTTACCAATCACATGCCAAAGTTGTCTACGTGATGGTGTATATTGACTACATTCTCTAATAAGGCTATCGATATAAAGTGGAAGTTTGGAACATCTATATAAACTTGATATAGTGTGTATAATAAATAGACCTTTGAAACTTATTTTCTGAGTCAAAAGGTAATTTCGACAGTTAAAAGATCAGAAAATTTTAGAAAAATTTATTTAAGTGTAATATATTTTCTATTTTTTTTTAAAAAAATCTCATATATATGCATATGTAATTAAGGATTTTTTTATTCATCTTTAGATCATAACGAGCCGACCCATTAACTTAAGTATTCCTATTGTTGAGAAAATGACTCGATCCCATATGTGAAGGATGTCTTTTTAGAGGACTTGTCACTTATGGATGCCAGTAGGCGGTAGACCATGATCATTTCTTCTCACACACAAAAACAAATTGCAAAGATTTAGTTAGATCTTTAAAATAAGATAAACTTTGAAGATAGCCAATATATAATGTGGGTTTTTAGTATTGGTGATCATTGATCAATGACCTCAGAATGATACGGCATTGTTCTTCTCAAACTATGAGGTCATTTGATCAATGATCTTTTTCATTCATGTTTGAACATATCACGTGAGATTCTCGAACAGATTCGTCCGTACAGTCTGTCTATAATGTACTATGTAGTTCGAAGTTTGAACCATCTCTGCCATGAAATACTGACCATCCAGCTTTGACCATTTATATATAACTGTACACAGTCCGATATTCTTACTCAATTATCATTATTTATTTTTTTTCAATTTATTTTTGCTCAACTATCACATCACCGGAAAATTGGCCAATTCCGACACAAACAATTTACTTATGTTAAATTCAGACCCAAATTTATCATCGGTACAAAAACAAACTTCAACTTATGATTAATTTGAATTTCATACCTCAACTTCTTTTTTTGTGCTTAAACATACTTCCCACTAAACACCGTTAATGTTCCGTCAAATCAATCCAACATGTCAGACACGTAAGCACCGACGTCGATTTGAGAACCCACGAAATGAATCTTTTTATAACATAAAACGACGTCGTTTAGTGTAAGGGCTTCTTACGACGTCGTTTTTTTTCTTTTTTCTTCAACCTCTCGATTTAGGGATTTCAGCGATCAATTTAGGAATTTTAGCGATTTCAGAAGAAGAAAGTTAGAGACGATTCAAGATTGTTTGAGGTTGATGTCTTCTTCGTGTAGTTTGGATTAATGATTATAGATAAGCATTGAATTATGTGTCCGTGTGTGTCTAAATTTTGGGAAATATATGTCTTTTTCAGAATCGACTTGATTCTGTAACACTGTAATTTGCGTAGGAGACTGAAAAAGTGTGATTACAAGCTCCAAATTCGTTAACCCTTGTTTCCAAAGATTGTTTCTTTTTGCTTAGTTTTAGATTCCCTTTGTTCTCTAATCACTTCCCCTCAATCGTTTCTTTATCACTATGTTGTGATTTCCATGTTTAGTATCTGCATTTGATAGGCCCCAATGCTGCATGCAATTCCTAAGACTCTTTCAGATTGCTATAACACGATGATTTCTTCTCAGCCATTTCCTTCCAATTTAGTATCTGGTTTTTATTTTTTTTTCTACTGCATGTTTGGCGACTCGACCTGAGGAAAAAAGGGTTACTTTTGCCTTTGATTGTGGTTCGATTTGATGAATTCTTCGTGGTGTAGCCATTTATCATATTGAGAATCACTGGGTTGCTGTTGAGATTAGGGTTTCTGATTTGTTAGCTCAGGATTGTTTATTTATCTGTGTTGGATTTTTTCTTCTTTTCGTACAAAGCTTATGAATTCTCAGAGGGGTATTGTTGAAGAACCTAAATCTCAGTCCTTGAATAGGCAAGGCTCTCTCTATACTTAACACTCGATGAGGTCCAAAACCACTTGGGGAGCTTTGGTAAAGCACTTGGAAGCATGAACCTTGACGAGCTACTCAAAAGTGTCTGTTCTGTTGAAGCTAATCAGCCATCGTCCATGGCTGTCAATGGTGCTGCAGCTTCTCACGTGTTTGGTGCTTACGTGTCTGACATGTAGGATTGATTTAACGGGATATTAACGGTGTTTAGTGGGAAGTATGTTTAAGCACAAAAAAGAAATTAGAGATATAAAATTCAAATTAATCATAATTTGAAGTTTGTTTTCGCACCGATGATAAATTTGAGTCTGAATTTAACATAAATAAATTGTTTGCGTCGGAATTGGCCAATTTTCCTCGCATCACCCGAGCTTTAAATCACCAAAGTAAGTAAAACTTGGAGGATTTTTATAAGAAAAAAAATATACCGATAACCATCTTAAATATCAAAATGGGCCTCTTATTTATATGACTTAAAAAATGGGAACTCGGAACATAAAAAAAAAAAATAAGCTGGTATATTTGAAAAGTCTATTTTTTTTTTCGTTAAGTCGATCTCTTTCACTCTCTTTAACCCGATTGGCCGCTATTTACCAAGCCTGTTTTTTCTTCTTTTTCATTTTCTCTCTCTCTCTCTCCCTCTCACCCGATTTCACAAACCCAAACCCTAATTTTCTCGGGACACTGAAATTTTTACAGCTCCTTTCCTCTTCTTCACCACGAGGGGGAGATTTGTCGGTGTTGAATCTAGAGGGTTTATTTTGTGGGTATAACAAGGGTGGAGAGGGAATGGAATCAGATCAAGGAAAGCTCTTTATCGGCGGGATTTCATGGGATACCGACGAGAATCTTCTGAGAGAGTACTTCAGCAATTACGGAGAGGTTTTGCAGGTCACTGTTATGCGAGAGAAGGCTACTGGTCGTCCAAGGGGTTTCGGCTTCGTCGCATTCTCCGATCCCGCTGTTATTGATAGGGTTCTTCAGGACAAGCACCATATCGATAATAGAGATGTAAGATAATACACTCGATATTTGCTCTTGTTTCTGAAAAGGGTTTATTAGTTATCGAATCTTGAATAGAGATTGAGTTTAGTATTGGTTCTCAGTAGTGATTGCCACTCTCTCCTGATTAATTTGGATGTAAAAATGTATGCTTTTTATCGTCTTGTTTGATGGGTTTAAAACTCTGTTAACATGTGTTAGGTTGATGTGAAGAGAGCAATGTCTAGAGACGAGCAGAATCCTGCTGGGAGGCCAGGGAATTTTAATGCTTCTAGGAATTTTGATAGCGGTGCTAACGTCCGGACCAAGAAGATATTCGTGGGAGGTTTGCCTCCTGCATTAACATCAGACGATTTTCGGGCCTATTTTGAAACTTACGGTCCTGTGAGCGATGCAGTCATTATGATTGATCAGACAACACAACGCCCCCGAGGGTTTGGATTCGTTTCATTTGACTCTGAAGATTCTGTTGACCTTGTTTTGCACAAGACTTTCCACGATTTGAATGGTAAACAAGTAGAAGTTAAAAGAGCTCTTCCAAAAGACGCTAACCCTGGAGTAGCCAGCGGTGGTGGTCGTGGTAGTGGTGGCTCTGGAGGTTTTCCTGTCTATGGTGGTTCTGGTGGAAGTGGCTACGAGGGTCGTGTTGATTCCAGTAGATACATGCCGCCTCAAAACGCTGGAAGCGGTTATGCTCCTTATGGTGCTTCTGGATATGGTACTGGTTATGGTTATGGTAGCAACGGTGTAGGTTATGGGGGTTTTGGAGGGTATGGGAATCCAGCTGGTGCGCCTTATGGGAATCCTGGTGTACCTGGAGCTGGGTTTGGAAGTGGTCCAAGAAGTTCTTGGGGAGCTCAAGCACCATCGGGTTATGGTAATGTTGGATATGGAAATGCTGCTCCTTGGGGTGGTTCTGGTCCTGGTTCAGCAGTGATGGGTCAAGGAGGTGCATCTGCAGGTTATGGCAGTCAAGGTTATGGCTATGGTGGAAATGATTCCTCTTATGGGACTCCATCTGGTTATGGTGCAGTTGGTGGACGGTCTGGTAGTATACCAAACAGCCATGGTGGTGGATATGCTGATGCTTCAGATGGTTCTGGAGGGTATGGGAATCACCAAGGGAACGGGCAAGCTGGTTATGGTGGAGGTTATGGAAGTGGTAGGCAAGCTCAACAACAGTGATTGAGGAATGAAGACTAGTACGATGTGGTTTTATCACTGACCTTGGAAACCTCCTCTTTCTGGTCTAATGATGCCACTTCGGGGGCGGTTTGACCCAGGAGGTTGACCTACGCTGGATTTATCTCTTTTGTTAGTTTCTCAATAAGTTGTTTTTCAGGCACTGTGGATGCTGAGTCGTGCTTAGTATTTCCTATGAAGTTGTAGTTTTTTTTTTCAGTTTGCGTGCTTATTTATATTTGTCGCTTTTTGGAATGGTTTTCTTTCTCTATCCTAGTGTTTGTGTTTAACATTAACTCCTCCAGGCTCCAGATTATCATAATTCATCTTTTCTTTGCTGCATTCATCCTTTTGAATATTCATTTCCAGATTCTTGCTTTTGCATCTCTTCTGTTTAGGGTGAAGAGTTTTCTGCTTGGTTAAGAATAAACTTGTTTATTAGAACAAGTGCTTCTTGGTACTGGTAGCTGTAACTGTAGCTCTAAGAAACCACTTTTGAGAATACACAACTCTCTCTTCCATGTCTGCGCGTGTGTTTTTGTTACAGGCAACTCTACATATTTTTTCACACAACGTATCGAATATGACTGTTTGAACACTGTCAGAAATCGATTCCGGGATTCCATTTAAAATTTGCTGGTCGTTGACAAGAGATGCAAAATGAGTTACGAAGTTAAAAGATATTGCTAGTCTAATTGTGTGGATAATAATCTATGAGCATTGACATGTGAGCTTGATCTAAATAAAAATTGATAATCATGTGTTTGCAATATCATTTTTTAAAGATATCAGGATTAGATTAAAGAAATTGATACTTTTATTATAGTGCTGAGAAAAACTCTAAAAAAATGAAAATTTTCGTGTCGGTTAAAGAAATTTTACTCTATTGTGTTAATTCAAGACCCATTGAAGGAAATACCGGTAACAAATTTGTTTTTATTGGCCAATGGCCATACATTGAACACAATGGTTTTGTGAGAACTAATAAAGAAAAAAAAATGTAATAGCTACTTTAAAAGAAAAGAAAATTTCTAAAAAAGCCTGCGTATCACGCTGTCAACTATCCTACTACAAAAATATGGATTACAGATGAGATTTGGATGGAGAATATTTACTAGAAATAGTAGATATGCTAAATATGGTTTAATTGTGTGTATATTCCTAATTTTACTCACATCCTCTCTCATTCTTCAGCACAGAATTTTTTGCTGTAGCTTAGCTTTTTCCAACTCGTCTCCTTCCTCTTCCACCTCCTCAATTTCTCTCTTCCTCTTGTTTTTTTTTTCTTGTTTGTTTTCTCAAGTGTTTTTTTTGCCTTAAATTTAAACCAAGAAATGTCATCTCTCTCCCTCTTTCCTCTCTCATTGGACAATCTAATTTCATAAATCTCGTCCAAAACATCGTCCCCTCCACCACCCTCTCTCCTCCTCCACCATGACCCATCATCACCGGAGAGAGTCCTTCTCGGTAACTATCTCCAACATGGGAGGTGGTTCCGCGGTGGTTTGTCCTAATACCGACCTTCTTTGGCCATTTGGTAAGCTTGACGGGCTAGACCGGGATGATATCCGTGAGACGGCTTATGAGATCTTCTTCACGGCTTGTCGTTCATCACCTGGTTTTGGAGGCAGGACTGCTCTCACGTTCTACTCTACGCACAACAACAACAACAACGACCATCATGGAGAAGGAGGAGGAGGAACCGGCGGCTCACCTGGTGTTGGGTCTGGTTCTGGGTCTGGGTTTGGGTTTTCAGGGAGGAAAGAGGTGGTGACAACTCCTACAAGCCGTGTGAAACGGGCTTTAGGGTTAAAGATGCTTAAACGGTCTCCTTCTAGGAGAATGTCTACTATAGGTGCTGTTGGAGGAGCCGGTGCAACTTCACTGTCCCCTGGTGGTGGCTCAGGACATTTTAGCCCTGGAGCCGGAGCCGGATTCTTGACGGTCCAGCCTTCTCGTCCTCGAAGGCCGTTAACTTCGGCGGAGATCATGAGGCAACAAATGAGGGTTACAGAACAGAGTGATAGTCGGCTTCGGAAAACCCTATTGAGAACGCTTGTTGGTCAAGTAAGTTTATCTTTAACTTCCTTCTTCTACACGTTAATGAAAAACGTTTAAAACGGTTTTCTTTTTCTTAGACGGGTAGGCGAGCAGAGACGATAATCTTGCCGTTAGAGCTACTCCGACACTTGAAAACATCAGAGTTTGGAGATGGCAACGAGTACCAGCTCTGGCAAAGAAGACAACTCAAAGTCCTTGAAGCTGGTCTTCTTCTTCACCCATCGATTCCTCTAGACAGAACCAACAACTACGCTATGCGTTTAAGGGAGATCGTTAGACAAAGCGAGAACAAATCCATTGACACAAGCAAAAACTCAGATACAATGAGAACACTCTGCAATGTTGTCGTGTCTTTGTCTTGGCGCAGCACTAATGGGAACCCGACCGATGTTTGCCATTGGGCTGATGGTTATCCTCTCAACATTCATCTTTACGTAGCGTTGCTTCAGTCGATATTCGATGTTAGAGACGAGACATTGGTGCTTGATGAGATCGATGAGCTTCTAGAGCTAATGAAGAAGACTTGGTCAACACTAGGGATCACAAGACCGGTACATAATCTATGTTTCACTTGGGTTTTGTTTCATCAATACGTTGTGACTTCACAAATGGAACCGGACTTGCTCGGTGCGTCCCATGCTATGCTCGCTGAAGTTGCTAATGACGCTAAAAAACTTGACCGTGAGGCTCTCTATGTGAAACTATTGACCTCGACATTGGCCTCTATGCAAGGATGGACCGAGAAAAGGTATTCTATTTACATATAAGCAAGGAAAAATGATTGAAATCTGACTGTGGTTGTGGATATTTTTAGGTTGTTGAGCTACCATGATTACTTCCAAAGAGGAAATGTGGGATTGATAGAGAATCTTCTCCCATTAGCGTTATCATCTTCAAGAATCTTGGGAGAGGATGTGACAATTTCTCAAGGGAAAGGACAAGAAAAAGGCGATGTTAAATTGATTGATTATTCAGGAGATCGCGTCGATTATTACATAAGAGCGTCTATTAAGAACGCATTTTCCAAGGTTAATATTCAACAAGGAAACAAAGTTTTACTAGTTTCTTGTATTGATGTTCTTTAAAGGTTATGAAACTATTGCTTATAGGTCATAGAGAACACAAAAGCTAAGATCGCAGCTACAGAGGAAGGAGAAGAAGCGGCTGCAACACTATTGCAGCTAGCTAAAGAAACAGAGGACTTAGCGTTAAGAGAACGCGAGTGTTTCAGTCCAATACTCAAGAGATGGCATTCAGTTGCTGCTGGTGTTGCCTCGGTGTCGCTTCACCAATGCTATGGTTCGATCTTGATGCAGTATTTGGCAGGGAGATCGTTTATCTCTAGAGATACTGTTGAGGTTCTGCAAACGGCAGGGAAGCTCGAGAAGGTTTTGGTGCAAATGGTGGCTGAAGACTCGGAAGAATTCGATGACGGTGGAAAAGGGCTGGTTCGAGAGATGGTTCCTTATGAAGTTGACTCTATTATATTAAAGCTTTTGAGACAATGGATCGAAGACAAGCTGAAGAAAGTTCAAGAGTGTTTGTTTAGAGCAAAAGAAACTGAAGTAAGTTTACAGAGACTTTTTACTTGCTTTCATGTCTTTTTTGACTTACATTGGGGTGATTTGCATTCTTTTTTTGTAGACATGGAATCCAAAATCCAAATCAGAACCTTATGCACAATCTGCTGGAGAAGTAATGAAGCTAGCAAAGGATATAATCGATGAGTTTTTCGAAATCCCCATTGGTATTACAGAGGATTTAGTTCATGATCTTGCTGAAGGATTGGAACAACTTTTTCAAGAATACACTACCTTCGTTGCATCTTGCGGTAAGCTTTACATCAAAATCCATTTTTTTAAAAAAATTTCACGTAAAAAAACAATCTAATTCTTGTTTTTTTGCCAGGATCAAGACAAAGTTACATTCCTACATTACCTCCTCTTACAAGATGCAACAGAGATTCAAGATTCGTTAAACTATGGAAAAGAGCAACGGCTTGTACCGCTTCCGGAGAAGAATACAGCCACAACGCACCCGCGATTTCCGACGGCCACCATCCGCGACCGTCAACAAGCCGCGGAACGCAGCGTCTTTACATCCGTCTCAACACGTTACATTTCCTAAGCTCTCATATCCATTCACTGAACAAAACACTCTCTTTGAACCCGAGGGTTCTTCCCGCAACGCGAAAACGTTACCGCCACAGAAACAACAACTCCTCCTCTTACTTCGACTTCACCTACGCAGGAATCGAATCCGCTTGCCAACACGTCTCAGAAGTCGCGGCTTACAGACTGATCTTCCTCGACTCGAACTCTGTTTTCTACGAGAGTCTTTACGTAGGAGAAGTCGCGAACGCGAGGATCAGACCGGCTTTACGGATCATGAAACAGAACTTAACATTAATGTCAGCGATTCTCGCGGACCGTGCTCAAGCGCTAGCGATGAGGGAGGTTATGAAGTCGTCTTTCGAAGCGTTCTTGATGGTCTTGCTCGCTGGAGGCTATGCCAGAGTGTTTTACAGGTCGGATCATAGTTTGATCGAAGAAGATTTCGAGAACTTGAAGAGGGTTTTTTGCACTTGTGGAGAAGGGTTGATACCAGAGGAAATTGTGGACAGAGATGCAGAGACTGTGGAAGGAGTGATTCAGCTAATGAGTCAGCCTACGGAACAGCTTATGGAAGATTTTAGCATCGTGACGTGTGAGACAAGCCGGGAATGGGGATGGTTGGATCAGGACAGAAGCTACCGATGCCTCCGACAACGGGAAGGTGGAACCGGTCGGATCCGACACTATCTTGAGGGTTCTTTGTCATAGAAACGACCGTGTTGCTATCAGTTTCTCAAGAAATCGTTTCAATTGCCTAAACGCAGGTGAATTGGAGAATGAAAAAAAAAACAAGAATTCAACTCCAAAAAAAAAAAAAAAAACTGTTTGTATCGCTGTGTAAAGAGCTTGAAAATACGTTCTTTTCTCTCTTTTGAGTTTTCTTTTTTGTTTTCTTGCTGTTTCAGAGGTTGAAGAGAGAGTTGTTTGTAATTTCCGACGATGAATATTTGTTCATTCTTTATTAGAAGTGTTCATAAATAGAAGTCTTAATTTGTGTGATAACTTATGGGCCGTAAGCCCAATCTATGTGAGCCCATTTATTACTTTCTCAATATATTGAAGGCAAAAATTAGCATCTGCCAAAACCCTATCCATACTAAACCTCCATTGCCTTCGTCTTCTTCCTCAGTCGCCAACAATGGCCTTGCCTATGTCTGGCACGCGCCACCTCACGCGCTCCCTCCTGTCCAGTGCTACCTTAGTTGCTCCTCCTCGGACTCCTCACTCTGTCCACTGCAGTGGATTAGGTTCCGGTCACGGTGGTGTTGAAACTCGGTTAGCTTGCTCGACCCGGTTTGTCTCAAACCGATGCCGAGCTAACCGGTCAGGCTCCGCTTACTCTCCGCTTAATTCCGGCTCCAACTTCAGTGATCGGCCTCCGACGGAGATGGCGCCTTTGTTTCCTGGATGCGATTACGAGCACTGGCTCATTGTTATGGATAAACCTGGTGGCGAGAACGCCACGAAGCAGCAGATGATTGATTGTTACATCCAAACACTAGCCAAAGTCGTTGGAAGGTAAATGATTGCGTATTAACGAGTTTTGTTTCTAAAATCTGTTGTGTTATTGTGTGAAATTTGGGAAATGAATTGAAACACCTTGGCCATAATAAAGTCTGATTAAATTACAAAAGTAGATGAGATTTTAGAAAGGGAAATGTGTCTGTTCTTCGTGATTTGCTGCTTTGGTTATTAAAATCATTGGAAATGTGTTTGTTTCGTTTTGGTAGCGAGGAAGAGGCAAAGAAGCGAATCTACAATGTTTCGTGCGAGAGGTATTTAGGGTTTGGCTGTGAGATTGATGAAGAGACATCGACTAAGCTTGAAGGTCTTTACTTAGACACCTTGTCTCTTATGCTAGCTTAGTGTTAATCTGATAATAAAGAGTATTCTCAAGTGTTGCGTTGTCTACAACAGGTTTGCCCGGTGTCCTGTTTGTGCTTCCAGATTCTTATGTTGATCCTGAATACAAAGATTATGGAGGTAATTTGTTCCGCCTTTTATAGTGTTATGCTGATTTTTCTTTTATTTCTCAAAAATGAAATCTTTGCTATTGCCATTGACATTGCAACTCTCGAGCCTCAATGCTTCTCTCTTGAAACATGAAAGACGTGTTTTGATTAGTCCATCTTGGCAAAGCTAATGAGTTATTTTGTGGCTATGATTAGCTTTGCATGCAGACTGACATCAAATACTTTCTCTCACCCAATATGTAAATAGTTAGTAATATTTATAACTGAAGGGTGGTTTAGATGATAAAATATATTGCATGCAACTCTTGAGTGCTTTTCTCTTGAAACATGAAAACAACTTTTGATTATCAGTCCATCTTGGCGAAGCTAATGAGTCTTTGGGCTATGATTAGCTTTGAATGCTAATGGACTGACATCAAATTCTTTCTCTTAGCCGATTTTTGCAGATAGGTAATATTATATCTAACTGCATGGCGGTTGATATGAAACATATATATATATATATCGCAAACTTTGTTTGCTTCATGCTTCCATTAGTCCATCTTAGCGAAGTTAGTGAGTCTTTTGACTGTGATTAGTTTTGAGTACTAATGGATTGACATAAAATGTTCTCTTGACATGTCTGAAAACATAATAGTCTCTTTTTCTTACCATGAAAAATATAGCTTAAAGTTCACCTTGGCAAAGCTAACTAGTCTTTTTTTGGGCAATGATTAGCTTTGAATGCTAATGGACTGACATCAAATTCTTTCTCTTAGCCGATTTTTGCAGATAGGTAATATTATATCTAACTGCATGGCGGTTGATATGAAACATATATATATATATATATATATATATATATATATATATATATATCGCAAACTTTGTTTGCTTCATGCTTCCATTAGTCCATCTTAGCGAAGTTAGTGAGTCTTTTGACTGTGATTAGTTTTGAGTACTAATGGATTGACATAAAATGTTCTCTTGACATGTCTGAAAACATAATAGTCTCTTTTTCTTACCATGAAAAATATAGCTTAAAGTTCACCTTGGCAAAGCTAACTAGTCTTTTTTTGGGCAATGATTAGCTTTGAATGCTAATGGACTCAAATTCAGAATCTCTCTTTCTTGTTCTCTGCTCTTCATCTCTGAGAAGCATAGACTCAATCACGAGAGATACATCAACTTTTTTACATTTCTTGATTTAAATCTTAACTATCTACTCAAGAAGAAGAACATTCACAATGATCTTGTAATTACTGATTTTTATCTTCTTAATCGTTGTTGTTGACTTGCAGCTGAGCTGTTTGTTAATGGAGAGATAGTCCAACGATCACCAGAGAGGCAGAGGCGAGTTGAGCCGCAGCCACAGAGAGCCCAAGATAGACCAAGATACAATGACAGAACTCGCTACTCTCGCCGCAGAGAAAACACACGTTGAGCTGCGACTGAAGAAGTTATACATTCACCGTATCGAATCAAAGGAAAGGCTAGTATTATAGTGATGATAATGTATGTCATGATGATGATGATGATGATGATGATGCCAGGCGAAGGGTCTTTGTTCACAGTCCTTTGCAGTTAATCGACCAACTTTGGATGTTGAAATGCTAAATTTTGATTATATGTAACATTTTAATACTGTAAATTTTCAATTGTTTTAGGAAACACACTGTGTGCTTTAGTTGTTAAAGTTCGTTTTCCTTAGAGAAAATATTTGAATTCCTTCTCATTTCTGCGGTAAATGGTGGTAAATTTATTTTCATGATCTGATAATTCTGTGGAATTTTTGATTCTGGGCTAAGAAGTAAAAATATTTTTTTTTGGTCGTAAAAATAAAAAAAAATTAAACGGCCGATCTGATAATTTCTCCAATAAATAAGGGGAAAGTAAAGAAGTTGATTTTAAAATCCAGCGGACAAAATCTGCTGGCGAGGTTTTTATTTATCTCTCGCTCCAAAAAGTCGACGAAACTCTCCACCGGAGGCGCTGTTTTACGCCGTCGGCGAAGCTATTTGATTTGCTGGAGGTGCGCTTCTCCTCCGCTTCGTGTTTGTTTTTTTCTCGTCTCTCATGTCAAGATTTTCTGTGCCTTCTCTTTGGGTGTATATAGTTGGATTGGTTCGCGAAAGAATCACGATCACTTCGTCATTTCGACATCTCTAGGGTTTGTATGAGCATATCATTGCTGAGAATTTGCTAGTAATTGAATGTCTGCGGGTTTTACTTGGCGTGAAAATGGGTTTTGGAAATTTTTCTACTCTAAGCCGTCTGGTTCTTTAGGTCGAAAATTACTATACGCGATTAGATTCAATTGGATCATAGTTGTAATTCTTTTCGTTCACCTTGAAGCTTCCAGTTAGGAAATGGTGTCGGTTTTTAGAGGCAACTATAGTTTCATGTACACAAGGGAATTTGATTAAACTTGCTATCACTCGATTATCTGGTGGTTGGGAACTTGTTTAATGTGATTGAGGTTCTATGAACTAATAGAAAAATGTTGGAACAGTATTGTGGTTGCACATTTGATCGGTTGCTGTTTCGGTGTTTTATTTTTGTGCAACATGCCTAAGTAATTTTTGAAGTTCCGGTTAAAAATTGTTATCTGTGTTGCAAGAGATGAGGAAAGACATGACGATGGGATATTGTAAATTATCAAACAAATCAATGAATCTAGCTTTGCATTGGTTTATGTCTTATGTTCTTTGTCTTTTATTTTATGATCTAGGTCTGTTGATGATAGTGCTCTCTGCCTATTTCTCGAAGGAATAAAAATAATCCACCTTTTCTCCTTTAGCAATCAGGATGAACGAAGTTAGCAAGCAAAAGGATAACCCTGATGGACATGAAAAGCATGTAAATGAAGGATCTGCCGCTCGAACAAGACCTACAACCGTCGAGGAGATTATGCTGAGGAGGAAGAGGAAAGAGTCCTTGGAAAATGTGAAGGAGAAAACTGTAGGAGCAGCTCAGTTACCGGTTAAAGATCTTGTTGAGAAGGCTTCTGACTATCATGAGTCTGGAAAAAGGTATGATACATCCAAGAAAGTGAGTCGTGAAGAACGAGTTAAGAAGAGTTCAAGAAAGAAAGAAGACACTATTTTCAGTTCTAGGGAAGAAAGACTAGATAAACCGATGAAAGAGGACCCTGTGGGAGCAGTTCAGTTACCCGGTAACGATCTTGTTGAGAAGGTTCCTGATTGTCATGTGTCTGAAAAAGTCTATGATAGATCCGAGATACTAAGCCATGAAGAGCTTGTTAACGACAGTTCAAGAAAGAAAGAAGAGGTCATTTCTAGTTTTAGAGAAGAAAGACTAGATAAAACAATGAAAGAGGACCCTGTTGAAGCAGCTCAGTTACTCGGTAACGATCTTGTTGAGAATGTTTCTGACTATCATGAAAAAGGGAATGATAGGTCAACGACAATAAGGCTTGAAGAAAGTGTGAAGGACAGTTCAAGAAAGAAAGAAGATGTCGCTTCTCGTTCTAGGGAAGAAAGATTAGATGACCCAGTGAAAGAGGACCCTGTTGGAGCAGCTCAGTTACTGGGTAACGATCTTGTGAAAAAGGTTTCTGATAATCGTGCATCTAGAAAAGAGCTTGAAAGATCTAAGAAAGTGAGTCGTGAAGAACGTGTTAAGGACAGCACAAGAAAGAAAGAAGATGCCGCTTCTGGTTCTAAGGAAGAAAGAGTAGATAAACCAATGAAAGAGAACCCTCAGTTACATCGAAACGATCTTGTTGAGAAGGTTCCTAACTATCATGCGTCTGAAAAAGAGCATGATAGATCCAAGAAAGTTAGGCGTGAAGAGCGCGTTAAGGATAGCTCAAGAAAGAAAGAAGAAGCCATTTCTGGTTGTAGAGAAGAAAGATCAATGAAAGAGGTTCCTGTGGGAGCAGGTCTATTACTGGGTAACGATCTTGTTGAAAAGGTTTCTGACTATCACGAGTCTGAAAAAGGGTATGAGAGATCCGAGACATTGAGGCGCGAAGAGCGTGTTAAGGATAAGTCAAGAAAGAAGGAAGAAGCCATATCTAGTTCTAGAGAAGATAGACTAGATAAACCAACAAAAGACGAGGAGCCTGCTACAAATAGAAAACGTAAGGCTGAAGGAGAGTGCTCTACTGCTGAAACCAAATTAGCAGAAGAACATTTTAAGGATAGTCAAAGAAAGAAAGAAGAAACTAATTCTAGCTGTAGAGAGGAAAGACTAGATAAAAAGATGAAGAGGGAAGACCGTGCTACAAACAGAAAAATAAGGGTTGAAAGAGAATTCCCTACAACTGAAATAAAAATGACAGATAGAGATGGGCTTGGTGTGGATACCAAAATTAAGGCGAAAAGAGAAAGCACTGCTGCAAAGACAAGTGGAACAGGCCGCGAACAGGCAAGAAGTGCTCTTGAAAGTTTACCTGGTAGTAGGAAACGTCTTAGAAGTCTAGTGGTGGCAGAAATACCTCGAGATGAACATAGCATGAAACCTGACGATGGAAATAAGAGAGCGAATCAAAATGGAGATCATATGAAGAATAGGGAGAGCGATATGTCAAGGACGCATGATCCAGCAAAAGTGCACAGTGTTGAAGTTTCGGAGCGATGGGAGAAAAAGGAACATCCAAAATCGAATCAACGTAACATGAGAGAGAAAAGAAGGAGATCAAGAAGTCGAGATCATGGGCAGGATAGACAGAAAAGGTCATCCCCCTTACCAAGGGCTGAAAAGGCTACATCACGTCATAAAAGAGACCATGAGGAGCGCTCGGAAAATATTATTAAAGATAGGCCGGGACAGCATCATTTTAAAGATCATGAAAACAAAGTGGCAAGCACAGTAAATAACAAGTCTAGACGGTATAGCTCTTCAAAAAGTGAACTTGGTGGATATTCACCACGGAAAAGAAGGGAGGAGGCCTCTGCCAAGGCTGCTTCTCCACTTACTCTTCCTTCTGATAAACAAAGTGCTAAATGGGATCTTGCACCTACTGTACCTGCTGGCATGCTCTCGGGCTCAGTTTTTTCTGGTCTCCAAGCAGCAACTCAGACACCATATCCTATCATTAGTGAGGCTTCCTTGACACTTTTGAAGCCACTTATGGAGGCATCTTTAAGGACGCCACCAGCAAGGCAGACCACTTCAGTTGATTCTGTTCAACTGACCGAATCCACCAGGCGTTTGAGAAGACTCTATGCAGAGAATGTGCCGGATTCAGCCTCTGAGAAGTCTCTGATCGAATGCTTCAATAGCTATATGCTATCTTCAGGCTCCAATCACATAAAAGGAAGCGAACCATGTATAAGCTGTATTGTAGGTTTCTGATTTATGACCGCCTTATTCATATCACCCTTGTCGTATTTGTCTATTATATCACCTGATAATATTTTTGTCCCTTAAATGCAGATAAACAAGGAAAAAAGCCAGGCGCTATTGGAGTTCCTTACACCACAGGATGCTTCTGCTGCACTCTCCCTGGATGGCTACTCCTTTGCGGGTTCGAACCTCAAAATTCGACGCCCTAAAGACTATGTCGAGTCAACAGTAAGAAATACAATCTCTACATTCTCTTTCTCTAGAACTTTTGCTATCTGCTCCACATGTTCGAACTTTTAATAGTCATCTGGTATATTTTGCAAGATAGCTCAAATATATCTGCATAAGTTTCTTTGGTGTCATCAGTACAGTTGATAACATGCTACTGAGATCTGTGTGACTTCTTTTTAATTATTTGAGTTTGAATGCAAGTTGGCATTCAAGTAATGTGATATGTGACTGTTGTCCGGTGCAAGTTTGTGTTACATTATTCACGAATAGAGAGCATCAGTCCTCGTTTGATCCAAACAGAGATTCAAAATTGACAGACATATGGAACTTATTAAAACATCTGCACAAATAATTCCGAGCACATACGCATGGTGTAGTCAGTCCAAGTGCGCCTTTAGTGATACCTTTTACTGCTGAAGCATCTTGATTGACTATGTTTGTCTTCTATAATGAGGAACTAGGAGACTTCTTTATTATCATCGATTCATGTATGATTCATGTCATACCTGTGCCTCTGCCTGTAGGCCACTGCTTAAATCTACTCTGTTGTGACCAAAAATGCTCATGGCCCTTTCTTTGAAGGCAATCTATATGGAAGCATCATGCCACTAGTTTATAAACTATGTAGTGCTACTTGAGAGTTTAATAAAAGCAAGATAGTTGATAAATCATATCTGTCGATCTTACAACTGTATGCAGATTTGGTGGGAAACATATGGTTTGTTTAGTTCAGTAAGGGTAAATATTAGCTATTTTTCCCAAGGATTGTCCTCTGTGATTGCTTAAGGTTTCCATCAGATGATTCTCTCACTGAGTTGTGAAGTCAAAGTGATTTAGAACTTGCAAAAGGCTTTTGATTTATTTAGGTGTAATCTTATTCTTTTACTATAATGGGTTGAAAGGCTTCTCTGTTTCTTTCACGTGCTGTTGCAATACCAACAATAGGCGACACTGAGAATTACTGTAGTTTATGGATTACTGTACTTGAAATAATATGATTTAAGCTACATGTGAAATCGTGTTCTGACTGTCGTGTGTTGGAATCTCTTAAATAGGGTGTTTATGTTGGGTATGTCATAATTCACATTCAGGAGGCTGATGAAGCTGTCTGCTAAATAAGAAGACTCCCAGGTGTAGTGACTAGTTTGTTGTGTTTCAAGTTTCTTTGCATTTTTCTTCTCTTCTTTGGGCTTTTGGGAATTTAGATCATCCATATGATTCCTGCGTGAATTTTTGTTTACCGTTCTTGTTTTCTTTGTTCCTCCTCTTTAACTTTTTTGGTATCATATGATACCTACCATATCAATCTGCTTTATCCTTGTTCTTCTCCGAACTGAATGTGGTTCTTGGAATACTCACATAACTTGGACAGGCAGTTAAAGATTTGCCTATGATACTCCTTTTGTTTAATTTCTTCTGTTTGGTTTTTTCTGTGTTTCATTCCTTGGCAGGATCAAATACTTGGTGTTGAATGTAATCTCTATGCTTTTGTGATATAGATCCTACGAATTACATTCATGCCCTAAGTTTTTACCACCTTCGATTGAATGGGTCCTCACGCCTTAGAATCAACTTTCTTATAAATGATGAAACATTTGTAGAATTCGCCTTCGCCTTAAGCTATTATTAATAAGATTTGAATCCCTAACAAGGTGGAACAACACTTTGCTTGACTTTACGCGACGGAGATTTTTTCGGCTTTGTTCTTCATGTTTGATCAGTTCTTGCTGTGATTTTTGGTTGAGTAGTTGTAAGGAAAGTCTATGGAAAATGACTGATTTTCAAGGCTGTGGACTTTGTCCTTCTACTTGGCCTTGCAAACCAGTACCGTGCTTTTTGCTATGATTTCTGAGCTATGTTATGGTTACCATCCATGAAGCAGGTTTTCAGACGGTTGCTATTTTCATGCAGAGCGGTGAATTGGAGAAAAAGGAGCCAGCCACAAATGCACTTACTGACAATGTGGAGGACTCATCGAACAAGGTAGAAATTGATGCCCTAGATTTGATTCATTCGATAGTGGGTAAAACTTTTTACATTGAAAACGAGTGTAGAATAGATTTTAAATATTTCTCAACATATCTCGCTTATACAGTAATTGTATAGGTCAATGACCCATGGTTTATAATTCAGATCAAATTTTTAGTATGTGCACATACTTTTGATAACCACTGAAATTTGAAAACTCTTGCTCTAGAGACCAAAGCATTGGTGTATCTAAATTTGACTTACTCCTTTCTATTCATGATATGGGGCAAATCTTGGATTTCTACAACACGTTTTTCATGCTGACAGCTTTTAATATTCTTTCCTGTTTGATTCGTTTGTAGTGGTTTGAAACGAAGAATTATTTTTCTTAAGAGTTTAGAAGTAGGAATTAATATGCATATTCACTCTCTTGTAAGCTTGGCTGGTATTTGTAGGTGTTAATGATTGAAATCTTGTTCATATTGGTTGAACCTGGAAAGCCATATGTCAGACCACATTATTATAATCTTCAACCAAAAAACACACTAAGAATAGAAGTGCGATTCTCCATCTGCGGCAAATTTACGATAATGTTGAAACTGTTTATCTCTTTTTTTTGGATAAGTAGTTGCTTTCTATTAGTTTATATTTTCTGTCACGCTTGTTGTTGATTCTAATGTGCTTGTTGCAGATCTTTATTGGCGGATTCCCAAAAGCAATTTCATCTGAAATGGTATGTGTTACGTGTAGTTTTAGAAATATCTGATATATTGAAGATAACAATGGTATTACAAAGTAACTTGAGGAATTTGATAATGGAGCTCCTTCCACTCCCCCCCTGTGAACAAAGACTCCAATTCTTTGATAACCTCTACCTAAACCTTAGACACGCTTACATACTACTTCTTAACTTCTAACATAAAACGACTGTAGATTATTCATTACTACTTAGATAAAACGACAGTGCAGAGCCTTCATACGTATCAGTATGCTGAGCTGTAGTTCTTTGAAAACTTTGACACGTTTAGTCTCCTATTGGTCCCATCCCTCCTTTTATTATAATACTCTAACTTTTCAAATTCTAGGATTGTCTGATTCCTCTTTGCTGTTTTTTCAGCTAATGGAGATTGTCAGCGTCTTTGGACCTTTGAAAGCATACCGGTTTGTGGTCAACAGTGATCTCAATCAGCGATGCGCTTTCCTAGAGGTTAGAAGATGCTTTTATCTTGGCTTTCTGTGTGGCCAATATTTACGATTACTCTATGTTTGCCCCTAAGTTCAAATCAGATACCCATCATACTCGGCCAGCTTGATGTAGTTACTGTTATTGTTTTATCTTGATTTGTATTTTTTTCTGGTTAAGCATGGGAAAATGTTTGTTTTTCCTTGGAAGTTGTAGATAGTAACCGTGAATGTGACTGTAGTTCCACAATTTCGCATATTTATTAACTCTTCAAACAATTCTATACCTTCAGTACACTGATGGATCTGTTACCCTGAAAGCTTGTGCTGGCCTTAATGGTATGAAGTTAGGTGGCAGTGTAATAACTGCCGTTTGTGCACTTCCTGATGCATCATCCGTTGCGGTAACTCAAAGTCCCAACTTTGTTTTTAATATTTCATGATCTGTTTGTATGGGTGACAAAGAACAGAAATTCCTTTAGTTTATTTGTGAGAGTGGGTTGGTATATAATGTGTTGCAGGTGAATGAGAATCCACCATTTTATGGGATACCTGAGCATGCAAAACCACTTCTTGGCAAGCCTAAGCATATACTAAAGCTTAATAATGTGGTAAGGAGAATAGGATTATCTTTTTTCTTGAGAATGGTACCCACATAAACTTTCTGAGGATAGATTAAATCTCTGTTCTTTCTTGTTTGACAGGTTGACCCAGAAGTTCTTCCTTCGCTTTCCGAGCCAGAAGTGAAAGAAATTCTGGAGGATGTACGGTTAGAATGTGCCAGGTGAAGCTCTGAGATTATTCTTTCAATCAGTTCATTGAGCTGTAAAAAGCTAGTAGAGTAAGAATTTCTTGTTTTGATGCAGGTTTGGGGTAATTAAGTCGATAAACATCGTGGAACACGAGATCAAAGATATTAGTGGTTCCAAAACAGATGCATCGTTGAACCCAGAATCTAAAGTAATGAATGTGTCAGTGATTGAGGAGAAAGACGAGGGATCCACGAAAGCGGATGATATTGTAGACAACGTAGATCCGGGAGAGGCTGTCAGGCCAGAAAGTTGTACGGGTGAAGACAAGTTATCTGAACCATGCTCAGATACTGCCACTGAGATAAACACTCCAGCAAATGAAGACCATGCCTCCACTGAACCAGACCATTGTGAAAAAGTTGTTGGAGAAAGTGCACAGGACGAGGCAGAGAATGTACAAGAAGTAGGATCATCTCGTGCACATGATGAGACAGAGATTCCGCAAGAAGAAGTGGGATCAGGGCGTGCCGTGAAGACCAGATGGGATGCTGGGGACAAGATGGAGGAAGAAGAAGACCCCAAGGATGTGTTTGAGCCTGGCTGTATCTTCATTGAGTACAGAAGACCAGAAGCCACGCGTGATGCAGCTCATTCGTTGCACGGAAGGCTCTACGAAAACCGGATAGTGAAAGCGGAATATGTTTCTAAAGAGGTTTACCAAATCAGGTTCCCAAGTGGGTAATAATCATCCACCCTCCCACTAAAAGTGACTAGTCTCTGATTCATATTATTTTGACCACATACCGGTTCAAATCGGGTTCAGAGATACATTAGCATCAAAGATTTAGAACCCTTTAAAGAATCTCTTTGTAATCGTTGGATTTGATCAGGTTGGTTTTTCATCACCACCTGTGTCTAGTTACTTTTATGAATTCGATAATCTTACTTAATTGAAAGTTGTGGAAGCCGTACTCTTTTATTTTTGGTTTTGTTTGAACCGGTTTGTTTTGGGGAGTGAGATTGGCTGAAAAACCGGTGTGCTGTGAACCTTGAATTGAAATCCGTAGACGGTTTAGAGAGAGTAACCTTCTGGATGAGGAAGAGGGTTTTCCTTTTTCTACAAATAATTTAAAGGAACCCAATCTTCTCCTTGTTTATCCAATCCTTTCGAAGCAGTAACAAAAATGACGACAATGGCGACTCAGGGCGCTTGGCTGCGATTACGAATGACCTCATCACCGAAGTCCGTCGCAAAGTCAACGGAGCTTGGATTCCTCACTTCTCAGCTCAGTGGCGTAAGAATTTCGCATGGTCCTCCCAGTGACGTCATCAGTCGTATCTCCGTTCCTTCCTTTCCCGGTCTTCAGCCAATTGTCGCCCGTAATTTCCCCTTTTTCCCTTCACTATGTTCTCTTAGTGTTTATTCATGTCGAATTTCAAATTTCGATTTTCTGAGATTGCTTGAGTTGGATTATCTAGAATTATGTCTCTGTAAAGTGAGCAGTGTGTTTAAGTTCTCGTTGCATAATTTCTTGTATCAGACACATACTTTTGCCTTGATTTTGATGCCCCAAAGTGCAAACATGGATGATTTTGAATGCTGCAGAAATGATTTATGAGAGATATGCTTTGGACATTGAAAAGTCCTCTCAGCTTTTCTTGAATTTGCTTCTCGTTATTCTTGTTCTTCTTTATCTTCTTCCTCTTTGCTGTTTCGTGTCTCTCGTCTTTTGATAAGCTATGACCTGTTAAACCTCCTATTCCGACACATTTCCCCTTTGTTTTTGTTGTTTTCAGGTAGAATCTGCCCTTTTACTGGTAAGAAAGCAAACAGAGCTAACAAAGTTTCCTTCTCAAACCACAAGACCAAGAAGTTGCAATTCGTCAACTTACAGTACAAGAAGGTTTGGTGGGAAGCTGGCAAACGTTTTGTTAAGCTCCGTTTATCTACTAAGGCCTTGAAGACCATTGAGAAAAACGGACTCGATGCTGTTGCCAAGAAAGCCGGCATAGATCTTCGCAAGAAATAGAAAAATCCGGTAGATGAATGATGAGTTTTATTATTATTTACATTTCTTGCTGCCTCCTTTTGTACTCAATACACTCCCTTCTCGATTTGGTTAAAAGTATCAATGCAAATTTCTGAGTTGAATTTTTCTTGTGAGCCAGTTTTAGTTTGACTTCAAAGGAGAAACGAAAACAAACTCTCACATGCAGGTGCACCAAAAATAAATAATACATTTTTCATGTTTTCGTTTTTATGTATATCTCAGATAATATCGTTACAGTTATCAACTGAATTCTCTGGTTTTCCTTTGGATGATTTCTTTATCGATGCTTCTCCTCCTACTGATGATCCTTTAAGTTTCCTCGGTCGTGATGTAGCCTTCCGTGGAGGAGCTGAACCATCAGGAAGATGATTAGAAGAAACTTCCATGTCTGGCACCGAGACACCACCACGCCTTCTACGAACTGAAGGTTCTTGATCGCTCGATGAGTCCATTGACCCGTGTTTGCTTCGGTTATGTCTTGAATGCTTCGATGGTTCATCTGAAGATGCAGCGTTTCCGTTGCTTCTTCTCGGCGGAGACCCGTTCGCTGATTTCCGCCTTGTTTTCTGTTTCGGTTTCTCGTTGGTGCTCAGAGGAGGAAGTAGTTCTTTTAGCCCTGCTCCACGTTGGTTCATCGCTGTTGAGATTAAACGTCAGAGATTCCTCGAACCAATCCAAAAAACTTTCCCAATCCAAAAACAGAGAAAGAAGAATTAAACCTTGAGGGTTGTATTTGTTGGAATTTCCTCTGGACACGACTTGAGCTTTCTCATGTTCTTGAGGTTTGAAGTCATTCATCTGCGGTTTTTTTTTGCCCCCCAAAAACAAGGAATGAGCACAGATACGTATAGATATGTACAAAAATACGTATAGAAATGTGTTGTGATCGTACCCAGCTTGGCGTATTGGTGGCTGGACCATCGGAGCCAATGTGGGCAACATGTTTTACATCGGTCGGAAATCCGATCTGCATCTCCTGCTCTTTCTCTTCGTCTGCGCAAAATTAAACAATGAGATGACTTGTGACAGAAGAAAACAATTAGAGAATTTTTTCATGTTCGATGAGAGACTCACCAAAAATCTGAGTAATGTAACGAAGACCCTTAAGAAGGCCTTTCATCGTCGTCGCCATTGAAGATATGGAGGGTTGTTGGTTCCGGTTAGTGTGTACCACCCACACGCCGGAGACAACCTTTTTTGTTCAAGATTTACGATTGTTACAGCCCTGTAACTCCCGTAAATCTAACTTGCAGGAAAAGCAAACGAAGAACATATATATCAACAAAAAGTCGCATTGCACAAACAAAAAGAACAAACAAAAAAAGACAGAGAATAATAGCAGAAGACTTAAAAAAACCTTGAACGCGTGGATTTTCTCTTGACGAGGAAAAATGTTGAAATTTTCTGAAGAAGATAGAGAGAGAGAGGGAGAGAGAAGGATCGAGAGATCCCCGTTATTGGCTGAGATCAACCAAAGAGAAGAAGAGGGAGAGCACTAAGTTTTGGTTTTTGTTTTTTTTACCGGAGAGAGAGAAACTTTTCAAAGTTGTAATTTACAGGTAATAAATGTTTATATATATATATATATATAGGATGTTGATGGTAATGGAGGCAACGTAGAGTTAATTAAACCCTCCATGGGAAACAACTTGTCAAGAGGATTTTCCGGGCCGTAAGGAAGCAGACAAGACCACAACAAAACTTATATTTATTCCACAATTACTACTAATCATATGCATAATTGTTCAACAACAACAACAAAAAACATGTGCATATCAGAAATCTACGTGCCGAAATCTAAGATTGTAATGGAGACTGTAATAACCAAGTTTATCATAAAAAATAGTGTTATCTGAGCATATTGGTAAATATATATTGGAAATGATCAGATATGTTTTTTGAAACATTTCTTAGAAATAAAAAGAAAAGATTGACAAGAATTACGTAACAAACACTAGAGAGAAGAGTTGATAAGATTGATTTGTAAGTTATAAAACTTATAAAATAATTATAAAGTGAACATTCAGATAGAAACCAACAAATTATTCTGTTTCTTTGGAGGATCTAGAAGTTTTGAAGTCTGAAGGAGAAAATTAAAACGGATAAAGTTTCCGGCAAAGTAGATACGATACGAGCGGTAACCATATGATGACTCAAGAAGCTTTCATGTCGTCCATACCCACGCTAGCCTGCGGAAAAAAACAAAAACAAGAACAAGAAGAAAAGAATCAAAGCTAGTGATGAAAACTGAAGAATCCATGATGATTAAAAGTTTTTGAGAGTCTTTGTTTACCAGAAACTTATGATTATCTTGAAGAAACGGACCAAACTCAGAGCAAAACCTTTCCATGTCGGCATAAATGTCACCAGAACCAGATATGACATCCATGAACTTCTTCCTGTCTGGAGCAAGCTTTAAAGCCATCTGATAAGAGAAAAGGTTTACGGTTACTCAGGATATCAAAATGAGACCGGTTCGCAGAAGATAAAGATCGAACATAGAAAAAGGAGAATAAAGGCGAGAGCAAGTAAATACAGAGAAGCTAGAGCTGGCGAGCCATCCGTGCCATTTCTTGAGTGTTTTTTGGTACGAGTCACCACATGCTTGTGACATTGACCAGTCTTGATGTGCTACCAAGTTGCGGAACAGCTCCACTAAGAAATCCATTGCTCTGAAAGAATCAATCATAAGTGATATAGACATATTTCTGGGAAATAGCTCTCTTCAAAAGAAAAGGTATGTATCGTTAACATTCCTAAATCATTTACCTGGTTAACCAGAGAAGACCGTTGGTACAACTAGACGATCCTTTTGCTGTTTTAGACTCAATTTCGACTTGGACAAAGGTGTACAAGTACTTGAACTTGTCTGGATCAGATAAGTAGTTCTTCTCCAACCTCTACACAAGAGAAGGACCAATTAATTTTTATTTTAAGACGATGATCCAATGCACAAAGGTCATGTAGCTGGTACAAGACATTTTCATTAGCCTACTATTCTCTGCTATCAAAGGTACACATTACTATATAAAAGAGCAAGAACAAAGCCAAGAAGTGTATTTTGAGTGCTGAATGGATTTGTGCGTTTCGATTATCAAGACTGTTGAAAATAGAAGAGAAATTTACCGATATGTTTCCACCAATGTCAGACTTCACGAGAGTCATAGCAGCTCCAAACTTATCTGGAAAAACAGATACAAAAAAGTCATGAAATCGAAACAAAATATTTGTAATATTAGGGAGAAGTCTTACAAAGCACAAGGGTCAATCACAAGAAAGTGTTGAAGAACAACAAACAAATCACAAAAAAAAAAAGGAGAATCAAAAACTCCACTAAAAAATAACAGAAAAGTTTCTCCTTTTGTTACCTATAACAGGCAAGATCGTCTTGCAGAGCTCTAGAAAAGGCTTAGTAAGCATCTCGCCTTGTTCAGACTTGACATGCTTCATTCCTTCCAAACAAGGCGTAAACACAGTCCCTTCCATTTTCAACTTTGACTTAACTGAAAACGCAGAGAATAAAATAGAAAACCACGATATTACATTTCGCTGTTTAGGAACAAACATATGTCTACATTACTCAAACAACATTGGATGATCTTGATCCAGTGACCACCATATATCTCACAATTAACAACTTAACACTGAGGATAATCAACATTATACAAGCCCAATAAACCAAAACTCGTGAACAATTCAGTGGACGATCTGAAACTAATCTAAGCAAACATATAAACAAACACTGAAGAAAAACATTAATTGAAACAAGGAGAAAGAAATGTAGAGCAAAAGGTTATGAATTGATTAAAACAAATATGAAAACCACTTGTAACATAATTAGTCGAATCCATACGTAGATTCGAAACAGACCAATGATATCTATACATGCAGATATATATTGAAATGATGTAAAAACAGCTCCTTTAAACAGAAATTCAGACAGAGAATTAGACCCACATCGAAAAAGTGACGAATTTCATCAATCGAAACAAGGCAGAGATCTAATTTCAATAAAATAAACCCAATCGGATCAATCGATCGAGCATAGCATATCATACCAAGACACAAAAACAAGAAACTATTCGAGATCTATCGATGGATCTAACGATTCAATGGGAAAAAGCGGACGAGAAAGACGATATCTGATGCCGATCTACAACGGAGAAGGATTCGCACCTTGGCCTGAGAATAATAAAGTGAAATCAGATTCTCTCTAATGTAGTGTGTGATTGCTCTTCGCTCTTTGGAGTTAGAAAATTCTCCTTTTCTCATTAAACGGCTATCGTTTTAGAGAGAGGCTAAAATGCCACAGAAAAAAGTTGGTTCAAACGCCATAATTATTTCGATTTTTTTTAATAAGGAAAACTGTGAAAAGTACTTCCTTCTCCTTGTTATCTCTTATGATTACAATAAAACCAGGATCATATCTACTTTTTTTGAGACCCACCTAATAACATATTTTATTTTTTATTTATTAATTATCTAAATTTTCTTTCTCAATTTTTTTTCTTTTTTTAATTCTTTTTTTTAGTTATCCTTAATTTTTTTGTTTTTCTACTCATCTTCATCATCGTTATTTCGACTAAAAATTCCAAAAATCATCAAAATTACATCTTCATCATCCAAACTTTTCCTCTTCATCCTCTGCAATCAGTTTCTTATCTTTATCCCCTCTCCTCACCACCATTGTTAAAACTTCAAAACCCAATTAATATTTTTATTTGGAGATTTAGAGATTTCACAATTTAGGGATTAATTTACCAAAAATGTTTGTTCATTATGCAAATCGGGTTAGTAACCCAGATTTATATGACAATTAGGTTTTTTCATAGGTAATTTATCGAATATAGTTGTTGAATCGTAGTGATTCTTAGGAAGATTGGAATAAAACCCGAGTTCATCACCAAATCTGCAGAGGAGGACAACTGGTACGAATGGTACAACTAAAGAGCTATAGGACAACTGGTACAACTGGTACAACTATGAGATAGAGGACAACTAGTACAAATAGATATAACTAAGACAACTTAAATAATTGCTGATTGAAAATACTTTTATTATAATTGCAAATCGGGTTGGTAATCTAGTTTTATGTGACAATTAGGTATTTGCATGGATAATTTCTTAAATATAGTTGTTGAATCATAGTGATTCTTAGGTAAATTATAATTATACCTGAGTTCATCACCAAATCTGTAGAGAATGACAACTGATACGAATGGTACAACTAAGAGATAAGAGAACAACTAATATAACTAGTACAACTGCGAGATACGGGAAAACTAGTACAAATGGATAGTACTAAGACAGCTTGAATAATTGTTAATTGGAAAATTTTTATTATATTTTCAAGAAATGAACATCAGCCACACAAACAATTCAATAGATTTTATATCATTTAATACCTCAAATTTGGAATAGATAGCTTATTCGATATTAGTAGATAAAATACTGTATGTAAGAATATTGCGATATATGAAACTAAACAGCTTTGGAGTAGATAATTTATATGGAGAATGAATTGCACACATAAATAAAACTAAGTGGAGTATTTCTGATAATATACAAGAATTGTTTGTCTTACTGCTGAATTACACCAAAACAAAAATAAAAAAATGGGCTTTATTCTCCAAAAAACGTTGCTGAAAGACGAAAAATGGATAATAAATTAGATAAGTGGTTTCAGAGCAAAAGTAGCATGTAAACTTAATTTGTGTATGTTTTCGGGTTTGTTTTATCCGAAAAGATTTTATTTTAGCTAAAAAAATTACATTTTAGCTGAGAAATATTCATTCTGGATATCCACATTATTCATTTTAGCAGAGAAAATCTTTTCCAATAAGGATAAACAATGTACAGTTAGACACGTATATACAATTATCTGTAACTATTTAATTTAAAAACAAGGTACAGCTAAATGAACGATTCAACTTATTTTAGTCTTAGAGTGTACAAGAGTATTTTGAATTTATTTGTATTTTGGATTTCTTAGATTTCTTAGATTTCTTGCATTACTATTTATTTTGGAGTTATTTATATTTTGAATTTTTTGAATTTCTTTGATTTCTTTGATTTCTTGCATTACTATTTATTTTGGAGTTATTTGTATTTTGGAAATATTTGATTTCTTGCATTAATATTTTTAATTTCTTCAGGACAACTAGGTGCAACTTGGTGCAATTACGTAATGAATTTCTCCAGAGCAACTAAGTGCAACTAGGTACAATTACCTTATGAATTTTTCTAGGACAACTAGATGCAACTCGGGACAACTATATTTTAATTGTAGTGTTAATACATTTTTTCCAGTTGTTCCGTAATATAAATTATTTTTTTGTAGTTGTCCACATTACTTTCGACTACTGAAGTCTATTTACAATATTTTCATACTAAAATTTATGCAAAATCATAATTAAGTACAAATATAGAAGTTTCATGATCTAACTTCTATGGTACAACTAAGTACAACTATGGACAACTAAGTATAACTATTCACATCCACGAAGTTGTATAAAGTTGTCCTTACTTGTTCAGTTGTCTTTTGCTTATTCACATCCACGAAGCTAGAGAACACGTGCCCCGACAAAAATAGACATGTGCGCAGTCAAAATACCACGTGCGCCGTCAATTTTATACATAGTTGTATCCAATTGTCCGGTTGTCCAAAATGCTTCATAGTTGTCCTTTGACGATTTTAGCATTTTTCCAGTTGTCCTGAAATATAAATTATTATTTTGTAGTTGTCCACATGATTTTCGACTATTGCAGTTCATTTACAAGGTTTTCATAACACAAATTATGCAAAATCATATATTTGCATCTTTTCCATCAAATTTTTTTGGTTTCATTTGAAATAGCCCTTATATTATAAGGAAGTCTTTGACAATGTTATCCATCTTATGCAAGCGTCTATGCAAAAATATAAAAATAGAAAAATAATAACGTAAAACTCTTGGGGCTGTTATATAATGTTCGAAATTCTTGTGGACAACTAGAATATAATAATTTCTGTCGAAGGACAACTGAAAAAACTACAAAATCGATGAAAGGACAACTATTACAAATTTTGGACAACTGGACAACTAGGTACAACTATGCTGTCTGTTGTAAACGCACGTGTGAAATACAACTGGTACAACTGATATAATTATGTAATTTAAAATTATAATTAAAATCTATTAAAAATTAATAAAAATACACATGTGCGTCGACAAAAAAGAACATGTGCGCAGTCAAAGTACCACGTGTGCCGTCAATTTTGTACATAGTTGTACCTAGTTGTCCAGTTGTCCAAAATTCTTCATAGTTGTCATTTGGCGATTTTAGCATTTTTTTCAGTTGTCCCTTGATACAAATTATTATTTTGTAGTTGTCCACATAATTTTCGATTATTGTAGTCCATTTATAACATTTTCATACTACAATTTATGCAAAATCATAATTTTGGCTCTTTTCCATCATAAGATTGTTAACATTATCAAAGTCTTCTTTGTATCAGAAGGGATGTTTGATGTGAAACCAATAATATATATTAGAAAAATGATAATTTTATGTTATCCATCTTTTTAATTTTATTCCTTATACTTTACGACTTTTCTACATTTTTTAAGTGGATGTTTGCTTTTTATATTTATAGTTTTATCATTATTATTTTCTAATGAAAGAATTACATATAGTTGTATATATGTGTCCAGTTATACCTTGTTTATTTCCATCCGGAAAGTATTTTCGGCCAAAAATGAAATCCTCTAGACTAGATTAACTTTCCTAAGTGTCTAGTTATCCGTCAAGGTAACATGTGCACCTATGTGCATTGTCAATTTTTGTACATAGTTGTACATAATTGTACATAATTGTACTAGTTGTCCCTCTCTGCAGATTTGCTGATGAACTCATATATAATTATAATTTACCTAAGAACCACTATGATTCAACAACTATATTAAAAAAAATTATCCATTCTAATCGTCAGATAAAACGGGGTTACCAACCCGATTCACAATTATAATAAAAGAATTTTCAATCAACAATTATTTAAGTTGTCTTAGTTATACCTATTGTACTAGTTGTCCTCTATCTCATAGTTGTACCAGTTGTACTAATTGTCCTCTTATCTCTTAGTTGTACCATTTGTACCAGTTGTCCTTTTTCTGCAGATTTGGTGATTAACTCGGGTTCTAATTATAATCTACCTAAGAATCACTATGATTTAACAACTGAATTCGAAAAATTATCTATGCAAAGACATAATCGTCACATACCAACCCGATTTGCATCTAGAACAAACAATTTTGGCAAATCAAATCCCTAAATTTTGAAATCCCTAAATCTGTAAATAAAAACCTAACTGGATTTTAAAACTTCAACAATGGTGGTGGAGAAAGGAGATAAAATAAGAAACTGATTGCAGAAGATGAAGAAGAAAAGGAAGAGGCAAGGATTCAACGGCGAAAATGAGATTTGCTTGTTTTCAGAATCCACCGACGAAGAAGAAGAAGAGCATGAAATTTTTTTTTTATTATTAATTTTCGTTTTAAATTATTAATTTTAATAAAATCAATTATTTTTTCACCAAATTCAAAAATGCCACAAAAACTTTCATTAAGGGTAAATTAGGAATTCTATATATATTATGGCATGTAGATTTGTTTATGACACAGCAGATTTTTTTTTTCAATTTGTGGCATTACAGCCATTAAACCTTTTAGAGAGACAATAATTTTAGTTATACGCCCAAACTTTATGAAATTTTCTGATAGTAACTCTAAGATTTAGTATTGTCAATTACACCCATCTCATTGGAATGTTTGCATCAAACAATGGTACTTCTTTTTCGGACAGACATTGTTGCAAAAGAGGCTCGATATTAGTGGTACATCATAAATACTCAGTCACTACAAGATTTCAAAGTCTCAGGATATTTAGTCTCATAAATTACAAAGTATATATGTGACTGACATATCTAAAAAAAAACATCTAAAAAACTTAGGCATAGTTATAGCATTTTAGTATATAACCCTATCCCCCCAGACAAATCCAAATAATTACTTACTAATCAAGATTGGCATCTCCTTAATGGTTGTATAGTGTGACATCAAGAACATATGTTTGAGGATAAGTGGATAACGTATTATTTCCTTTCATCGCTCAAAATCTTGATTATCCTAATGTATATATATGGTTTAACTGTCAAACACCAATTAAAGAATATCAACTATGTTAAAGGTCTCCTAAATGAAATGGTGAATGACTTAAAATAACTCTTTGCGTACCTCATCTAATCGTCTTAATTATATATATGGAAGATCTTTATAACTAAGAATCTTAATGAAACTATAGAGATCTAACTAAATCATCATCTTGGTGAGTTCTTTCTTGGCTCACTATTTTTCTTTTCCCCATTAAATCTGTTGTATTCACCATCTTTAACACCCTCTAAAAGAATATCATTGTCTTCACCTTTTTTACTTGACTCACTATTAGTCATCAAGGTTGTAATAATACATGACTATTCAATTCAACTAGTATTTTTACGTATCGATCACGCTGAGTGAGTAAAGCTATGAGCAAACGAAAACTATCATTGATCCACTTTAGTCACTCCATAAAACCTTGAAATGTACGGTAACTAAGTGCAAGATTATTTTCATTTTTCGTAAATATCTTCAACCCAAATGTTACATAACTAACTAAAAACATTAATGTTACATATATAAGAAGAATCAAGAACATCCAAGATAAAACCTACTATATTCCTGAATCCTGAGAAGGGGAGAAAAAAGAAAAGAAGTCGAAATGAATTTCGTTGACGACAAATCAACATTGTATTATTTTGGACATGACGTTTACCTTCTCCTCACGCAACCGGCATTGTTGAAGTCTCCACTGTCTCTCCTTGGACCCCACCTTTATTTCCAAACTAACTCATTTGATACGGTTAATATAGTTTAACCATATCATAATGTTGTGTACAACTATTAGTATTATGTACATTTGTTCACTAATTACGAACAGACTTAATTATGTGGTGTCAATTTGTCATGGTTGTTTCATTCAATTTATTCTATTCGTTCTTCTTTATGTCCTGCACTAATCACACTTTTTTCGCGTTTCGACTGTTCTAATTCTTTTTCATTGATAGCTTAGAGTTTTGTTAGAGCAAATTTCATTATTTTGTGAGATTGTGAGGTGTGTACGGACAACTGTATGAGACAAAATACGTTAACAGAGAGGAGATCTCTTGTGGGACAACGCAATTAAAGGACGGTAATCTCCATCGTTGTAGAAGCAACTAAAAGCCCTCTTGACTTTTCCCATATTCTCCGTTGTATTACGCATTTACCCTAATTGCATCTTTTGCTTGTTTAGCTTGTTCTTCTACAACATTACCACTTTTGTTTCACCCTTCAATTTATGGCAAGTTGGCGACCATATTCGGCTTCTTTTAGCACCTGAATTAACTATATGTCTTATATAAAAGACGTTACGCGACTACATGAGCAATTTTTTTATTTGTTCTTGTAGATGCATTTGCTAATCAAATAATTACAAATAATCATACCAAAACTTAAATCGTGCCACTTCAAACTCAGTCATAGTTTAATCAGATAAAATAATCAATCAATCTAAACAAAATATATAATACAACAATATGCCATATTAGAACATTAATTATTCCGTAGTGAAAGCACATCAGATCAGTTTCTCATCTCCTTTAAATTTATTATTGTACATAGCCAACCGTTTTGGAATTTCTTTTCTTCCGTTTTACGTAAGAGTATTGATTCAATAAGACAATAACGTGTTGGTTTAAAACCCCAATATTAATGTTTGACAAAAAAAGATAAAAAAGAAAGAAAAACGCATACTTAAAGAAATATATATACGATCGTGTGTTTACAAAAACCAGGGATTATATGTAATTTATTTTATGGGGTTGGGAAAAGATAATTGGACCATCCGAGTAGAGGAATCTGCAGGGCATTTGTTACTTTCAGCGACCCCACGAAATCACATCTTTCTTTAATTTTAGATTATCGAAACTCAGTTGCATACGCATCTCTATCTACGACGATTGCTCCTAACACTTAATTATACGAAATCAAAATGCCATAATCTTCTTCGAAATGACATCATCTTCCAATAACATTGTGATAGTTAATTCTATGGATTTTCCGTTTTCTTGTCACGTTCTTACAAATTTATAGTATATTCGTGTGATATTTAGGAAGTAAAAAACCATGCAAAAGATGACAAACAGTCGAAATACCTCTAAAATATTCTAATTAACGTTAAAATCAAATACATTGTATCGAAAAATAACATATCTAATTTAGTTTTGAAAATTTCATTAGATGTCTCTCAAATGAGAGGGGGCATATACTTTACAACTTATTTGAAAGAGTTATGAAAACATAGTAAATGGTTAAAACACGGATACTCGGATAGTGTCTAGTTTTAACATTCCTCTAATAGTCAAACAAAAACTAAAGGATCCCAATAGATTACCATAATTTTGTCATTGTAGTTTTTCTAGGCTTCGTTGTATATTTTTAAAATTGATAAACGGCATTACGAGTTTAGAATTCGGATGGTATAATTCAACGACGATTAATAGACTACATGTCCCTGTCAGTATAATGTATATTAAGTTTAAAAAGACCAAAACTGTGAAATAGTAATGTTACCAAATTTATTTCCTTGCGCTCATGTTTATGCCCATCCATTGCTATAAAATAAACCCAACCTTCCCTCTCCATTTCAAGAATCTCTCTGTTTCTTTTGTTTTTTTTTTTTTTTCTCTCAGAATCTTAAAAAGATGGAAAAACATAGCTCAATTAAGAACAGAGGACTGAGATTACCACCTGGGTTCCGGTTTCACCCGACCGATGAAGAGCTAGTGGTTCAGTATTTGCGTCGAAAAGTGACCGGTTTACCCTTACCAGCTTCTGTTATACCGGAAATCGATATATGTAAAGCCGATCCATGGGATTTACCAGGTAAAGAAATAGAAATTTTTTTTTTGGGTTTCTTGTAATTCTATTCAATTCATTTCATTTTCTTTTGATGGTTTTGGCAGGTGATTGTGATTCAGAAAAGTACTTTTTTAGCACGAGGGAAGCCAAATACCCAAACGGAAACCGGTCGAACCGGTCAACGGGTTCGGGTTACTGGAAAGCGACTGGAATCGACAAGCAAATCGGAGGGAAGAAGCTTGTGGGGATGAAGAAAACTCTGGTTTTCTACAAAGGGAAACCACCGAACGGGACAAGAACCAATTGGGTTCTTCATGAATATCGCCTTGTTGATTCATATGTAAGATTCACAAATTTGATCACTTCTATATATAAATCGATTCGATAAGAAACTGGGCTCAAAGTTGTCTCTTTTTTTGTTATGTTTTGGGCAAAAAAAAAGGGAGAGAGCAAGAATTGGGTACTGTGCAGAGTGTTCTTGAAGAAGAGGAGCAATAATAGTAACAAGAGGAAAGAAGATGAGAGAGAGAGAGAAAGTGAAGACAAGAAGAGTACTTGTCCGATATTCTATGACTTTATGAGAAAAGACAGGAAGAGAAGAAGTTGCTGCGATTTGAATTTGACTCCTACGTGTTGTTCTTGTTCTTCTTCTTCTTCTTCTGCGTCTTCGTCAGTTTGCTCAAGCGCTTTAACTCAGACATCTTCTAATGACTCTGATAATCACGAAGTAATTAGTTGTCGGAAAAATAAGTTTTGTCTGTTTCTGTAAGTAAAATAAAACTTGGGAACAAGTTTCTTTTTAACTATAAATTAAGTATGATTACCAAGTGATTACGCAATCTAGACCAGTATGGTTGGGCAAAATCTCTATTAAATTTGGTTTGATCTGTTCATCGATCTGAACACTTTCGATATTCGTAATTTTACAAAGCAAAACAAAAAAACAAATACCACAAATTAATATCTGCCAAAAACGAAGCAAATTATATAAATATTGAAATTATAATAAACTACATGTCCCTAACATGCATTGATATACAGATGAAATAAAAGAACAATCGAGTTCGATCAACAGTTATCATAAATTTTTCAAAAGTAGAGGTGATCTGAATGGATCATTTGCTATATTACAATCGAGAGACCAGTTGGATTAGAAAATGACTAATGCGTGAACAATGAATTATCATATCAGTAATTAGTTTGGATCTAAGTTGATGAGCAGATGGTAAAGAGAATCCAACAAGCCGAATGGTCTTATTAGACTACTTCCCAAGAATTTTGAACGAGATGAATGGATGGGTTGAGGATAGATGAGAACCACACATTTTTATGATTCAACTGTGACTGTGATAAGTCACACATGAACTAACCAAAGGAGAAATCTCCACAATATAGTTTGCATACAAACGGAAATCTTTCCAAAAAGATTTAATGTGCAAAAGAGTTGTTAATTTTTAAAAATTTTAAAAAAGAATTTGTAAAGTTTTTTCAATATCTCTATATGGAAACAAAAAAAAATAAAGCATGAACATTTTTTAAAAAGAACTTTGGCCATAGAATGGCAACAAATCCTTGATCCAAAAAAGAAAGAAAGAATGGCAACAAATCTACCCAATATCTAAAACATCCGGTGCTAAATATATTGAGAGAGATTAATCATGTTTTTCCTTTATAAACTTTATAAAAGAGAAATCTGAAACAATTGAAAATTGTAAATTAATCACCCAAAACTATAATTTTTGTAAGGAGTAATTGTTGTATAACTCAAAGCATTAACATGTGCTGCCATCATTAATTACACTTGATGACGTAAATATGAGCGAGAATATATATAATACGAAAAGAAAGAAATTCATAAAAGGACGAAAAAAGAATCAAAAGAGACGACGAAGTCAAGGATCAAGAGGTTTCCTTTTCCTCTAAACAAACGCTTTTTCTTTCTTCTTTTCTAATTTCTTTTCCCCTGGTTTTGTTGATTTTCTCTGCCATTAATAGTCTTTTTTTCCTTACGTTCTTGAAATGGCGTAGCTGGAGAAGGAGACGAATCGATCATCTACTCGGCCGTTCTTTGGCATCGTCGTTTTCGATTTCCTTGATTCGCCGGAGTAATAGCCGTTTCCGGCCATGAAAACTTCTCTCCGACGGTTGCGAGGGGTGCTTCACAAGCATGAATCTAAAGACCGGAGAGATCCTCGAGCTCCGGTTCAGAAGGACGAGCTAGCCCAGGCTTCGCAGGTTCTAATCTCTCTCTCTCTCCAATTCGAATTTGAACTGTCTTCATTTCCTCGATGTTAGCTGTTGCTGATGAGGCGATTCTCAATCGTATTTCTCTCTTTTCTTCGTCTGGATGTTGAATTAGTTACCAATTTAAGCTTAGTGCCAACGATTTAGGAAATGGTGATGATTCCGTTGTTGGATTCACGAAAAAGTATATGTGTTACTTGTTGGTGGATCTGGAGATTCTGCGTTGTAGCTTTTCTCCGTAGCTTCACTTGATCAATCAAATGACTGGTTACAGTTTTGTTTGTGGAGGGTGCTTAAGCTCTGTTTTATGGTTGAGATTATTGAAATGTTGGTATAACTGGTCTCAAAATGTTAAGCTACTCTATGATTTTCGCAGGACGTGCAAGACATGAGAGATTGCTATGATAGCTTGCTCTCTGCTGCGGCTGCTACTGCAAATAGTGCATATGGTAAGCTATTGTTCCTTTTGTCTTTGGTCGGATAGAAAGTAACCTGCAACTTCATAACTTTGCTAATCAGAATTGACTGGGCTATGGGATAATGATGTTATTGTAGTTTGATTCATTTATAATTCTAGCTCTAATACTTGCACTGTTGCATTCTTGTTTGGCTGTTCCAAAGGTGTAGGTCTGCGTTTGAACTGTATAGTGTGCTTAAATTTAGCACCTTTTACAACTCTTTAAGTGATCCCAGTTTATGGTAATAAACAGCTTCCTGGTAATAAATATTATTATTCTTATCATTTGCAGATTTCGTTTGCTTGCAGAATTTTCTGAATCTTTGCGAGAACTAGGTACTTGTCTTCTTGAGAAAACTGCTCTAAATGATGATGAAGAAAGTGGTAAGTTCTTACTAGCAGATTCCTTAAATACATCATATTATCTTCCTTGTTAATGTTTAACCATTTGAAACCGACAGTTTGTGCATTTATGCTTCTTCCAAGTTTATGTTGCTTCGATCTATATAACGTGAATCTGAAATAGAAACATTCTGCATCTCTTGCTCTTATGCAGGTAGAGTGTTGCTTATGCTGGGAAAATTGCAGTTTGAACTGCAAAAGCTTGTTGATAAATATGTGAGTTTTTGAGTTCTGGTACAAAATGGTTCAATAGTTTTCAGCTGAGTTTTCCTTTGCTAACTACCAAAAAATCAATTTAACTTTTTTTTTTTCAAATCTGATTCAGCGGTCTCATATATTCCAAACAATCACAATCCCCTCAGAGTCACTTCTTAATGAACTACGCATAGTTGAGGTTTGTTCATTTGATCTATTTTAATTTCGGCAATGCGCAGAAATCAGTCCCTGCGTATATATGAACATCCATGTTGACATAGCAAGATTTTAAGCGTTATTGCTATACTTGCTGATTAAGCCCTTTCAAGTGACGATATTAATGTGTTTTAATGGTGATGCAGGAAATGATGCGGCTTTGTGATGAGAAAAGGTTGTTTTTTCTTTGCCTTTTTTCTTTTCATTTCTAAGCACCTAAACACCATTACTATAATTTCTGTTTTTAAAAATAATGAACGTTAAAGGTGAATGCCAATATTTGTTCAGTTCTTACTTTTTCGATTTACTTGAGTTTTGCTGGGGAATGACTCAGAAGTCTGATTGGTCTCATGACGGGAATACCATCTTAATTATGGATTATCTCTACTTATCTAGACTATCTCTCATGTTATCTTTCAGGAATGTTTATGAAGGGATGCTTGCAAGACAGAGAGAGAAAGGAAGGTCAAAGGGTGGGAAAGGAGAAACTTTCTCGACGCAGCAACTACAAGAAGCTCATGATGAGTATGATAACGAGACAACTTTATTTGTTTTCCGCTTAAAATCCTTAAAACAAGGACAGACACGTAGCCTTTTGACTCAGGCAGCAAGGCACCATGCAGCACAGGTTTTCATCTTGAGCTGTTTTTCGTCCTTTTGTTTCGAGCACCAGAGCACCTTGTCGATGTTCCTTTTTTCCTGTGTTTCTGCAGTTATGCTTCTTCAAGAAGGCTCTTAATTCCCTTGAAGAAGTAGAGCCACATGTACAGATGGTAACCGAGTCGCAGCATATTGATTACCATTTCAGCGGATTAGAAGATGATGATGGGGATGATGACATAGAAAACAATGAGGAAGATGGTTCTGAGGTGCAAGATGATGGAGAGTTGAGTTTTGAATATAGAGTGAATGACAAGGACCAAGATGCGGATTCCTCAGCTGGTGTCTCCTCAGAGGTGATTCTTTCATATGTTTACGCTTCTGATTATTTTTCCTGTTTATTTTTTGTTGCTTTTTGTTGCTTTTTGATGATCGCTAATAGAATGTTGATACTCCATGTGCCAATATTTCTTCTAGAGATGACCAATATAACAAAGAAAAATGAGGTTGATAATTTGGAAATAATTAGCGGGAATCATTTTAAATGTAACCCTTTACCAACAAAAAGGTCATAGAATCGATTAAAATTGGTTAGAAGATTATCAGTCTTGAGTAATTTGAATCCGGCGCTATCTTATTTTTCCGTAAAAAATGTTTGCCTAATGCATGCAGTTGGGTCAGTCAGACATCACATTTCCACGAATTGCAGCTCAAGATACTGCCCAGGTAACAAAGCACGTGTTTTACTTTTGATCCCATCTTCTCTGTTTCAAATGACTCAGACAAAAAATTTCAGGATGCTCATATTTCAAGAAATTTCATTTCACGTATATAAGTATATTTACCTGAAAACCACCCAAAATTATGTCAAGTTGCATAAATTTTTTTACCAATCTAAACTACATAATTTTTTTTTAAAGCAGGAAAATGAGGTAGGAAACTACAGGAAATCTTATTCTTATAGGAGAGGGAGTCTATCAGCACCGCTTTTTGCCGAGAACCGCACAACTCCTCCTTCAGAGAAACTGTTACGGATGCGATCGTCTCTGACACGGAAATTCAACACTTATGCACTGCCAACACCTGTGGAAACAACAAGAAGTCTGTCATCTACTACAATTCCAGGGAACAACAACATGGCTTCATCTAATCCTGCAAAGTCAATAACAAAAAAAGTTTGGTATTCATCCCCACTGGAAGCTCGTGGACCTGCAAAGGTTTCTTCTAGATCAATGGCAATCTTGAAAGAACAAGTCCTGAGAGAGAGTAACAAGAACACATCTTCTCGGTTGCCTCCGTCGTTATCAGAAGGAGTATTGTACTCTCGTCTCGGCACACTCAAGAGACGATCCTTTTCTGGTCCACTGACAAGTAAACCATTACCCAACAAGCATCTCTCTGCAACACCTCACTTATACTCAGGTCCAATCCCACGGAATCCAGTTTCTAAGTTACCAAAAGTGTCATCATCATCCTCAACCGCTTCCCCTACTTTTGTCTCAACCCCAAAAATAAGCGAGCTCCATGAGCTTCCTAGACCACCACCAAGCAGCTCTAATAAATCCTCTAGGGCATTTGGATATTCAGCTCCTTTGGTTTCGAGGAGCCAATTGCTTAGTAAACCTCTTATTTCAAATTCAGCTTCTCCTCTCCCAATACCACCTCCAATCACTCGTAGCTTCTCTATACCTACTAGCAACCTTAGAGCAGCAGAGTTAGATATGTCCAAGACGAGTCTGGGTACTAATAAGTTAGGCACTGCCTCGCCTCCTTTAACCCCAATGTCATTAATCCATCCACCTCCATCAGCTCTTCCCGAGCGTGCAGACCACCTAACGGTGTCCAAACAAGAGGTAAGCCATCAATTCTGATACTCATTACCGTAAGTGTAATATCCGTAATTGTTTTTGATAATCATTGTAATGGGTGAATTGCAGAGGAGGAATTAAGGTGTAAGATGTTTGTAGCTGCCTAAAAGCTTTAGGAGGAGGAAGGCATTCCCTCTAGTTGCAGATATGTACATATCCTCCTGTTTTGTTTTGGGAATGATGCGAAAAAAAAGAGAGGCAAACATTAATAAATAATTGCCTAGGAATTTTGGTTTTCTATAATCATATATAATGTTCAAATTATTGTCTGAACATCTTCTTTCTGTACTTTCTTCATATAGATTCATAGACCTTTTTGATGGTATTTACTAGGTGCTCGGATAGAGTTGGTCTTTTAAAAACATTATAGGAAGCTTTTGGTTTTGTTCATTGATGTGAAATCTGCGTTTGCTTTTATGATAAATAAGATGAGATTAATAACTTAGAAATTACTTCTACAAGGTTATGAAAAGCACTTTCAACGATACAAAGACAACAACGACCAAACCAAACAAAAAGAGGCAAAAGCCTAGGCCACATTATAAAGCTGAAGATCCTATCATTTACATTGACAAAGTAGGTGAAGTAGAAAAAAAATAAAAGGTCCTAACTTATGATCTCACATGTAAACCTAACGTGGAGAGAAAGTCAAGGATCAGCTCTTGCCTTCCTCGTTTCATATCTTCTTATGGTCTAACCATATCTGATGAAGCAATTACGTAACAGGGTTTTGGAGAGACAATCAAGTTTACAAAAGGGAAGTCGAAAGAAAAAGAACAAGGAGGATTATTACCTTGGCGTCTTCTTCTTTGCTATCCGCTCTAGATCAGCAATTCAGTATTCGTGGCTTTTGCCAATCTTGTGGTGTTATTACTAGTCATAGGAATATATTCCGTGAAATGCAAGTCACTGTAGTCCTTATAACTTTTATGTGAGTGAATAGCACTAAAGACATCTCTAATGTCTCTTTCATTTTTATCTCCAAAATGAAGAAACTGAAATGTATTTTTCCATTTTCAACTCCAAAAATAATATTTTAAGTATATTTTCCCTTTTTATTTTATTATTAATTACTAATAATGCATATTATTTATAAAAATTACAAATGAACCCGTAATATTTCTGTTAAAACTTTTATAAAATATAATATTATTTTAAATTCAACAATTATGATATAAAAATAATATTACGCACCATTTAAAATAATAAAACAAAGTACAGTTTAATTTTATGTATTTCTTATGTATTTTTAATTTTATGTTATTTCTAGTTTCAGCTAATTTTTTATATTTTTTATTTTCTATTCTCAAATTTTAAATCTATCTATCTTTCATTTTAAATTAAATATATATAATATGAAAAATTAATTTATAAATATAAAATATAATTTTAAGAATTAATGAAAAGTAAATGACTATTTTTTAAATTAAAAAGTTTACCTATAAAATGAAGTTGAAAATGAAGTTACTCCACATTTGGAAGAAAAATTAGCATTTCTCCATTTTGGAGGTGAAAATAAAATAGGGTTGGAAAAGAATTTCCTCCAAAATAACATTTGGAAGAAGAAATGGGATAAGATTGAAGATACCCTAAAAAGATTGTTGTTCTTATATGTTTCCAATCCCTTGGTGGAAGTTGAGTGGATGGAATCATCCTGCTATATTTTTTACTACGTATTAAGTGTATCACAAAGCCAAAAAAGTAGTTTGAATGATGTTATAAATACATATGGTTTAATTCCAAGATGTAGTAAATTGGTATATAGATATTACAGTCTACATATCAGCAAATCAGTCCGGTCCATTTTTGTTAAGTATAGTACACTATAAATTCTATAAATTAATATTTGATAAATTAATAAATTCGATTAATTAATAAATTTTTTAGACTTAAATTTATGTTTTGAATCAATTAATCTCTTTATGAATTAATAATTTTCTAAATTAATAAAATATGAGAATTTTAATATTATTAATTTATAGAGTTTTGTATTTGGATGTAACTATATTCTTTTGATTGGGCTTGTAAATGGTCACTGGGCAAATTCACCCGATAAAAGAGAGAGAGCAAAATGGTGGTGTATTTTGGTTTCGATAGAGAAAGAGAGGAGAGTGGAGACCCACACATATATACAGAGTCGCAGACACACTTTGACGTCTTTTCGATCTGAAACTTCTTTGTCTCTGCTCAGAGATTCCCTTCTCAGGCCCCATTGTCTCTCTTTCTGTATTTTACAACTAATAAGAAACCTTTTACACTATAACCAAAAAATAAAAAATAATAAGAAACCTTTTTACTACCAGTACGATTTATACCTATAAATATTTATATGTTAAATGCAAAATAAATATATAAAGAAATAGAACAACACTGGATTGGGCTGGTTCGTCGCTTTCCCTTTCTACACTTCCGACAGATTCCCTTGCACTTCTCTCTTTCACTATTTTCACTATTTTTGTTTTTTTATCTTCTGGTTGAACTAATTTATGGAAACATCATTTTCCTCCAGACAATACCTATATTCCCTCTATATATATATAATGTAAGGGCCACTATATATATATATATATATATATACGTCTACATAACAATTCCTTCTCTATCTTCTTTTTTGTATTTTTGTTTAATTTTTACATTAGTTATCTTGGTAAGGGCTATTTTTAAATTTTTTTTACCAGTTCAATGATAGTTATGCTAGATAAAATTATACATAATATTTTCTTTTGTAAAGGACGTTATACATAAAGTATCTTTACTAACCACACCATACAAATAGAGCATGCTTTGATGTTTGTACCTAATATCTTAAAGATCACATGGTCTTCAATAGTGATTTTTCTTTGAAAAAAGACAAGGTTTTCAATAGTTTGGGTGAGAATAATTTATCTATTGCGTTTCTTTTCTCGTCTATTTCATTCATTTGTGTAGTGTTACATAAACTTAAAAAATGAAAGTTGGAACACATGGTAATGGTCTTGACTTTTTTTTATCTTTTCTTTTTGACGTGATGTTCTTGACTTTATTATTTAAAAGATTTGTGAAATGAGACATCTAAGAAAGTTTTACACAAACTTAAAAATTCCAGCTAAAGGTCGAGAGTCTTTTATCCACACAAAACTCAAACTTTACTCTATTAGCTAAAAAAATTGTTGACATTTTGCCTTTACTTTTTCTTTCTTTTATAATTTGGTTGACTTATCTAGAATAAAAATCTTTATTCTTCAATTATTTTGCTCCACGCATCATATTGAATTATTAGGCTTGGTTATATTAAATTGGCAACTAAAGGCCACATTCATTTCACTTTTTAGGTTAATATATACTTATGCCCGTATAGTCATAGATACTGTCCAAAGAATATCATCATGTTTGCTAATGAGTTTTAATGTATGCACCAAACCTGAAAACCTTCGAATTACTGTACAATATAAAACTAACTAACTGTTTTACCAAAAATACATATATATATAACTAACTACTGAGTTTTAATGTTTGCACCAAACCTGAAAACCTTCGAATTATACAATATAAAACTAACCTTAAAACAAAAGAACACCGCAAGCCTTTGTGAATTGTTAATGATTTGTCAGTGTAAGCTTTTTTTTTTTATTGTTCCACTAATTCTACCAAAATTCACTACTAAATTTTCGTCAGATTCCATTCTCATCATTAATTTGCCTCATTTTTTTTTTCATCACAAAACAATGGAATGTATTTTAAAAAACGAAACCAAATAAACAGAATAAAGGTAAGCTCCGGCATTCTTTTCGATAGCTACGTAATTATATTTGATTTTACAGAGTTTTTCACTTCTTTCTAAACCAAAAAAAAAAAAAATTCCTCAGGTTTGCCACTTTAACCCTTCCCAAGATTTGCACTTTTTATTCTCTCCTATCAAACCGGCCACTAACCGATACAACAACACGCGCAAGCTAAAATCATCACGCGCCTAACCCGCGCGTGTGCCGAACTGGTTCATACGTTTTTCAACTAACACGGTAACACGGACGTGAGACAAAGTGCGAGAGCCTCTGTAGTCACTTTGTGTCTGACAGTTACGGGTCCACTTTTCTCTTTTACCCAAAAACTCCCCACGCGCGCGTGTGTTTTGCAACTAACCTCCTGCCGAATTCCCGAAATTACCCCTCACTCTGTTATTTTGTTTTGTTTTTATTCCTACAAGTTTTGTCTACAAAATCTTCTTGTTGTTGTTAATCTTTCTTTCTTTCTTTCTTTGTTTTCTCTGCGATTTTGAGGGAGAAAAGATGAAGGCACCAAACATGGAGACGATAACAAAGTCTCTGGAGAAATCGATGCAGAATTGTTCTCTGAGTGATCGGAGAAGAAGAGTCGGAGATGGTTTTGGGAGATCAAAGGAAGAGAGCAACGAGCATATTCCTCCGATCTCAGACAGAACATTGGAGCTCAATTCTCACTTATCTCTTCCTTGTCACTGGGAACAGTGTCTTGATCTCAAGGTAATTAATAAACAAATGAGATTCTTCCTCTTTTAACTTTTTTTTTTGGTTGTTGTTTTTGCTTTCTTAGGTTAAATTAATCACTGCAGAAACTTCGAACTCGTGTCGTTTTCGTATTTTGATTTGCATTAAATGCATTTTCTTTGTACATTGGGGGAAATTTTTATTTGTAGTTAATGCAATTTTTGTTTCTATGTGATGCATTTATTGCTTCAGACCGTATAAATATTGCTCTCTGTTCATAGGGCTTTGGTTTCAGGCTTATGTGTTAGGGGAAAAATGTTTCCCTTAAAAAGAGAAACCTTTAATGGAAAAAACTTTTGCAGAAATTTAAGATGAAGAGAAAAAAAAAAGTTAAAAGGCTTGACCACCATGAAACTTACGTTCTGGGATTTTTTTTGCTTTTGGATAAATACAAAAGAATTTTTATGAGAGCTAGCTGTTTTGATGCTTTTTCAGCCAATCTTTCATCTTCAGGATATGATTTTTTCTAAACAAACAAACAAAAGAAATGGTTTGGTTTTTCTTGTTCAATGATATGTCTGAGAAATCAATGCCCACTTCTACCAGAAACCTACATATTAAAAGTACATAGTCATTTGCTCATATATAGATCGAGGACCAAAGCTCTTTTTGTCTTAACACAACTTTGGGAGCATAAGAAAGTAGAGGAATAAAAAGAAAAAAAAAACTTTATCTTATCATTAGCCGTAATATTCAAAAAGGAGTTGAATTTCTTACTTTTTAAGTCAATTCGGAGCTGGGTTTTAATTTTAATTTTTGTAGACAGGAGAGATTTACTATATAAACTGGAAAAACGGAATGAGAGTGAAAGAGGATCCAAGGAAAGTGATGAATGCAGATAATGACAGTGGAGAATCATATGGAACCTTGTGCTCAGAAGAAGATAGCTCATATTACGACAGTGAAGAGTCTTCATCAGAGTCGTCTCCATCATCAAGAGAGAATCAGAAAGAGGAAGAAGAAGACGAGGAGGAAGAAGAAGAAGAAGATGTGCTTGTGGTTGCTGGATGCAAAGCTTGTTTCATGTACTTCATGGTTCCTAAGCTTGTCGAGGACTGTCCCAAATGTGCTGCACAGCTACTTCACTTTGATCGACCTCATTCTGCTTGAAACACGTACCCATGCACTCGTTTCTTCTTTTTATTCAGATGAGAATTTGTTTAGGTTTCCTCTTTCTTTCTTTCTTTAATCTTATATTGTTATAACTTAGTGGTCTCTCTTGTGAGTGGCATTATCAATGGCAATGTTTCAGACATAAAAATGTTCAAATGAGTCTGAAATTAGGAAGAAATGAGCAATTTATTGTGTTTGCCTTTACGAAATGAAAAGATATAAATAATGAGAGAAGGTATGTTTAGGAGCAGTTGTTGTATTAAAAGTTGGTCAATGAAATGAGCCCTGAGGAATCGCGCGCCTTTTGAATAAATAAAGACGAGTGTTAAATCGTAATGATTGCTACATGTGACTCCACATTTCATGGTTATTCTTTTCTTCATTCAGAATCCTTTTCTCAAGATTTTGATTGGAGTATTAGTTTTCTTTTTGTGGAAATTAAAAACAAATTTTGACTGGGATAGAAAAAAGAGAAGTATATATGAAAAAGAATAAAAATCTATGGAAAAAGATTATCGAATTGTTCAGGATGGATTTTCGAGATCTACTAGACTGTTGTTATTGTGGAAACTGGAAAAGGTAATATAGGTGATATGAACGACTTCTAGATGAATAAAGAGATTTACCTTTATGAAAACTCCCCGACGTTCAAATTACAAAATAATATGACTATACGATTATACGAAAATACAAAAGATTAAAAAAAAAAAAAAATGATTTGAGTTTTGAGCCAATTGAACGAATCGAATATGAGCGCTATTAACCGGTAGAGAGAAGCGAAGAGGACTTGGAAATTAAAAATCAAACCGAACCAGAGAGCACCGACCCCCAATCAGATTAAACCGGAAAACAATGCCAAGTAGCTCGTCACGCTGTCTCCAAGCCAACGCGTGGATATACCACTATTGCCAAGTGCCTTCCCCTCAACAAAACCAATGTCGGTTTGGTTCTAGATTACGACTTCAAATCATTTTTCTCATACCAATAAAAATTATACATTAGCGAACTAGAAATGTCTTGTATGCTTGTGAGGCATTCTTTGAACTTTCAATAGCCAAACGAGTTGCAAATCTATAGCTTCAAAATGTCATCTTACCATGTTTCTCATGAGTCATATCGACCACCAGGCAACCCTCAAAACTTTTTTTTTTTTAATAATTATTTACCTTAATTTATTCTTGGTAAATTTTGTTTATTTCTTGTTTATATATGTGACAACAAGCACAAATGATAAATCCCATATATGTGTACGTACATATATTTTGTATGAATTTTGCAGGCCCTTCGCCACTATACCAACCGATGATGGAGGCTCCACCGCCACCGTATCCACCAACCAGGACGAGGTTTCAAGACTCCTACGGTGGCTACGGTCAGCTTCATCCACCGCCGCTACGTCCATATAGAGATGAATACTATGGAGAAGGGGAATATGTGGGTTGCTTTCCTTTTCTAAGAAGCTGGTAAATTCCAATGATAATCTATGATAATCTTTCTTTTTTTAAGTTTTATTTTGCTTTCAAGAAGTTTCGGGTTTATAGGTCCGTAATTTTTACCAACGGGTAAATTAGTCTCATTTCGTCTTTTGGTGGTCGGATTCGAGATTTTTTTCTATAAGTTTTTCCCTTTTGAATGTGTTAGAAGAGGTTTGAGTTTCTTATGTCAAATAAAACTATGAATAATATTATGTCACGTTTTGTTGATTAATCTCTGATACTTGCTTTGGAATGATGCAGTTTAACAACGCTATGTTGTTGCTGGTTCGTGGAACGGTGTTGCTTACCAAGTCGTTACTAATTCTTGTATGAGAAAGTGACTCTATGATAATCTACGTTTGATCCGCTTTATGTGTTGTTGTAATGTGCAAATTAGAATTCTTGTTTCGTTTATGAAACATGGACTTCTGATTTGAAAACAATTTTTTATAAATATATGTTTGGAACGGGATTATATAAAATGTACTTGTTCTTGGTTGTGGGCCTAGGGAGATAGGGGTCTTGGACCATAGTACAAAAAATAAAATATAAAATGGGATCGATTAGCATTTTCAAATGCAAATATAATTATGTCATGTGAGGAAGTTCACATCGGTGTGATAAGATATTAAGAACATAAGCCACTCAATATTTTAGTTAGTTTCTACATATTGAGATGTAAATAAGGTATTTGCCGATGTTAAGAGTTAGATTAGCTTCGAAACTGAATAATTGAATCGATCCAAAAGAAGTAAGTTTTAGAATAATGTTAAAAAAAGTTGTCTTATCGTTCACATCATAAGACATCAGAAAACAAATTATTGGAAGTCTATAAACCGTAAGATAACACACAAGTGTGCATGAAAACAAATTATTGGAAGTCTATAAAACGTAAGAGCATGTTTAATTGAGAGACCTTCATAGGTCTCTTATTCTTATAATTAAAATAGATTATTTTATTAGTAAAGATCTAATTTAGAAATCTGAAAATTTAAAGGATGCAATGGAGAGACTTGTGACGGGTTTCTAAAAAAAAAATCTTGTAATAATAATTTATTTTAAAGAAGGATTTAATATCTTATAAAAACAGATTTAATACAATAACATTGCAAAAAAACATAAATTATTATACATAAATTTTAGGATATTATTTTGAACTTAGCCAAATTTTTGCAATATATGCTCAACTAAATCTTTTTTTAATTGGTGATGCATATCTCTTGATCGAACTTTTTTCTGGGTGTCCATCATATTTAGAATATTTGTAGGCGTAGTTGTGGAATACGAGTAATCCACACTAGAACTTCCGCCTCCTTCTCCTTGTTGGAATTCTTCAACATTAGAATGCATGTATCCATCTCGTTCGTCTTCGACTATCATGGAGGATGATACAAGCTCTCATAATCTTTCCAATTTTTGTTTTATCCCAAAACAAAGCAGGATTTTTGATTATAGCAAATCTTGATTGCAAGACTCCAAAAGCACGTTCGACATCTTTCCGGGTAGATTCTTGAACTTCAGCAAATTTGCGTGCTTTTTCGCCTTGTGGTAGTGGAATAGATTGGACAAAAATTGCCCATTTTGGATATATACCATCTGTCAGATAATATGCCAAATGATACTCCCTTCCATTGACAAAGAAATTCACTTTCGGAGCTTGACCTTTTATAATGTCATCAAAAACGGGTGAACGTTCAAGAACATTAATATCGTTGAGGGTACCTGGAGGTCCAAAGAATGCATGCCAAATCCAGAGATCATATGAAGCAACCGCTTCTAAAACTATTGTGGGTTTCCCAGAACCACGTGTATACTGGCCTTTCCAAGCGGTAGGACAATTCTTCCACTCCCAATGCATACAATCGGTGTTTCCTATCATCCCGGGAAAACCGCATTCCTCTCCAATATTAAGTAGACGTTGAAGATCTTCTGCTGTGGGTCTTCTGAGGTACTCGTCGCCAAAAAGATTTATAATTGCTTCCACAAAATTTTCTAGACATGAACGAGCAGTAGTTGCTCCTAGACGGAGGTACTCGTCAACGGAATCAAGCGCAGTACCATAAGCTTGAGTTTACGTATATATACAACAAAGGAGAATGAGTTTTGTGGTAATGAATCAATTACCCTACATGTGGTGTCATACATATGGACCCAAACTACACAAAAAAACAAACACACTGCTTCTTGTACTCCACTACTTTGATTTCCACTCAAAGAGGGGTCCCTACGGTTTTGCCTGGCTTGTTGTACTCCACTCCTTTGAGTAACCCGTGAATATCTATTCCATTCAGTTGTCTTTATGTCTCTTCCAATAACCCGTGAAATCTGAAGCTCCAAAGTCAAGAGAATAATATTTCATTAAACAACAAACCATTACAAAGCAGTACACAACATTAAAGAGTTTGAAAAAACTCGATCCATTAAACTTGACACAGACACAACATAAACTTAAAACACAAACAACATAACATAACATAGATTGGACATGACAGACACAACATAAACTTAAAACACAAACAACCTAATTACCCAACAATTGATTTATGAGCTTTTGCTTCAAGGCTTCTTCAGTCGCCGTGAGTGGTTCTTTTTTTGCGAATATAGAGTCCAGGAGTCCCATTGCCGTGATTTCCTTCTTCAGAACCATATCCCTCTCTTTAACAGCCCACATGGAACTAAACTCGTTCAAAGACTTCCCCTCCACCATTGATGCCTTCTTCCCTTTGGCTTTTGCGGCTTTCACTCCAGGAGGTCGGATGTTAGCCTGATCAGCTTCGGCGTCCTTGTTTCCATCAACTTCGGATGGTCCACCATTGTCAGCTTTCCTCCATTTGCAGGGTCCATCGGTTTGAGTGGTCAAAGTTTCGCACCACTTCTGATCATTCCTAAGCTCCTTCCAACAATGCTCCAGGATAAATTTCTTGTTATGGTCCTTATAGAATATAGCATGCGCCTGCTTAAGAACGTCAGTCTCATTGTGACCGCTTCCTTTTGCCCTTGTTGCTGTGTCATAAGCTCCAACGAATTTACAGACAAGATCATTGATCTTGTGCCAGCGCTTTTTACACTGACCTGGCCCTCGAACATCACCACTCGTATGAGAAGCCGCATAGTATGTAGCTATGCGATCCCAAAAGGCACCCAACTTCTGTTCGTTGCCTATAACAGGGTCTTTACTTGTATTTAACCATGCGCTTATGAGCAGAGTATCATCTGCAGGACTCCATGATCTTCTTTCTCGACGATGTGCAGGCTCCTTGGTCGGCTCATCATCGAATGCTCCTTGATCTTCAGGGGAAGTTTGGGTGCTGAATGCAGGGAGTTCTAGTGATGGGAATGGATTGGGATAGGTTGCCACAGTCTCTTGCTGGCTATGCAAGAGGTCAACAAAGTTTGAGGGTTGGTTAAAGGGATATGTAGAAGACATTTAGAAGGAGAAGAATGGAAGAAGATATCGAAGATTGAGAAGACTTGTATTTTTTAAAATTCAAGTACGAGAAGAGTGAAAGAAGATGGAAGTGTTCTCTTTAAACAAGGTTTAAATAGAAGAGGAGAATGAAGTAAAGAGCATGGAAGAGCAGATAATAAAGAAACAGTAAAAGCAACCATTCATCACTTGCATTCAAGACAAAGCATTCATCACAACCCAAACCAAATACAAGCATTCACCACAACTAGTCTGACTTGACATATATCTACATCGCCTTAAACACTAAACCATAAACTCTCTAAACTACCATAACCTAATCCTAACTTTCATTTATTAAAAAGCTGAGAGGAATGAAATATGAAGCTGACCTTTTGTGAGAAGCTGATGATGCCTTTAAACCGCTGTCCTTCTTCTCTCCTCTTGATTCCATTCCCCAATATTCTCTCCTCGTGCAAGGGAAAAAAAAAGATTACCATTAAATATAGAACCAAACCAACTTCAATACAAACACTTAACTTTCAGCTACCTCATATTAAAAACTACTCAAAACTAACTCCACAGCCATCCATTATTAAAAAGATCAAAGAAATACACCAACATTCTATGTAAGCACACGCACTATCAGTATAAAGCACACGCATTAAACCTTCAAATTTGACTAAGCAACATCAAGCAAAAACATAGTTAATCAACATCAAACCTACTCTCCAAGGAACGCAATAGCATAGTTTAAACAAGTAAAACCGATCAGGACAAGGACCAAATCGGATTGATTCTGAAGCAATTTTTCAACCAAAACAGAATCGAACTTTCATGATGCAAACAAAAATCTAAACCCAAAATCATGCATTGATCAGTAACCCTAGATCATGCATCGATCAATGATTGAGAAGAAACAGCATCAAAATAGATTGAGAAGATGAATCGCTTACCTCCAGCGATTGAGAAGACGAACCCCATCCATACTCTAAACTCCGGCGCTTCCATCACCGCCTCGGTCGGGATCAATCGGCGAAGCCCACGGTGTTGTCGAGATGCAGAGAACGAAGAAGGAATCCTCGCGTACAGAGAAAACGAAGAAGGAGAAAGAATGAGAAAATAGAGAAATGAAGGAAAAAAGAAAAAAAATTTTATTCTTCACAAACTTTTATCCAGTAAAACACTGCCACGTGCCATTTAAAGACGTTTCTTGTGTCGCCTAAATTAGAGACGTCTTTAACTTTATTAATCAGTTTTGATTTAATTTAATCATTAAAAAATTTTAGAAACCACACTAAAAACTCCGTTGATCATGCTTTAAGATAACACAAGTGTGCTGATAGTCATCAAGAAAAGGTATGGAAAGACGAGAAAAAAACTAGAAATAAGAATTATGGATTGGGTATATGTTCAGTTTCATCCAAAATGTTAGTAATATCCTCTGTTTCATCCCAAAAGTAAAACAATACATATTTCTACAAATTTTCTACAAGAACAAATTTCCAAGTATTTTCCTCTCTCGCCCTATAACCACCATTTGTGGGATATAATGTTTTGTACTTACAAAGCTCAGAAAATAAAAATGGTAAAGAGAGAATCAGAATTCTTCAGGGAGAGGACGACCACCCAAGAACGCTTTAAACAACACAAGCGATCTCTCCGGCTGCGAGAACGGTACCTCATGTGCCGCTCCTCTCACCGTAGCAAACGCCAATATCTCCCCATACACCTGTGTCCACCCACCAACCTGTTACACACCAAACCTTCTTCTTAGTCTTTAAAACCCTATCAATAGTAGACTTGAACCGATGAACCCAAAAAAACAGAAGAAAACTTGAACCAAATCCAAATGAAGCAACGTTCATAAATGTAGAGTCATAATGCTAACTAACCTGTTGTCCTGCGAACCAAACTCGATAAGGCACGGTTGTTCTCAGTCCCAACTCTTCAGCTAGCCGCTTCACCAATGTTCTACTTCCCGTTAACGGAATCACGGAATCTTGATCTCCGCTGGTTATCATAACAACCAAAGTACACATCAAGAAAAGTATCAACA